GGTTAAGCGGGGGAAGGTTCTGCTGCTGCTGCTGCTGCTGCTGCTGCTGCTGCTGCTGCTGCTGCTGTTTGTTTGGTGCTGGTGGGTATTCCACTTTGCCGAGGTGTTGGCGTGTGGGGGGAATGATTTCGCAGTGCTAGTAGCACCACAAGCGACACCAGCAGCGGCGGTGGCGGCTGCGGAATCAAGGATTCTAGCAGCTACGTGAGAGGCCCCCGTGTTGCTTTCGTTGGCAAAACTAGGTTGCATCTTTGTTCTGTTGGAGCGTTTCGCAGCGTGGCTCCTGCCTCCATCTTGGGTGTTGGTCCGCCCTGTTTGTGACGGTTTTGACCGGCGGAGGTTGTTGGTCGACAACACACCAACCTTGTTGGGAGGGGGGGGAGGGCAGGGTTCAGTCTCGGAGTCCCCCGAAGGAATTCTCATACGTGGACCTGACAACGACCAACGTCTCGCATACGTACCTCGTTCATCATACGATACTCCGAGCGGTGCTGACAGCTGGCTGGCTGCACCGTTTTGGGAAGTCGTGGTGGTGATGATATTGTGATGATGAACTACAGGCGCACACCTGTTCGAAGGAGGTTTTTTGTCAACTGCTGCTGCTGTACTGAGGGACCGTTGCCTTTTTTTTTCTTCTTTTCGAGAACAGATTGTGTGCTTGTGTGTGTTTTGTAGTAACATGAAGAGAGAGGGAGAGGAGGCACAGACAGACTTCGTTTCATCTTTGTTCTGAGGTTCTAGGGGGGGGGGTTGCATATTTTGTTTTCGACAGCCGCGCAGGTTGATGGCCTCGTTGGTAAGAGACCCTCTTTGCCATTGGTAACACTACTTTGACTGAATAGGAGGGCTAGCTGTGCCTAAGTGGAATTGTACTGGGCGGAGCGCTGGGCGTTCGGAGGAAGGGACAAGATGGAGGGATTCGGGGGTAGGTTTTGGAGAGAAGAATTTGGCAGACGCGCGCATTTTTTTTTTTTGTGTTTTGACGGTTGGTTGTCGCATCGCGTGATGATGTTTTGGCAGCAAGCAGGAAGGAAGGAGAGAAATGAATGTTGTTGTTGGACTCCGTCCGGTTTGTTTGGCACTCGCACTGCTGGTGTCTTTCGAAGAACCGCTACGTGGTACGCATAGAACGAGAGGATGACGGGGTGATCATCTCGATGCAGATGGTGAGCGGTGTTTCGGTGTTTCTTCTGGAACACTTGTAATCACGCCATGTTGAGCACATCTATCTACGACTGACTATCTGTCGAACTTTGGCGTTATGATGTAAAGTGGCGATGCTGATGTATGTCAGTCGGTCGCTGCTTGTTTCCTGCGGCGCTGGATGAAAGCTAACCCGTAGATTCATTCGTATCCGGTAATTTATCCGATTTTTTGATGAATAAGCGCGGCTTACTGGTTTTGTTGTGTGCGGAAATGCGTGGCTGGAAATAGCTGTATGCATGCAAGCATAGGGACCGCAACGTGGCACCCCTCCGTCCGGATGAAGAGTGTACCATTATCGACCATGGCCGGCCTTACTTTGCGTCAAAACCGGATGCAGCTGCATGCAGTGAAATCATTCCTCAAGGGGTGCTGCTCCTGTGTTTATTGCCAATGACACGAAAGGGATGCCCCCTCCGCGAGAAGAGGCTGTTGCCACCGTTGCTTCCGCCATTGACGCAGGTACTGATGACGGCGGCGCCCTTGATGTCAGCTCCAACCCCTGTTGCTGGGCTGGGTTGTGCTCGTTCCTGGCCGCGATTTCAGCACCGTCGTACACGAAAGACACCCGGTTTCCGTCAAATTACACCCATCCATGCCGTCTGCCGTGGCCGTCGCTTCTGCGTCCCATTGACGACCGCGGGTGGCATTTCTGTCGTGGTTTTGTTCTCGCACTCCGATTCCATCCTCTGGAAGAAAGCTTTCTTCGTGCTCCTCCGGAAACTACGTCTCTCTGACAAAATGCATACATGCGTGCACCTGATGCAAGTGGCCCTTCCAGTCCACTCCCCAACGCCTTCTTCCCAGTACGTTCTCCAACGTCTTCTCTCGAAGCAGCGGCATTGATGAGCCAACTCACCGGAAGGCCCCGCTCAATCCCGTATCAGCAAAACCATGAGTGAGTGGCCCATACCACTACCGACTTGCCGGCCGAAACCTCTCTCTTCAGCTCAGCCTCCGCAGCCTTCGTATCTCGGTGCACTTTTGCAACTCCTCGTGCATTGCTGCAGCATCCCCTTCGCAATGAGCATATAAGCTTGTAACGTGCTGTCCAGCCCCTAGGCACTGTCCCAGCTAAAAACACCCTCCGCCGTCCCGATCCCCGATGTCCACGGTCCCAGGTTTACAAACATCGTTTACGTTGCCGCGTTGATCCGATTTACACATACATTTGTATGCATGCGTTGCCCTATTGCCACAAGTCAAACACAGCTCAGACGATAGCACCGTGCTGTTGGCCCGATCTATCGTCCTTTGTTGCCGCAGCTTTGTCGGAGGTCTAAAGGGAAAGGTTGTCTCAAGACCATTTTTATCGCGGCATAGGGTTAATTAAGTTGACGAGTGACATGCCTCTCGTCCCCCCCCCCCCCTGCAGTACCATAAATCCCTGAGTCCCCGTAGTTGGGCTTCGGGTGCCGAGTACCCCAAAAGGCACATGGTAATCCCCAGCAAGCAGCGGGAGACAACCAGTGGGTACCTACTTTTTTGCGCTGTCCGTGTGCTGCATCTCATCTCGCTTACGAAGCAAGGCAGCGACTTCTTCCTCTCTCGTTCGAATGTTCCGGCCGCATTCTTTACCAGTTCCCAGCCGGTGCCCGGATGGCTTGATGGGCGCCGTCGGCAACGCAACACTGGCGATGGGAAAGGGGCGGTTCATGTCAACCGTGGACTTCCAGCTCGTGTCGCTACAGCTCTGCGTGGCTGGCGTGCCGGAGTGTGTCATCACTGCAGTTGATAGTGAAAAGAGGGCACTCACTCCCAAGAGTCTTCGGTGTGGCGGCGTCATGGCTCCGAGAGCGAAGAAGATATATCTGTTCAGGGCCTTTGAGACCAGGAGGTATCGCTGCCAGCCCCGGTGCTTGCGCGGAGGGGCGATAGTTCGGGTGGAATACACGTGCCACGCACGTCAGACGCAGAACGGTCTAGCGTACAACATTTGGATTTGGGTGGTTCACTTCGAACAACCTGGAAGAACCGTAGGTACTCCTTGTTCGTGAGTGGTTCTGCGCGAGGGTACAGTAGTAGAACGGTCGAACTGTTCTCGTGGCAAACGTTTCGATCGCATGCACCGCGGCGGATTTCTGTGTGACCCCAGACCTGATCTTTGCACGTAGAAAGACAATGACTTGGTTTGTTGTGAAATACGAGCGTCGGTGAATGATTGTTGGGTCGGATTCGTCGACTTCTATGTTGTTGTGAAACGACACGGTGGCAGATGCTGCGCTGTGGCCGATTTGGCAGTGAATTTCCATCTGAGGTTTCGACGTAGAACATCAATACCATAGGTACGTTGTGAAAATGCGCGGTCAGTGATGGATTTCTGTGGCGGATTCATCGAGTTCCATGTTGCTTGTGACACATGATAGCATTTGTTGTACTGTGGCTGACTTGGGAGCCAATTTGCAGCGAGCGCTGGAATATTGACATGGTGGTTTCATCTTGATGTGAGCTGTGCTGCTTCAGAAAATGTTTTGACTTCACTCGCCACAATGAATTTGAATTGTTTCGACCATTTTGGCCCATCCCCCCTCCTATGCGCCCCCCCCCCCCGGTGTTTGCCATCGGGGTTTGGGTTTTCGTCGCTTGGCAACGACGTTGTAAAACAAGCCCCCCACTCGGTGTTTGCCATCGGGATTGGGTTTTCGTCGCTTGGCAACGACGTTGTAAAACAAGCCAATTCACTTCGTGAACTCGGCAACCAGGTTACCGTTTTCTTTTTTTACCTCTGTGTTTTTTTTTGGCGGTAACCGTAATGGTGGTCGAGTAGATCATGTTGTGCAGGGTCGAGAAACCTCACTCCGCGCAACGGGGGATGATCGCACCACGTTGTGTTAAAATGGTCAAGCTTCCTCGAGGCAGTTACACAGTGCTTACAACTGTCTCTGGAAGTGAAAGCACCAGAAAATAAATTAAGTCAGCTGTCATCCGTACGCAAGGAAGTAAGCACCAGATGCCGAACACCCTTAGCAGAATGCAGCTCACCCTTCATGCGACTCGCCAAATACCTCACGGCGCTTGGCGCTTGGTGATGTGAGAGCCTGGTCCGGTGAGAACCCGGCGTGCTCCGTCCCGGCTTTGTAGGGATGCGAGGTCAATGGTCAAACGACTACGGTATGCACGACTATGAGTACACCCCCCCCCCCCTCCTATGCGCCCTACCCGACAAGTCATTCCTACTCCCCCCCACCATGTTGGATTTGCGAGATACTGGCATGATCAGTACCTTGGCCTTGATTTAGGGAGGCAATGGCTCTCGTCGTTGAATGAATCGAGGTTTCGAGACAATTTTTGTGTGGTGGGTACTAGCTCGACTGATGGTCTTCGATTCTTTGTCTCTTGTGGCATTGTAGGTGTCTTCCTCCACATGCTCTTTCCTGGTTTGTTCTCGTGTCCATCGCATTTTGTCGCCAGTCTCGTTGAGATTCACTATTTTGAAGGATTTGCAAACGATGGATGAGCTGACGCCCACGAGTGCAGAATCGGTCGGAGTGCAGGACGTGTTACTTGGGAGGAATGCTGTTTGAATCATGTTAATACCCTCCAAGGTTTGAATACGTGTCAGCGATTCGAGAAAGTTCTCCAACAGCGCCGAGATTGTGCTCTCGTCGATCATCAACCTTCGAATGAATTCGTCATTTGTCAGATGTAGTTTGAGAACGCTGCGGACGTGTGACTGAGACGCCGCTTTGTGGGTAGGGCGTTGAGTTTCGACTAGAGTCGAGAGAAACTGATCGTGTCGAAACTTTCAATTTCATTTGTGATCGCTGTCCGAGGTCCGCTCCCTTGTACGTGCCTCCACCGCCGCCAGAGAATTTACGTACGATTCATTTGGCGTGAGTTATTTTGGGCTCGCATATCAGAAATTCTGGGTGAAGGTTTCTTGGTTTGCCGCCACCGCGTGGGATGTTTCATGGGGTCTGGTGCAGGATCCACCGCGGAGGAGCAAGTCCGTGCTTGTTGGTTCGTCGTCATACAACGTTGAAATTCAATATATCGCGCGCCCCAAACCCGCGCGAGGACGTACCGTCTCATGTCACAAGAGCATAGAGTGAAAAAGTGAAAAGGGTTGACCCACACCCTAAACAAACAAACAGGCTTACATCAACCCTCGACCCTTTCTCCAATCCAACACATTCCATAGTCTCACGAAAAACCTTCACCAAACGGGAACTTGAAGGGAAGGTTCGGCCGCTGCCACCGTTAGGAAACCCTCTCGCTCCCTACTAAAACGGTGCTTTCTACGGGGAAGGGGGTCGCAAAGAGGCGCTCCTGAGCCAGATAAGAGTCGAAGCCGCCGTAAGCGTGAGCGTGGTGTTGGCCCGATCCATGTCGTGCCCTCCCTCGATCATGCCCCACCGCTCCACGTTGTACTCCTCCTCAAGGCGAGCTGCATCGAACGCCTGGCAATGCAAGTTTCGTCCAGGCGAAGAATTAGGAGTGGAAGAGGTAGGGCAAAGGAGGGGCCGACAGCAGAGAAGAGACACAACAAAGCATCGAGTTGCAAAAGTACGATCTCTTTATTCATTCCATTTGGTTGCCTTGTTCACCGTACACTCGTGTATTTCACATCCAGCCCCCTGCTGTCCGGGATCTTGGCGGAGATTGGCCAGAGCCCACAATGAATTAACGCTGCAAGCACCAATGCACTCCGGACTTAAGTGGTCTTCCGGCATTTGGCAGACCACAAAAAACGGCGGATTATATTGTGAAACACGCGCGTCTCCTCAGTTGTTACTTAAGGACACCTTCACCGCCTTCATTCAATAAACCACGATCCTGCTGCCCGAGACCCTACTCGTTACCGAGACGTCACAAACGGCAGTCGGGCGCTGATCATGACTCTCAGCATACTTAAAAATTGATCTTCTCTACCATGTACAATCGATATTCAGGTTGTGAAAATTGTCGCCACCATCTCCTCTCTCGCCATTAAGACTGAGACAAGCGCCGCCGCAGGAGGGGAGGTGGGGGGAATGAAACGAGATATCTACACAAGAGGAAAAGTTCCTGTGTTGGGATTCCTGCTGTATGACCCCGGCTGATTATAGTCAAATACATATACCACCGAAAGGCGTATAGACTGGGACCAGAACACATAAGACGAACACGCACACATACCCTGCCAGCGTCATGCCATGTTCATGCATTATCCTCGTCTCTCCCTTCGGGGCTCAAAATCCTGTTGTACTATTTTTTCCTTTCCCAGATTATTCAACGCAAGTAGCGGGTTTGGTTGCGTGAGGCCTCCTGCACTGACAGGAGGGTCTCGCCTTTGAGACACTCTTCGGGCTGGGCATATCGCTACATGCCCAGTCCGGACGCGTTTGAATGGCTATTGACTTCATGAAAATACTACTTGTAGGGCGGGTGGGTTGGTCTCAATTATGTGTCTTCCTCCTCTCTATCTCGCGTTTTTCGGGAGAGGAGAACGGGAACTCCGTGGAGTAATTTTTCAACATGCTTCATCGGATTGTGGTGGTAGCGCCAACATGGCGTTCTGCGACGCTCTCCGTATGCCACCCCCATCGATGTTCCGTTTACGGACTGCGCGGCAGAGACCCCGGAATTTTTCAACATGCTTCATCGGATTGTGGTGGTAGCGCCAACATGGCGTTCTGCGACGCTCTCCGTATGCCACCCCCATCGATGTTCCGTTTACGGACTGCGCGGCAGAGACCCCGACCCGAAAAGAGAGCGTAGTGTTGCGGTGAGGCAGGCCCGCCGCCCGCAAATGCCCTTGCAGGGTGACGGTCAATTGCATCGCCGTCAGCGGAGCGCAGCCTCAAACTCCGTTCCGCAGCAGGATCGGAAACAGGCGCCCTTGGGACAAGTGATGCACGCCGTAACACGGCCCACGGCACAAGCAGACGGGCACGCGACGTCCGGACCCACTACCACGGCTTCAACAGAGTCACGGGGCGTCTCTACCAAACTGGAAGTGAAAGGTATGTCCCCGCGCCCCTCGCAACAGTAGAACTTGCGATCCCATCGCGAAGGAGAGGTCGTGGCCCCTTCCAAGCCAACGCGAACAAAGTCACGTCTTTGGCGAGCTCAGTGTGTATCTCCAAAGAAGATGCAGTGTTCCTCAGCAAATCGATGAGGACACGCGTTTCGGCGCCGGCTCTCGTTTCCCGTGCACAGCTGGCGCGGCGGCTGCAGACGCAGATAGACCTCAGTGGTGCCGCAAGCAGCCGCAGCGGAAGGGAGGAGGAGAGTGCGGACGCGAAGGACGAACGGAACAGCGCCTGCAGCCGTCGCTTAACCGTCCGAGGAAAAGCTCGGTCGTCCTTCGCGTCGGCAATCTCCTCCTCCCTCGCGCTGATGCTGCTCGCTGTACTACTGCGGTCTATCTTCCCCTGCAGCCGCCGCGCTAGCTCTTCGCATCGGAAACGGGAGAAGCTGGCGCCGCCGGGGCCCCGACTCAGAGCTGGGATAACTTCACCCTCGGGCAAGGACGGACATAACCGTCCACCGGGAGCACAAAAAGACGACCGCTGAGCTTAGCGTCAGGTCGAAGATGTGCTCCGCCGGGAGCGCTTCATAGCCGCCGCCTCGGGATAGGAGAGATGGACTTGTCGCGGAGCTTTTTACCCCCCGTGCCTTGCGATAGGCGGTGGACTGGCGCGTGAGGCAGCCACGAACCAGGAGTGTCGTATAGACCTCTACTCCCGGAAGAGAGGGGTAGGCACTACAGTGCCTCTCCCAGGCGAAAAATCGCCTCCACCAACAGCGTGTCCTGGTCACGGCCAATCCGGCTGCGGTCGAAGACCCTAGTAAGGTCTAAGGTAGCCCCCCGCGCCCGATACGGGGCGGCAAATCATGTGCCGCGGTGGCAACGTCAGCGAACGTGGCGGGGGAGGCGGCCCGAACGGGGGCGGGGAAAGCGGGCGGGCCCACCAATGAGCTCGCAGCAGCCGACACCAGGACCGGGGCAGCTGCCGCCGAAGCAGTCGCTGTTGAACGCCGCGTGTGGCGAGGTGGCATCGTAGTCTTGCTCCTCGATAGCTCTCGGGTGTTGTGGGAGAGAGGAAGGGGACTGAGAGGATAGATTCATTCTTCAACATGCTTCATGGAACAACAGAATCTTCCCCGAATTCGTACCGAAATCTGTATTCGTTTCGAATCCTGGATTCATTTCATATCCTACTGACTAGTTTTCAGATGGCTTCCTTTGGCTCGGGATTCCGCCGATAAACAAAATGTTCAAATTTTGAAGAAAAAATACCATCCAGTATTGCAACCGCCGCCATCGAGAAGTCACAGGTTGAACACCCTTCACATAGGAGGGCATTTTGGGGGTCACAGCCGGTGCTTCGAGCGACGTTTGGCAGACAGAGGCACATAGCCCCCAAACGCCACAACATAGCTACTGCAATTGATTTGCAGCCTACCATATGCGTCCTTGCAAATAGTACGCGTCCCCAATTCGGGGCTCATGAGTTCGTGTCGATCGCGGGATCACAAAGATGGAAGGCGTTTTGAAACCGGACAAAATCTGCGCAGGTACTTTTTTTTCTGTTGCCATATGGAAAAAACACGGTTTGTCCGGGAAAACGGATCACTCGCGTTCCAACTGGGCACTTGCACAATGTTTCCCACCAAAATAATATTCGCGGTTGTTCTCGGAAGCTTAATAAGCCCAAGCAAATAAATCTCGCACAACCATTTGCAGAAGTAACGCTTTATCGGGTATCGAGAATGTCAACAAGTGGAAGTTGCCTTCTGTAAGTAACTTCAACTTATCGCTTGGCGTGGGGAACCAAAAACAACAGCAACACCTTTTTTTATCACATTGCCACACGCCTCCAGCAAACGAGAGAGAGAGAAAAAAAAAAAGCACCTTTTCCACGGTGGTCTTGCGGAAAAGCAGAGCGAGCGCGATGACCAAGCTCTTGCACTCCATCGTCGCGCTCTGCACAGCGGCTAGCCCCCACTCGTCAAGGGACTCCAGGAGGTCCCTAGCCCGCGCCAACGCCTCCGGGGGGTGTTGCGGCGTGCGGTGAATCTCCGTCGTCGTTGCTACAGGGATGCCCAACGCCTTGTCACCACACACCACACAGAAAACGAAGGCCCCCGGTCGTCAGGCGTTCTTGCTTTTCGTTTGATTGTGTCTACCGTAGGACAACATGCCGCTAAGTTGTTTTATCGTAGATAGGGTGGGTGGTGGTAAAAATTGGTGGTTCGCGCTGGTGAACAAACGCCCCCATGTATATCTAACCTGCAAGCAAACACAGCCGTTGGCACAGGAACAGCAATACTTTCCCTTCAACAGCAACAACAGGGGTACCGATCACAACTTCAACAACGCAAACACCACCAACAACTGCAGCACCAAGAGCCAACGAGTCACCCAGCTCTTACCTCTTCCGTCCAGTCCCTGAGAGGGGACCACAGCTGGCGCTGGCGCCGAGCAATCACCGGGTCAGGGTCCGGCGACAGAAAACTGCAAAAGGACACAAACACGTGTGTGTAAAGCAACGAAACAGTAGTTGTTCGCTGGCATCGGCGGGTTTTTCCGCACAGGTCAAAACACGGAAAACATGGGCAACAGACGAACACATGATGATGAAAGCACAGAAGTTTACCACTGTTACGAGTGATGGAAACATGCTGTTGCGAGCGATGTTCCCCTCATTTTGGTTGTCACGTCAGCGATAAAGGCCGTTCCTTGACGCCGTCGGAAAACGAAACCGGAAATGCGACTGTTCCTATTTCGAAAAAACCAACGTCCTGACCCGCTTCGGATGCTGCATGATGCCGAAAAGGCACGAAGTCAACAGAGCGGGTTTGCTGTTCTGCTGAGCCTGCGAACACACACGTGTACCGCAGGTCAAAAAAGGAAAATCCATTGCGCAGCAAGAGCTCGCCGTCGCGCGCTCGTCAAGGAGTCCGAGCATGATCCTCCAAGTACAGCCGCCCTGCAACCGTGGCCAACGAACTGACATCGGCCGGTCGTTACACCCAGGCGCCAACAGCACAAAAAACGACAGTTGGATGTACCGAAATGGGCACCTCGTGAAATGGTACAAAAAGCTGGGGTGGACATTTTCAACATTTTACATACGGATAGATGCACAATATGACCAACAAACGGTCTTGTTGGCCCTGTTACCCACGGGGGAGATATCGCTGTGTGCTGCTCGGGAAATCGTGGAAATACAGGGAGGTAGCCTTCGCTGACGCTATGGATTCATTGCTAGTCTGTCTTAGACTCTTTCCTACAAAGAGATGCATTCGTTGGGTCATATTGAGCAAATAATGAAAAATAATGTTCACAGCATCAAAGACACCCTCCCTGCCCGTTCGAGATGGTACAACCCCGCTCGATGTTTCAGATGGCTCCTCACCGACCGTTGTCTCTAGGTACTGTAGGTGGCGATGGTGTTTTGCCTGAAACAAAGAGTACTTCATAACATCAAAAAGACACATCTGCCCGGTCATGAAAATACAACCGTGTTTCAGATTGGTGCCCTCACCAAGGACGGTGGTGTAGGTATGCATGGATGAGGCAGGTGGCGATGGTACGTTTCCGACCGTAGAAAGTGTTCAAAATAGCAAAGACACACGCCTGTTCGAGATAATACAACCCCGTTCGATGTGTCAGAATGGTGTCCTCACCACACGGTATCCCTCCGCAGGTACTTGAGGCTAGTGGCAATCGTCTTTTCCCCGTCGACAGAAAAAGTGTACAACATTAGAGACACACTACCCCGTTCGATGTTTCAGATTGGTCTCCTTGCCGGACGGTGACTGTAGGTAGATATCTACTGGAGGCAGGTGGCGATGGCGATGGCATTTTTTCTGTGAGTACAATTGTAGAAAGTGTTCAAAACAGCAAAAAGATTGTTGGAGAAAATAGAAGCTTCGATGCTTCAGATTGGTGTCCTCACCAGACGGTATCCGTAGGCAGGTACTTGAGGCAGGTGGCGACGGTCTTCTCCCTGTCGGAGGCCACCTGGTGAGGACAGAACAGTGGGCAGAGAGGGTCACACCGATCCACCCTGGTGCATTCTGCGATACAAACACGCATCGATCGTGTCAGGGTTGCTGCTTGTGGGCCCACGCAAGCACCCATCGGGCCGGCGTAGACACGCAACAATTCATAGGTCGCCGCCGACGCGAAGCAGATGCACGGCACCGTCCCCAACGAAACAATCGTTATGTCGAAAACGCAGCCGCCAATAACAAACATTCTAGCCAGGTTACAACGTCCACGTATGACAGACACCGTAAGGTGTGCGAGAGCGTGGCATGCCCTTGCTTACCTGGTCTAAGGCCGTGGAGGCGAGCGCCATGAGAGGCATCACGGCGGGTTCGATGCCCTTTGACGTGTCCTGCGCATCCCACTCAGCGGCCACCGCCATAGCTAACTCAGGGCTATCGAACTAAATCCAGCGGGCGGAGTGGGCGGAGGGCAGGGGCGTACTCATGTTCCGCATGTCATATTTAGTCGTTAGGCCATTGACTTTGTGTCCTCGGGAGGACGGAGCGTGGTGCCCGCAGGACCGATTACCGATTGCCAATCGTTCCTGGGGGGGTTATCTAACGTGTTGCTTGTACCATGCCGCAGAGTACAGAGTGTGATTTGCCGTCTCCCCCTTCCGAGACGGAACACCCTTCTATCCCGTACCACGGAACCGTAGGACATTTTCGTGGTTGTTGGGGCGTTGTTGAACAATACGGGCTTCGCGGAATACGCCATATGTGAACGTCACCTCTGACCTTGTCTGCGTTACGTAAGCCTCTTCTTTCCAAAGCTCTGCGGAAAACGTAAATCGTGTGCGACAAGCATAGCTGTAACGGGGAAGGACCAAAGGTACACGGCGCCTTTACCGTTAATGATGCAGCACCTTTTAGCCACGTCAGACGTCCCAACTACCTAGGATACTCGTCTTCGAGCACTACTGCTGTCGGTCATTTTTCACTCCGAGGACATCCAACAGCAACAGGAGTTTTCACCCCATGCACTCTGTGTAATGTGTCCACCGCACAACAGAAAACATAGCTATCCACCAAGGGAGAAAATTATCGTCGTATAGTGTACCCGTTGTATCGTGATCGTAGATGTGGGAAGAGCTTGCGCGGGGTCGTGCATGAAAGATGCAAAACAAATGAGCAAGAATGCAGCGATCTTTAAATATACGTTCGCCCACGCATGATGCTGCACGGCAAGCAGGGGGGATCAAGCAAAGGGGGCGGGAAAAAAAAACCGGCAAGGACATGGTCCCACCGCCGGTTAATCCCGTTCTGTGCAACGAACGGCCACGGCGACATCTAGTGAGCAACCATTTCTCGGGGTCCGCGCTACCACGAGCTTCTCTCAGGGTCGTTTTATACAGCAGCTATTGTGCTTCCAAAATTCTAAATCCGTGGCCGATAGAACCTCGCTTTGCGGCCGAGGACAAAATTGGAAATTTGGAAAACGGCTGGCACCGAAAAAAAAAAAAGGAAATCTGAAACGTCGGAATTTGGAAACTTGAAAGGAAAACAGCTGTGTATATAAAACGACCCTTAAGAAGTATTTCCTGCCCTATCTCGCCGCAAGCACCGCCGACGCACCTGCAACGGTCTCCGGCCAGGGGTCTTGAGCACGCGGCTGTCCAGGAGGATTTCCCAGCGTGGGCTCTTGTCGCCAACTGCCGCAGCAGCAGAAGCTTCGTCCCCTGCCTTGTCTGCGACGATTTCCCGAATAGTGACAGTCTTGTAGAAGCGGCTCCGGCCCTTGATCCGTTGGTGAGTTAATTCCGGCGCCGAAGACATCTCCCGCTGCTGTAGTATCGTCAATACACAGGGTGCACGGTTTTCGGAGGAATGGGAAATCAAATCTACAGCGGTCACTCTGCGCTTGGGAAACTACAAATTCGCATGTTTTCGTTTTGTTGAGAGTCGACCTCGCGTCGTGTAAGCGTGGACGGATTTTGACATGGCGGGTTGGTAGTGCACAATTGCCGCCGAATTGATTGCAAATATCACTAAAATATCTGGGCAAAACCACAGAAGGCTACTCAAAACAGACGTGGTTGGACAAAGAACGACAATAAAACCCCGCAGGTTGCAGTTGTTGCCGGGAACATCGCGCGTCCGGCCGTTCTGCCTGCTGGCAAGAGATCGAAGAGGCTTGGCTCAACGAGCGGCGGAACCTATGCCCATCTTCCAAGATAAAAACAAGCTCTTCAAGAAGAGTTGTTGCTTCACGTCTTCATGTGTAAGTACCGTGTGGTTCTTGTTTGAGATGCTGGAGTCTAGCGCGCCGATGCTGGCCGCACCCCTAATGCTAGAGAAAAAGAAACGCGAGTTGTGAAAGGAACCATCCAACAGGCATACTCATTGGCTTAGAAGGGGTCATTCGGAAACAATGGTTGGTTCCACCAATCAATGCGAGTGGCTTTTGGGCGACCATGGTTCTACCATGCCCAACCTCTGCTCTCGTCTGATGCCCTCTTTGTTTGGTGGGCCTCAACGCTTACCATCTGTCTCGAAACACTGGACCACTGCCGTGCGGCGACAATATAGCAACACGGCGATGTTCTCAGCTCCGTCCTGCAACACTGTGTCTGGATACTGTATATGCATACGAAAGAGCGGAGCTACGGCTCTTGTGGAGAAACGAGTGCGTTTTTTCTCGGCGGAAGAGGGCTGACAGTGAGCATATTGTTCTGTGTTAGCATCAGTGGTATGCTGGTATGTTCGAAGAGGCTTCGTATTTTACTCAGGCTAAAAAAGGCGGTGGGTGCGGGGACCGAAACAACAAAACAAGCAGTTGTTTGGTCCACGTACGTCAAGAAATGGTCCCTCGTTATCACTACAAACCGGTTAGAGGATTCCTCCGCTGGTTGATATTTTTTCGTTGAATCGGTATATACATCGGTATTTTTCTCTCTCTCTATCCTATGTTTGCCGGATGGGTGTGCAACAAACGCCGCCGTTCCGTCGTTGTCAAGGACGACCAAACTCACAACAACTAAAGACAAACATCCTCTGATCGCGAAATTCTTAACACATGAAGTACATACTTACGAAGTAAAAGATTTGGTCACTTTTGGTTCTTCGGCATTTCTTTCTCTCGCGGCAGTGAGTCTTTTCTCGCGGTTCCTTCTCAGGGGCACGCAGGAGGCTCGTCGGGCCATTAACGCCCATGCGCGGAGTTCGGCAGGCTCCTCCCATGTAATCCTGTGTGTGAAAGAAGCTTCCACGCAATTAAAAAAACGCCGCAGGCGCGCGCAGCACCTCTTACACACCCATCCTGCGAACGCTGGATACATAGATTGAGAGAGGCACCGGCCCGAAGTACGCAACAACACCAACGGAGGAACTCGGCAATCGCGTAGTAATGACAAGGAGGGTCTTTTTCTTGACGTACAAGGATCAGAAACTGTTGTCCTTTTGTTCTGGTTGCGATGATCTAGCACAAAGAAGATGCCGGGGCGGTGGGCTCGACCGTTACGCGTATCCAAACCTTTCGGGGCCGGACAACACCACGAAGGCTCTTTGAACAGATTCCGCAGATACTAACACAGAACATTTTGCCCACTCTCTGCGCATGCACCCGAATGTCACATGTGCGTACTACCGTGGGTCTCTGCATATACATCAGAGTGCGAATATATATGCGTATCACAGACGTTACAGCGCCGCAGAGCGGGGCGATCTCTCCATTTTTTTATGGCTGTTCTCCATACAACGGCGGTATTGGAAAGGTGCGCACGTGGCTTTTGGTCGCGTGGGGCGGATGTGCTGGACTATGCGAGAATCTGTTTGGCGCGTTCGTGGATTGGATCTTAACCGGGCGGCTCATACCAACGAATATTTTCATGTCACAGACAGATGTTACACGGCTTGTTATGGGAGCACAAAGTTGTGAAAAAAATTTCGAGTTTTTATGCAACCTTTGGTCCGGAACTTTTGTCAAAAATACACGGAGTTTGCGAAGATCACATTTTGGTTTGATCTTGATCATTTTTGTCTCCCCCAGGGCCGAAGTTCGAATCATCTTTAGGAAGTTGATCTTTCGCTTTTACGAATTGCCCCCAAAGACCGCAGAAAAGGTCCAATTTGATCTTGCTCATCTTTATCTTTCGAGAGAACAGCCTCTGAGAAACTTCGCTGACCAAGCGCCTCGTGTGATACCCCGTGGGCTTTTCATGAGGACTCTGCAAACGACACAAAAACACCTTGTGTGCTCCAGAGGGAGCCCGAACACGCGGCAGAAACGCGAGAGTGGCAGGCGGAGGGCACAAGGAGGTTCGTATGCACACATACATGTTGCTCGTTGGACAGCACCTCACGACACACGCTCCATGGTGATGGCGGTCGAAGTTTGTCAAACACGACGACAGACAACACACAACGACCGCTCGGCCGTTCGGAAGGAAACAGCTCACGCATTGCGCAGCACGCTTACACCTCTCAGGGCCAGCCTGCCTACCCGGCAAACGGAGATCAAAGCAAAAACCTCGGGGTAGGGCGCATCCAACAGGTTCCGTGGCGATCGGCGTTTGCATGCGCGTGGACTGAGTGAGAGTGTGACGTGCCGTGTGCCCAGCAAAAGTGTCAAAGGAGCCACATGCCACCAAAAGGGCGTGGAATACAGCAGTGTGTGGTGCCTCTTTCGTATTCTATGCGCGCGATAGACGAGGCAACCAGGGAAGCGCAACCAGTAATAAATATCTCCAGTTCGATGGCTTCTGGAAGAAGGAGGTTTGGCAGCGAATAGGAGTCTGGTGGTGCTGCATCACAGCCGACAAGTGAGCTAGTTCCTCGGAGCTTATCTGAACGTCATGATGAGCAAAAAAAAAAGAAGATAAACGGCCGCGTGCGTGACATCACATGTATGACTTCTTGAAAAACGTCCAAAAAAACACCAGAGAGAGGCAATTCGGTCTTCGCAAGCAGTTTTGAAATCAACTCCAGATCTTGATTTCGTTGCTCCCGCCTTCCAAGACCCCAAATCAAAGACCCGTCCGCAAACACCCTAATAACACTATTGTTGCACGTTCAACATGGGGCGAAGGAAGTTTTCTTCACGGGACTGGTGGAACGCGGAGGCGTAATCTCTTTCTTTTTTTTTGTAACGGCGAGAAGCGGGCACACCCCTTCATACCACACCGCGAAGAAACCGGCCAGAACGTGCGGGAGAGGGTAGTTGCAACCTTTTTTCTCCACACTCACGATACCCGAAGGCATCTAACCTGGTACCACAAAGATGCTGGGTAGAGCTACCTCCCTCGCAAGGTGGCGTTGCTATTGCTATTGCTGTTGCTGTTGCTTCCCCCTTCGAAAAATTATCGCTGGAAAACCAAACCATGAGCACACAATCCCCGCGAACTTGAACCAAACCGCTCTCTGGCGTGGGTATTATAGGGTCAACCAAAACTTTGTTCCCGGTGCGCACGATGCTCCACGGCACCAACACTTGGGCATGAAAGATGCAGCAGAGAGCTACCTCCCGCCGAATGGCCTTGCTATAGCTGTTGCTTCCTCCTTCGGAAAGTTTTCCGTGGAAAACCAAACCCGTGGTTGTCAAAAACACCGAACTTGAACTAACCGCTTGCGGCCGTTGACGGTAGTGCGTCAACACAAAACATTTTTTCCTGGCGCATTCCGCGCCAAACCATGGCATTGCCCAACAGCCCATGGCTTCACCTCACCCCAAATACCATTCATGAGGCAACTCGTTTAGTATTCGTCGAGATATCGGTGAACACGGTGCCTTCCAATCGAAGCTGGGGAGGGGGTCTACGCGTGTGGTATGTAGGGGTAGGTGCTTGGCGTGGATTGCCGGAAGTTTCGCCGCATAACTTTTGTTCGACACTTCTATCGCGAGAAAAGTTCGCGAATTTTTTGTTCCAGATCGCCCGATTTTTGTCCAAAGCATGGGCCCATCCGCGCACGCACACCCTCACTACACGCATGCGTATCCTCACCCTACATCCTAGTAAGTCACATGTTGCCTGTGCTGGAGCTTGCTTCGGCCACGAAGAGTTTGAGCAAGTATGCACACGTACTTTATTTTACGTCTCTTTGAGCACCAACTTTTCGTATGAGGAGCCGTACCCACTTCATGGCATTTTTCTTGTATTGGTTAGGCCACATTATGCCGTGTAGACGCAGTTCACCCATTCGAAAATTCTAACATCAAGGGTATGTCTTGCCGCTAAAGTTCGGACTTCGGTGACGTCTTTCCGTCTTGTACGCGTATGCTCGTCCATGTTCTTGCCCAGAGTATACTGCTGTTCACCATCAGCCATTGTCTGCCTTCGTCTCTACTGCTATTTAGCTACCCTCATGATTTTTTCTACGGGCTTAAATTGCAGCCCGCCCTCTGCTCAAAGGGGGAGCAGGCGGGGGTCCCTTGTTATGTACCAGTACTGCTGTCCAGACTCTTCTGGTGGGATAGTGCTGTTGTACGTTGCGTGAGATACCACCCCCCCAGCCATTATCAAAGCTCGATTACTCTGCAGCCAGAAACATGGAGACAGCAGTGACGGTGCCGAAAATGGCGGCGTTGCACCCGTCTCTTCGAGAGCTTTTCCGAAAACGCATCATGTGATTTCCGCGTACTCGTTGCCGTGAAGTAAATGATGGGCTCGGTCTAAGGGGTGGTATCTTATGCAACAGCAGTGCTTTTTCTCGCAGAGCGTGGGATTCAGAGCAACAACAGAGAGGTGGTCTACTCACGTTCATCTGCACACTAACAAGGCCTAGAGGTAGCAAGCTTACCGGGCCCCCTACACGCGAAGGAACAGTAGAATTCACACCGTTCAGGTGTGGCGCGGCGGTTGAGGGGCGCTGGTGGTGTTGCGGAGTGGTGCGGTCATGCCGCTGTTGACGCTGTCCTGCCGCCGCTGGACGTATGCTGTACAAAAACCGTTGCGATCGCCGTCTCAGCCCAGAGGAGACCGTCAAACACACAGGAGTCACTGCAGATGGGTTCATGGTCCTGTGAGCGTCCTGCTGCAGTGCTGGTGTGCTGGTCAACGACAGCGCTGTCTCTCTGTTGCGGGATCGCTGGGTTTCGACCAACATCGATGGCATCGTCGACGGGGGGTCATATGGAGCTTTTTTTTTTTAACGACTTGCATCGTCGGCATCACAGCACAGCATGGTACGTCAGTCAGCTTCGTTTGGTGCCTCCCGCGCATCTTTTCGTATCTTTTCTGGCGTTGCGCTTTGTCGGCTTAGCCGCCGCCCTCTTCGCCGATATCTGCAGCGTACCCGGAGAATTTTTCGACTCTTTCCTTCCGGTGGCTTACGAAGGTAGCAGCGCAGCAAATTTCAGCGGCCGTATTCATATAAAGAAGGTTCGTTGTTCGTGGACCTTCGAAACTCCAGTCAGAGAAAAGACGACCCGAGCTCGAGATAACCCGCCCATCTGCTGATCGAAGGGGTACAATATAATATGTGCTGTGAAATCTTAGCCTTTTACAGCAGTCAAAGTGTTGAGACCTTGTCTTTACCACGCAGAGCGGTCCTGATGTATCTACCCATATACATGCATATTTGTGTGGACCCGCCACACGATATCCAACAAAAATAATTCTCACGGTGCCATACAACATAACTGCTTGTTGTCTGTATGAAACAATAATAATAGTCTACATAGCGTTCGTCGTAGTGCTGCGCTGTCTGTGTGATGTGCGATCGCCTTCTCCACCGCAGCCACGTCGCAATTATTAATAGTGACCATGGGGGTATGCATGGCCGTTCCTCACTACTCATGCGAGCTCCGTCCCATGCTGGCCAACAGGTCAGTGTGGATGAAACAAGCACACATGTAATGTAGTGTAGTCAACTCTGAAAAAAACTGCTGCTGCTGCTGCTGCTTTGAAACCGACGCCCTTTTGTTTGAGAGGCTCCGCACAGCAGTAATATTGGATCCACGCGTCCTTTTTGGATCGGTACAGCAGTACCAGTACTACACAGATATGAGCAGAGGTCGGAAAACGGTTGAGGACAACAACAGCAACAACCATGGCACCCGTTAGTGATGGGTCGGTTTCGCTCGGTATTTACTGCATTGCACCAGAAGAATACGTTTAGAAGTTCTTCCGCCCTCGGGCATATCAATGTGCGTGTGTACCTACGTAGGTCGGTACCGGTCGATGTGCGACACGCGAGGAAGACACCGACCGACGGGCAGGACGGTGAAATCAGAGAGAGATTAGGGAGGGATGAGGCCGCTACAAAGCTACGTGGTCTAGACTACACAGACAGACCCTTGCAATATACATCGTGTACGTAGGTTTCAGCGTTTCAGCACGTTTCAAGCCCTGTTGCCAGGTACAACGAATGCTCTCTCTCCATCGCTAAGTGCCGTACATACAGATCCAGGGATTTTTCCGGGAAGTGATTTAGGGTTCCAATCAACCTTCTTGCAACTGCACTCGCACACACACAGCCCGAACTCTCGGGTGGTTCCACTGCTGTTCCAAGGACGTCTACCCGAGAACGATCGCGTACTCTTCCTCGTCATGGTCTGTTGACGAGAGGGTGACATGTTCCATGGTTTGGTTCGAACGAGATTTGAAGTTGATGAATGATGAACGTCTCTTCCTCGTGCAACGCACGCTCCCCGCAACCAAAAGAATGGACCGTGATTATTTGCTGCATCCACACACCCTACCCGCAGCCCCCCTCCCTCATCATCAATCCGCCGAGCGCCACCGCCCTCACCCAGCACCATGCACCCCAGCAGCAGCTTGGAAGCCGCAACCAGGCCGATCGCCCCCCCACCGGTCAACACTCTAGTGGCACCAGCACCAGCACCGGCAGCACCTGCAGCAACGTCGACGAGAACAGAGCAGCAGCAAATGCTTGATGTCACAGTACCCGTCCTCATCACCAACCTCGGCCAGGCGGTGCTCCCTCTCACCTCCTTCGCCTACGCGGGAAGACTGACCGACGCGGCTACCTTGGCGGGTCTGGGCCTGGGGGTCAGCGTTAGCAACATCACCGGGGTGTAAGTGCATTGTACTGTGGACTACAGCAGCAGTACATACAAAGACTCCTGTGTAAACTAGTACTGACGATCTCTCTCGTGAGATCCGAGATCCACATACATATATTCTGAAAGTTCAGTCGACTGTCTTTTTTTAGACTATGCGTGATCAGGCAGCAAACAAGATTATTGTTGGAAAGCAGGTAGCAGATGGCCTCGCCACTCATGTCTCAGAGCCTTCAAAAGCTCTCACTACGCAATGGCTGCCGAACCATGGTGCTGTAGAGTCACCGTTGAGCGTTTGGGGGTGAGAAGCGCCCCCTTCTCTTCGTGCCGCTATCTATGTTGTCACTCCGGTTGATGGCTTTGTACAGGAGGAGCAGCAGCACAGCATCATCATCGTGTGTTTTTTTTCCGACCGGTGGACCACCGGCGAACTGAACAAAAAAGGGTGGATGTACTTGGGATGTACAGTATTTACTGTAGTGCAAGAAGCTCGTTGAATTATGTAGTCATGGGCAGATATCTCACGCACCTTGCCGCTCGTTATCGCCATACAGGCGGTGGTGAAACTATAACTCTGTTCGCACAGCACGGTGAAGACAGCCAGTGATATCATCAGATGCCACTAAATAAAAGCCAAACCACATTCATTCGATTGAAATGACCGCAGGCATCGGAGGAACAGAATTGATAAGGATTGTATCTTCCTCTTGGCCTCTTTCCAGCGTTTCATCTAAAAACCAATCGTTGAGAGCTGCCACCCCAAGGCTCACGAGTCTAGTCGTCGTTGTGAGTGCCCTCTTGTTGACACTACGGGTGTGTCAGTGTTGTTGCAACCGACCCTTCTCCACCGCTAGTAGTCTAGTCGGTAGTCTACACACCTACAGCAGCAGCAGTGGACAATTATTATGTACCTTAGCCAATCAGATTGTGGATGTCGTGACGACAACCAGTGGATATCAGGCAACTACCCGACCGGGAAGTCTGGGCTACATACTTACTCGAAGTATATTCCAACTGCTATCTATGTGCTTGGGTGGGTGGCGACCGAGATAGTAAGGGCAATGGTTGAAGGGTCGATGCACAGCGAACGGTTGACAGTTGGTTGCCCCCCCCGCAGCCAGTCCCGGCCATGTGGTGTGCGCATGGGATCGATCTGCACCCAAGTGTCGTTGTTGATGATATCACGAAAGACGATCGATACATTCTCGTAGACCCCGGCCGTCTCTGCCCTGTTCAGATTCATCTGGCGTGCTCGCAGTGTACTTCATCATATCGGGTTGTAGTCAACCTCGTTCCGATTTACGGAGAAAGTTGGCCCGCTCGTTGTCACCAAGAGATCCATCCCGCCGTACTTAGTCAAAGACCACACCGACATCAGCGGGTTGTTGTTGTTGTAGACAGCGGCAACCCAACCATCTTGACTGATGAATGTATACGGACATGCGGACGGTCAGTATATTTTTGGATTGAAAGGTAGAATATGCCAATCATGCTAGTCTAATAAAAGTCTTGTAAATAAGCTATTAGTGGTCTACAGTCATCCCTCGCGGCAGGTTGTGGGTTCACTTCTTTCTCCGGAGGGCTTTTTCCCGGCGGGATTGATCTCCATAATCAACCTGACAGCGATCAAAACTAACTTCCCGGCTACACGGTCGACGAGGGAAAGGGATGGCGGCTGAACCCTTTTCGCGATATAAACAAGGCAAGCACCACAGGGGGAAGAAAGAAAAAGGTGGGGCAATGCAACAGCAGACAAAAACAAAATGAAAAAGATCCTCTGTGGCCTTCCTCCTCTTCTTGTTGTGTGACCCCGTCTGATACAGGCATTGTTGTAGTATTCGCCGAAAGGCTGTACCCCGGTGCAGAATACAACAACAGTAGATGGGACGAACACACACTACATATCATACACACACAGGAGACTAAATAAGTACTAGACACACGCATATGCGCCCGCACTGTGGATGTAAAGAACCTACCTACAGTAGTAGCCTATCAACTAAGGTTTCTTTGGGCGAGGCTGAGGTTCGTAGTCCCTCTTGTGCGCTGTACACATGATGACCGGTCGGTATATCATAGGTTTGAGTGCAACGGTTTCTCAGCCGGGCTTGCTTGCAAATGGTGCTCAAGTTCTGAGTTTTTCGAGGCTCGATTTCTCAACCGCTGAAAGTAAGTTCTTGAGTGCGGGCGCCAAATAAATGCTAAGTCGGCTACGGACGGAGTATTAATAGTAGTACTGTTTTACCGTCCTCTCCTGCCACGACGCTGCCACTGCCGGATGGATGCCAAGCAAGGCTAAACTTCCAACCATCTGCTAGTTTGTTTGCGGACGATCACTCACACTCTTTCGTATATATACATCCCCCCTGTAGTTCGAGCTTACTGCCTTTTTGTCTTTTTGTTCTTCCACGAGGAAGCGGTGATCAAAGCAACGTCCTACGGTACGCAGACGAAAATTCCGCGCAGAAAATAGCAATCATAAATGGACATATCCTGGTCTCCGTTGGAAGCTACGCGCTGCAAAGTGCGTTGTTAGTAAACTTGATCGACTTCACAAGTCGCGAGGGAAGGGATTGCTGTACCCTTCTCGCGATAAAAATATCTCAGGCAGGAATCGCAGGAGGGGGTCCAACCCCCCCCTCCTATGTGACCCCGGTTGGGTCGTCTAGCTGGTAGAAGTGGAGGATAGGGGCCAGAGGGGCAGACGACAGAGTCCAATGATGGGAGAAAAAAAATAAAAAATACAAGGAATACCCCCTGGTACTCCTGTCCCCCCCTCCGTCCCTGTTATCATCCCTCCCCCCCCCCTCGTTCGGAAAAAATAAGGGTGGCGTGGGTGGGAGAAACGACAACACCAGCTCCCAGGAACAGAATGGTCTAACAGCAGGTAGCAACCGGCAGTGTTGTCCGCTCGCACGTCTAGCTCTCCCTGCGCTATTTTCCTAGCGCTGATGCTCCCGACGTGCGTGGTAGACTCGAGTAAGAATGATCAGCGTGCGTCTGTCTCGACCACGCACGCAGATATCCTCTTCGCCATATAATAGAAATGCCTACTTCTTCCAACTCCAATAAACACCAATTTCTGACTCTCCCCCCCCTTTGGTAGGATCCGCCAGAAATACTCGCAACTTTCAAGAAAAGACTGAATTCTAAGTAGTCCAATGTCCCGATATCGCCAGAACAATAGTAGTAGTACAGCAGTAGCGGGACGTGGCCAGACACAGAGCGATGTTAAGGGGGACCCGATTCGCAGGGTACCCGTCAATTGACTTTGTTTACCAGAATCGGTACACCTTCTTCGCACATGGCGTCGTCGGCAAGACACTGGTTCGAATCTCTTGGTGTACACATTTTTGGCCAAATTTGGACATTTCCCCCCTACGGCACAAAGTAGTAACAACGTGTGTCAGTCCTGAGAGCACCTCTTTATCGTTGGAGTCGACCGTACAAAGAATCTGGGACACTTTTACACTTTTCCATCGAATTGCCCGTCCTGGCCACAACAGGTTCCCAGTTGAGGGTAAATTCTGTGGAGAGGGTGTTAAGGAGGACCCGATTCGCGGCATCCGTCGATTGAGTTTTACCTGAATCGGTACATCTTCGCACGAGCCGTTGAAGTGTCAATAATGCGCACGCCAATTGCGCACGCACGTCACCGCTTAACGTCACCAGCTCTTTCTTATGGAGTACCTGCATACATGGATGGGGAAATAAATCTGGTGTGCGTGTGCACACGCGTTGTGGTGCTTCGAGTTCATAATGTGTGTGCGTACTTGTTTCTGATGATGTCGATGTGCTTGCAAGTGGGTTATGTCGTGCGGGAGTAAAGACTTGTGTATGTTTTCCCATTGCGAATAAAATAGATTGTGTGGTCTTACGTCGTTGGAAGTACAGGCTGCGTCGATTGAGACCGAGCCCGTAGACGGACGCAAGAGGGCTCTCACTTTAATCTCCGGTGTAGGGTCCCCGTATGCAGCAGGTGGTTAGGGAGGGCACCACCTTGGCGAGTGATACACAGACAACGCGATTATGGCGTAGCTTTGACGCAGGACCAACATCAACAACAATGGGGACAGCAAAGCGACGACCTATCTATACAACGCCATCCGATTAGTTGGATTTTTTTGTATCGTTCTACAGGATAAGAGAATACTGTACACTACACCGATTTATCAAGAGGTGAAATCATACGTGCATAAATACGCCTTGCACACACGGCGAACACCTGTCTTTGGTTGAGACAGGCATCAAACGCACGTACGTAACGATATTTGTACTCCCGACAGTCCAGTCCACTACAACAACAGCATCTCAGTCTGGTTGGCGGATCGTCCCCCTCCCCCGCCCCCCTCTATGCATTCTCCAATATTTGTTCTGTGCACCGCTACGACTGGCTGTGTGTTTTGTACTTGTTAGGTGTATCTACTATGGGATGGGTACTGGCATCGAGCTGCTGTGCGCGCAGGCGTGTGGGGCGAAGAACAACCACCTCGTGGGAGTTGCGTTCGCGCGAGGCACCCTGCTGACGGCGTTCCTGTTCATCCCGGTGGCATTCCTCTGGTTTTACATGGAGAACATTATGCTCGCCTTCGGTTAGTTGCCTGCTAAGACTATATAGGAGAGCAAGACACGCCCCGGCAAGAATCGCAAAGAACTTAGGTTGCACCTACCACACGCGGGTGTAACAGACATGCAGCACGGTGTTCATCGCGATGTTTGTTTCTTGTCGTCGTCGCACATTTTGCATGACGGCTACATATAACAGTTTCCTCCGTCGCCGCCGCTTGGGTGATGTATTTTCTCCGTCTGGTACTGCGATGGCGTCGTTACCTGATTGCTGTCCTGTTTGTTCTCGGTTCTCCCTTGCCTGGCAGGACAACAGGAGAACATCGCCCACGTCACTGGGACCTTTACCAGGGCGTATCTGTACGGAATGGTCCCGTACGCCGTGTACGAAAATCTCAAGCGATGCCTCCAGGTGCGCTCCCGCGCTCGTGCGCGCGTGCCGTGTTTGTGTTTCTTTTTGTTAGCATCGACCGCGCTAAGCGGCTGACCAATGAGAAGACGCCAGGATGCGTGTGGTTGAAAACACAAAGCGCTTCTAAAAGCCTGTTTTGTGTGTTTGGGCTTCCTAAGTTGCATCGAGTTTTTTTCAACGGACTTGACGTGTGCGTGGACTATTTCTTGTGGCGGCTTGTGCCCGTCGTAGTATAGAAGGTGCGCGCCGTCGGGCGTTTTCGACCCACACGTTTCTCTCGTCGCCTCGAAATCTGGAAATCGTACACTTTGTTGTGCATATACCAACCGAATTTTTCTCGCGCGCCGCACAACCACGGCATGTTGTTGTGTTCGTTCGTGTCTTGTGCTGCTACCCTCGAAACAAAACAACAACGAGCAGGCGCAGTCTGTGGTGATCCCTGTGGCGGTCGTAGCCATCTTAGGGGTCTTCGCTAACGTCGTCTTCCACCACGTCACCATGGTCGTCCTGGGAATGGGGGTTGACGGAGCGGGGCTGGCGCTCAGCCTTACCGGGATGTTCCTGTTGGTGACCTTGATCTCTTTCACGTGGATGTTTGGGTGAGTTTAGCCCCATTAGCCTGGTCCGGTGAAAACGAGCGTGCTCCGTCCCGGCTTTGTACGGATGCGAGGTCAATGGTCTAACGACTACGGCGTGCACGGCTGTGAGTACACCCCCTATGCAAAGAACGACCGCTTATTGTAGGAAATTCCCTTGTAGGCATGAACGGTTCTCCGATTCGAGAGATCCCTTTCAAGTACTCACCTTTGTCTGGTTCCCATTAGTTGTTGACTTTAATACATGTGTTAGTGCGGACCCAAACAGAACATGAAAAATGTATCAAGAGCCAATGTACATGTAGACTACATTGTGAGGGAGACCCGCCGAATGCACGTATGTCCAAGGGCATGGTTTTCGGAAGATGGCAGATGCAAGCAGTACGATGGGTAACCTGGTCGTTTCAGGATTGAATAACCAGAACGTATGTAGAGTACAGCCGAGTACAGCGAGGAGCTTGAAGCGCGTTGCCGGTGCGGTGGAACAACGTATCACCACCACCCACGACGGCCACATCGACGTCATCGTCGACAACAGCAGCAACAACAGCATCATCATAAAAAAACAACAACAAAATGACAACATTTAACACCCGAAAACCACCCCTTTGATAACCCAGGCTCGGCGCTAGAGGTTGCTGGTCTGGACTCCTTTCCACGGACATATTTAAGCACTGGCCTGCGTACCTTGCCATTTGCATCCCTGGGTTAATCGGAGTGTTCATTGAGTGGACTTCGATTGAGGCTTCTATCTTCTTTGCGGTGAGAAATAAGCTTTTGTTACCTCAGCTGATGTTGCTGTTGAAGCTCATGGCTCGTGCGTGCTCTAACTTTCTCAACCTCTCGCTTTCGAAAACTGCTTTTCGAAAACTGCAGGTCTTCCGTGTTGTTGTTGTTGCTGATGGTGTTTGGTCGGTATGTATTGTGATTGTTGTTTAGGCAAAAGCGGCTACGGTTGTGATTGTGACTGTGACTGTAGTTGTAGTTATTGCTGTGGTTCTGGTTGGCATCGCGATTGACTTTGTTGTGGTTGTCTTTTGGCACGGCCTCATCTCCAAACTTCGAACGATACGGTGTACTTTGTACAGGAGTTGTTTTTTCTACCGTGTTCGGGCACGCGTGCGGAAACTTTCTTGTTTTTGCATTCATGGCCTCCCTGTAGAGCAGTTGGTGAAACACACGGCGACTCTCAGCGCCTTCAACCTGCGGCTGCTACCTTCCTCCATCGGTCGTTACCCTGTAGTTTGCCTTGCATTTTTCGATCTCATCATTCACCCGGCGGCTGTTCTAGCATGAGCTCGAAAAGCACCATGAGACCATGAGTGGCAGCACCACCCTCCTCTTTCTCTACTAGGATTACGAATCAATTTCCCTCTCGCACGAAATACGTGGTCAATAGTTAAAGGTACGCGGCAAACGAGTACGCCTTCCCCCCTCCCTTCCTCTCCCCAGGGGCTCCTAGGGGAGAAGCAACTGGCGACGCAGGTGCTGATCCTCAGCGCCTACAACATCGTCTTCCAGTTCGCCCTGTCCATCAACATCGGGTCAAACATCCGGGTCGGCACCCTCCTGGGTGCCGGGGACTCCGAAGGGGCGCGCAAGGCCGCATGGTGCGGGGTTCGTCTGGGCCTGATGGCGGCGGCAGCGGCGGCCCTGGGATACGGGTTCGGACGCGCCCAGTGGCCCCTTCTCTACGGGGTTTCCGAGGACGTGCTCGGCATGATCGTCGACCTTACTCCGATCTACGTCGCGGGTCAGGTTAGAAAGCCAGAAAGAGAGAGAGAGAGAGAGAGAGAGAGAGAGAGAGAGAGAGAGAGAGAGATTGGGGAAAAAGAGAGAGAGAAACGAATATGCACACAGAAAGGCTCTTTTTTTCCGGTGGGATGTTAAACAATACCGTGTCCTTACCCCTCTTTCGGTTGATTCGGAGAGAAAGAAGATGAGAGACAAAGCTTCTTTTTGATTTTCCATGGAGTGCTAACCGACATCATGTCCTTCCACGTCTCTCGGCTGATTCCTTTTCGTTTCATGTAGCTTGCAGTTGTTTTGTGTATCGCAGGGGACACAGGGTTGAGGCACGAATGTCTCGTCGCGGTTGGCGCTTCACACACGATGCCGTCCCACCCCGACTAGCACCCAACAACGCTCGACGGTAACCTTCGTTGCTGCTGCCGCTGCTACTCGAATCTTGTTGCTGCAGATGATAAACATGATGCAGATTGTGTGCAATGGCATCTTGAAGGGCATGGGCCACCAGCGCATCCAGGTGAGAAAAATACAACATAAATTAAGACGATATCGCAACATTCAAGGATGTCGCGGGCAGTTGGTCATGGCAGGCACGGTCGAGAAGCAGGGGGTGGGGGGGCGAGATACATTCGAGGAAAACTGCAGAACGTCCACCCGCAAGAGAACGAGTTCCAGCCACACCACACGACATTGCTACCTGAAACATATTCGGCCGCCTCCTCTTGCTTCACGCAGCCCTACCCACAAGACACAGCAAGCGTGCTTACCCCCACGAAAACGATTTTCTCTGCACAGGCCATTGCGGCGGGCGTCGGGTTCTGGGTGGTTGGCGTTCCTCTGTCGGCCTTTCTTGGGCTTCAGCTCGGCTTCGGGGTGAAGGGCCTCTGGATAGGGCTAGCCGTCGGGGAATTCCCCCTCGTCCTCTTCTACATTTGCCTACTCAGGTACCATGAGTCCCAAACTGAAGTGGGACGATAGCATTGCTCTTTATAACTTGTTGTTCACCTTCCTAAAAATTGGGAGTTGTCACCGCATTCACCGGCCAGTGGTTTGTGCTTCTATTTCGGAAGAGGAGTGTACAGGGCCTGTCCCATATTGTGCTGTGGCGCACCTCTGATAGGGAAGAGAGTGACCCCCCAAGCATATCGAAGCAACCGCAACAAGCGCCGCACGTCGCAAATGCCATCTACAAAGCTAGGGTTTTGTCGCAGACTATTTATTGCACGTGCGTTATTTCCGGGGATGTTGCATAAATATCCATGGCTGAACAATCGAGAGCTATCTGTCTCAGTACAAGTTGTTTTTTGCATGGCACGTGTTGGGTGAACGAACGTGATTGACACAGGTAGTCTGGGACTATGAACTGACCACATAGTATAACTCCGCCTTTCCTAGGGGTACGAGAACGAGGTCCCCGCGACGATTCTTGGTGAACATCACGCACAGTCCAACCCGAAAGCATGGTGCGTGTTCGTCCGGTGCCCGGCATTTCTCAGAGCATGAAGTGTTTCTCATAAACATAAGAGTTTCTGATTTTGGTAGAAAGTCTAAGTTTCTCCTCCCCTTCCCCGCAATTGATTTTTCTCTCTCCTAGATCGGCCGACTGGAACCAATGCGCTCTCGACGCCGCAGAGCGGGTCGATGAAAATTCTGAGTTCGTCCTGGTCGAGACGGACCCCAGCAACCTTCCAAGCGACTCCGATTCTTCCGAGTCTTCGGATTCTGCCGATTCCGATTGCGACAGTGGCGCCGGGGGGGGAGCCGTCCCCGGGTTTCAGGCAGGAGGCGGCTCGGAGGACGAGGAGGAGGCGGGTGGGCTCGAGGATTTTTACTGCGGGGGCGGTGGGAGGGCCATCGTCCGGGGAACTAGCGGCGGGGAGAGAGTTAAGACGGACCACGCAGGGGAGAAGGTCAAGCTTGCAACGGTGGTACCTTATCGCCATCGCGATGGTGGCGGCCCCGGTGTGTACATGATCGTGTGATGAGGGTGCCGTGGGAACGACGTGCGGCCCGTGGCGCCCGGCCGGTCTCCGACATTGTTGGACAACATGCGATGGAGTGACGGACGCCCTCAGGTAGATGCGTTTGGTCGATCTCGTGTGGTGAATGCTCACGCTATTAGATAGGGCACGGCCGTAGCCTTAGCGCCTCAATTACTGCTGAGCGCCCGATTGATCATGTGAGACAAGCATCAGTCCGTGTCATCATTCGTGAGGATGATTGGCGTGTAGCCACCCTTGCTGCTTCACCCAATTCAATGTGGCGATCGATCTGGAGCGTTTGATTGTGATGGAGAAATTTGGCGCATGCATGCATGTGTACGGACGAGAGCGCGCCCGCCAGTGAGTTTGTTTTGTTGCTGTGGCCCTGACACGCGTCGCGGCGCACTTGCTACGGGCGCGCTTGGTGCTGCGTCGTGCGTGCGCCATTGGACATCGCTGGCGGCCACCAAGGTCGTGATGATGATGTGGAGGCCACCAAAGTGATGTGGAGTGAAGTTATGGCGTGAATGATTTGTTTGGTGCGTGCTTTCCTCTTTCGCGTCGTTTCGTCCCGTCTTGGCAGCTGAGGAAACGCTGATAGAAGCATCGTCATTATCATCGCAGATTTTGGGCGTTTGTTTCAGGTTCTAGATACTACCCCCTTAGCTTTGTGCGACAAGGTGCTCTGAATCTGAATATGTTCAGTGTTGCGTGTCCATGTCTACCACTTTGGCTTCATTTTTTTTTGGGGGGGGGGGTCATCGCATATTTATTTTCATTCTAATTGGTCCCATATGATGCTGCGCTGAGATTATATTTTCCAAAAAATAGTTTTTTTCATATCTTTAGTTTCCTCGTTGGATAATTTTTGGCACAACTTTATGTATAGTTTGTTGTAGTAGGTGACTTGATATCCAAGATTGTCAAGGCCCGAGGGCCGCGTTCGAGGAGCGCGTGGAGAACGGAGTACGATGATTGGCTCGTGACATTTTGGGGGAAACTGCCCGTCTGTCACACCACCAAGCCTTTTCTCATTGGTAATGAATTCATTCATAGTCTACAGTAGCTGATGCAGCGGGAACGGCTCAAAATGTCAAACAAAGCACACTAGGGTTGCTCGTCGGTGCAGCCTAATGCCGCCCAATTGTGTAGTTTGCTAGAAGTTGTACCCGCGGGAGTTTAGGAGTAGAAGAGTCGTTACAGGAGCGGCGAAATGAGCCATTTCGAAGAGTTTCAGCAGCACAAAAATACCAGGTTTTTAGAGGCACACGGTTTACAATCAATCTCATCTACAACTGTTTGCAGAAAATATTTTTGTGAAACTTATTTTTTTTTGTGTGTTGCCGGGAAGAAGGCGGATGCAGTTCTCGAGGCTTGCAACTCTTGTTATAGTAGTATAGATCCCCATTGTAGGCCGGATAAATAGCGAGGTGACACCCCAGCACAAAACCGAAAGAACGAGCGCGTGTAGCTGTGTTGTTTTCGGTAGTGGGTGAAAACTCAAGGGTGGTTAGTGGTTGTGGGTGGTGTTAGGGAAGTTCCGTCAACACTGGTACAGTAGTAGGTATTTTTTTGTTCCTGACGGTCTTCATGTTGTGTTGGTGATGTGTTTCTAGGTTTGCGTGCGTTTGGTGGGTGGTTGTTTTGTTTGCGTGAGATGCGAGGGGACTCGGTGTGGTAGGTTGATGTTGTCGATGCCACGTGTTGTCATCATCCGTGGCGCGCGGTTGGTGTGTGTTGGTGTGTGTGTTTTCGCAGCTCCTCGGTGGTGGGGCGGATTATATTTTGTTTGCCGTTTTAACGCTACCGCGGATGCTACTTGCTGGTTGTCTGTCGCGACTCTTTGCATGATGAACCGCGACGACGGAGAGAGATAGATGAGCAACGCGCTAAAACAATCCATGTCTCTCTCTCTTCATCAGTGCACTGCAGTTTGGATACGGCTAAGCCTTGATATTCTAGAGGACAATCAACGGGGAATATTCTTCTACTGTATCTCCATATATCGCTTCCCGAGAATTCAGAATTGCACGACGCGGACATTAGAAGGTACTGAGCGGAGACCGGAACGGTAAAAAAAGCAACAATGTTTAGTGTTGAGGCGTTTTCTTGGTTGACGTTAAAAGGACCTCCTCTTGAGGACGGCGTGACAGTCTGAGTCAAACGCTTATTGTTATAGCATCTTCGAGAGATGGGACCTATTTACATGCATATGCCGTCCATGAAACATGTCCATCTTCAACAAGTCGTTCATTCTCCTTCCCGCAGAGAAAAACATTTGTGGCACGCAGTTCGCTGATTGGCCAACGCCCCCTGCGGCGGACTTTAAAAAACGGCAAAAAAATAGGGCACGGTCGAAGATCCTCGGACGACGGGTGACGTCATCCCAGTACTATCGGCAGCGAGCGACACTTGTTCGTACAGTACGCCCTGCGGATTGGTCAACGCACCCAACAACTCCGAAATCGGTTCGTTCCCACTCGCCGAACCAAACTTATAGAGGAAATGAGAGCATCATGTACCGCACCAATTAAGGTTCTCGAGTTGACGGCTTTTGGGTTCATCGTCGGAGGTACGCACAGGTACATGCTCTGGGCAAATGGTGCTTCGTGATCCCAGCTTCGTTCGTCTCTTCTCCACACGCGCGCCCCACATGCCGCAGCAATCTGCAATTGCACAAGGCATCGACCCCCCTCCTCCCCAACGACATACTTCTTCGTACTTTGCATTCGATCTGCGCGAAGAATTCAGCGGGTGGAACCGCAAGCCTAAAAGCTGACGACCGGCACGACGTAGCTTGAGGAGGGCCTTCCAGGCACATGAAATACCAGGAAAAATATACCCGCCCTTCGCTCCCTTCCATCCCCTCCAAAAACCCGAAGTCCCCCGCCAGCCCCTCTCCGCAAACACCTCGGGATCGCTCATATGCCGCTTGCGGACACATAAGTACAAGGGTGTTCAAAAGAGTCTTTCAAACAGAACCATACGGCCACCATCGCACACGGCACCCCCTCCGGCCCAGTTCTTTCTCCCTCCTAAACCGCAAGATGCGGCCAAACTACGGGCATCGGGAATCAAACAGATAGATGACGTCCTGCATGTATATTAACAAAACTTGTAATTTTTTCGTTTGAGGTTCGCTGGGCTCTTCGAGTCAACAACACGTCAGCTTGGGTGAGCTTCGGAAACTTCACTAACGGCACCTGGCAGCTGATTCACACCAACACGTGCTGCACGTTCATCTTGCATCACACGTTGATGGCACTACTACCATCCCATTCGGAGGCGCGCCTTGTATTCAACTTTGCTTCTTTTCGTCGTCGCCGAAGAGCTCTCGCTCCTCCCGCGCCAACTCCTCCTCGAACTTGCCGGGCTTTCCGCTCGCGGCCGCAGCGGCAGACGCATGTGTGCTGCTCCAGGGGTCTTGCTCGGGGGCCCCGGGGAACGTGGGCGGCAGGGGAGGGGGGGTGTCGTGGCCGGTCTTAGTCTGCGTCGCCGCGGAAGAAGCCGAGGCGGACTGCGGAGGGCCGCTGGCGCCGCCGCTGAACGGCGGCCCTTGCCCTGAAATTGTGACGGAGGCGCGTTTTCGGGGGCACGTCGGTGTGGCAATGAAAATTTTGCGGGCGAGGGACTTAAGTGGGATCGGGTTTGATTTCGCTTACGTCTGCGAACCTTCGTCGAAATGTTCGGTAAGAACGGCGTCGCAGGCTGTGAAACCGATCCCTCCGGCATTTCCCACAGCAGTGCAGCAGAAGTGCACCACTATTTCTTAGGGGGGCAGCTTCACGCGCAACGACCGCAGCAATCAAGTACGGGGACTTCCTTCGAGTGAACCGGGCCAGCTACACCTGCCGTCCCATTGCCACAACTACCACGTCACCAACGAAACGACGATGAACAATAACATCACGCGCTCTCACTGGCGCCCGCCGTGCCATTGCCACAACTGCCGAGTCACCAACAACAATGTACTGTAACACCATGAGCGCTTACCAGCGTCCGCCGTGCCATTGCCACAACTACCACGTCACCAACAACAACGAACTGTATGTGCCATGTGCGCGCGCTTACCAGCGCGCGGAACTTGTGATGCGACGAAGGACAACGCTTGTGAAGCCAGCGCGGCCACGTTGGGCGCCGTCTGCGCCAGGGTTTCCGCACCCGGGACCTGAAGGCACGCGGGAGGAAGAGACAAAAAACGATAGAGGGAAAAAAAGTCATTCTACGTCGACGTGAGTGATTGAATGAATCTCGAGGGTCGGTGCCGGCGAGGGCTGCCAAGTGCAGTGAACATATATATAGCCGCCGAACGGCCTCGCGACAGAAGAGTGAAAGAGTCAGGGCCTAGGAGGCACGAACACACGAGCCAAGAGGACGAAATACACCAAGGGTTGGAGTGAAAAGGGGCCGCGGCTAGCTCCGATGGAAATCAATCCGTCGCCGGCCGCCGTGGAATGACGAGAGGGATTCGACAACAACAACAACCACAGAGAAGATTGTAAGGTCACTTCACAAGTCGTCTCAAGACTCCACCAGACGAACTGCGAACCACGCGCGTGGTGAGTGTAAAAAACTGAATGAAAATGGAACGAAAGAGCTGCCCATGTTGGGGTAGATGGCGATATTGGCATCACTGCTGTTTTCTTGCATTTCACCCTCTTAGGACGTCCTATTTGGTTAGCGCAATCAGCTAGTAACGGCGGAAGCGACGGAATTCTATCGTAGGCGCCCATCCCATATTGAAATTTCCAGCAGAATGAGGAAAACGGAAACAACTCAACTATTTTTATCGCTTGCTTCCACCCGTTCGCAGGGATTTTCTCAAGAATTAACAGACGATATAGGAGAGTAATTATCTATCTCAAGATCCAACACTTATATATCCTCGCCCTCTCCTGTTCGTACTGAATATTGGGTCCTATTCCTGTTTTCTCTTCACGAGCCATCGTATGTGTACATTTTTTCCTGTTCTGCATTGAATACCACCGAAAGCCTCCGCGTCAGTTGAGCCTTTTGAATGCTAGATGTTAAGGAGGACCCGATTCGCAGGGTATCCGTCGATTGACTTTTACCAGAATCGGTACACCTTCGCATATGGCGTCAGCGGCAGGATACTGGTTCGAATCTCCTTGGGTGCACGTTTTTTTCTCCTGACTTGGACATTCCCATGGACACAGTGTGTGTCAGTCCTGACAACACCTCTTGGAATCGATCCTATAAAGAACCTTGTGACACTTCCATCGAATTACCCGTCCTGGCCACAAGAGGTTCCCAGTTGAGGGTAAATTCTGTGGGTGGAGAGTGTTAAGGAGGACCCGATTCGCAGGGTATCCGTCGATTGACTTTTACCAGAATCGGTACACCTTCGCATAGAGGTATTGAAGAGACAACGTCGCCGTTCTTAGCGAAAGACAACAGACTACTGGGGTATGTTGAGAAAATATTTCGTAAAATCCAATAGACGTAGTATACAGTTGCATGAAAGATGTGACAGCTACAGTAGTGAACAAAAACTCATCACACACGGATCACCTGCTTGGAAGCTTGTTTGAAGAAAGGTCCGGCCAGCGACACAGCCGCTGAACTCAGGGATGTAGCCACGGTGCTCAGCCCAGTTGCAACGTCAGCTGCCTGGTACAACATAGTGTGCGCGAGAACGAAGCAAACATAAATTCAGGTGCCGGGCGAGACAAGATGGAGGTGATCTTCAGACGCTTCGAAGGCATGATTTCATCTGCTTCGCTTCGTTCTGTACGCTCGAAGTCAAGGGCGCAACTCGTGCTCGAAGGAAATAAATCTATGAAAAAAGGCACAGGCGGGGCCACTAAGCGAAAGCGGTCGTATATTTCCTCCCTCGCACACGTTTCGATGCAAAAGCACCGCAACCACAACACAACAAACACAACTATGGTATTTGTGAGAAGGAAGCCTGCCAGTAATCCATTCCACACCCCGCGGTTCGTTGTCACCAGCAGCCCAAAATAGACAAAACAGATCAAGGGAGGGAAAAAGGTAAGAGAGTTTTTGTACCAGCGTTCGTCAAGTCTGCTGCCCTGTTGTTCCATCAAGTGGCAAGGTATACATTTAGGTGAGATCATGGGGGGGCACGGGATCAGTCAAGTAGTTGCGGCACAATTTCCCATTTGTACGGAACGAGGGGTTTCCACATGGAGGCATGGACGACGGACGCAGCCACCATGACGCCTGCCGCAGCTTCAACGAGGTAAAGTAAGGTTGCGAGTCTCCGCACAGGGGTGTCATTGTAGTTTTTCAAAGCTTCATTGCTCCACAACTAGGAGGGTGCGAAAGCCAAGAAACACGTCCAATGAAAGATCTCGACGAGAAAATTCCAAAACCACCATTTTCGGGAGTGGTGACCCCCAAGTTGTAGAGCAATGAAGGTTTGAAAAACTGTGCGGAGCCTCGCAACCTTACGGTACCTACTGCAGGGTACCGCCGACAAGGACCGTTCCAATCGCGGAACGTTGGTGTGTTGCTTGCTGCGGGGTGCTGTACGAGTCGCACAAATTCACGCTAGCAATAAAAAAAAAAAAGTCCGAACGCGCCCGAACTTAAGAACCCAGGAGTTGAGAAATTGAGCCTCAAAAAAATAAAATTTAAGAAGTTGAGCACCATTGGTGAGCTCGGTTAAGAACCCCTACACTAAGACCTATATAGCGACCAATCGCAGCATGACCCTAGGAACTAAGAACCTCCGCCTCGGCCGAAACTAGAGGTTCTTAAGCGCGGGCATGTTCCGTAGGTGAGATCGGAACGGTTTCTAATGTGAAGACAACAACAACAACAACAACAACAACAGGTGTCTTGCTCATGCATCACGTGTGTGGTACGTACGGTGAGCGCACAGGAAGTGCACCAACAATGCAGCAATGCGCTCACATTCTCCGGAGAAGACGCGAGAATCTCGTAGTCCAACAGGAGGCGGTCCAATAAATCCCTGGGGGGAGTTCCAACAGCGAGCCGTGGCGAGTGCAAAAAAATAAGGACCACACAATCAATTTCTGCGGAGGAATCAACATCTCACCTATTCATCCCACCGGGTCCCCGCGGGCGTGTCTCAGTTTTGATTGGCTGAAGTCTGATTGGTTGACGGCTAATCGAAAATACGTTCCGAATGGGCGATACGAGCCCTTGGATCCCAGAAATTCCGTCACCACGCTGCGGCGACGCACATGGGCGTGTGACACAATGCGGATTTCTGCACCTTTTCCCCTCCTCAAGCGTGTAGATATACATAGCTGCCGAACACCATAGTCCGACGCAAGAAAACACCCCAGCGGTATCTAAACGTTATCGCCTCTAAAAACAACAATCAACCGGTGACAATGTATGTGAGAGGCGTGGTGTCTTACGTTGCCGTGTTACTTACTTGATCTGAGAGTAGCTCGTTGGTTGGGGCTCGCGCTGACCCGTATAAATGTGCTAACGGGTGTGTGCTACCATCTTAGTGGGTGTGTTATCTTGCATCATACTTCCAGTAGTGCAAAAATAACGGCACCTAAACGGTCTGCCCAGAAGGGTCAGTACAGACGGGCCGTGCATGTACGTCCCATGACAAAAAAAAAGCAGCACGCCCTAGGATGACTTGACGATTTCGTTGCACGGACGCCGGCAATTTCGACGCCGGTCGGATGATCAACCCGTAATGCTGTAAGATGTAACTTACCACGTGTCCTTCAGGTCCTCAGACTTGTCCGTCAGCATGTAGAGCTCTACCGGCGAAAAATTCGACGCGATGACGAACGAGACAAACGGAAGCGGGGCAGCGCATACCGGGGGTGGGGTGGGACAAGGTACGCAAGATAGCGAAAGTAAGTTGCAGGCGTGAACTTTCACGAAGATGTAGCGCAGGCGTGTATACAAACATTGCGCCGGGTGGGGACTTGTTCATGCGTTCAGAGGCGATGGAGCCATATTCCATGATGGACCACCTTCGGACACGAAGTAGCGTAGGAGCCTTCTGCTCGTTAGAGATGGCACGTTCCCCCAACACGTCATGGCTCTCCACGTCCATGCCGCACGCGAAGGCGATAAGCTCTCGCTTTCCTCGTCCGCTTCCCTGCGCCGCCTGTTCTGGCTGCCGCAAGACGAGAAAGCGACAGCTACGCCGCGAAACCCTCTGGCATTCCAAAGGCTGATCGGCGATACGTGGTACACGAAAATCCCGGAGAGCCGTTACCCGTGTGGAGGCAAACACCAGGAAATGCATCAAGCACCGAGCCCCCCTACTCTACTCTTCGGGACACTTTCTAAGCCTGTCAGGGGCACCAATCGTTTATCAACCTTGGGATAGATATCTCCATATGTTGTCACGTCAACCATACCGGGCGCATTACAAAATATGCTGCGAACCGCTTGATAGGGGACACTACCAAAAACGAGCAACACCACCACCCTCACCTGTTGAGGCGTACATTCCAGCGATGACCCCTCGCTTCCCGTACCAGGAAAGGTCCGTGGAACGGTCCCCGCCGAGAAACGCCAACTCGTCCGCCAACACCGCCACCGCAGTCGCCGTCGCCCCCGCGTTTTGGGGCAGAAGGCCGATCGACATGGCCTGCTTCCACGAAGAAAACGTTGCGGACAATCAATTGTTGGAGACGATTCGAATGGTATCAAATCGAACCCTCTCGACGGTACTGTAGGTTGCAGAAGATATCACCCCCCCCCCCCCCCCTGGATCGTCCGGTGAGAACCCGGCGTGCTCCGTCCCGGCTTTGTAGGGATGCGAGGTCAATGGTCAAACGACTACGGCATGCACGACTATGAGTACCCTCCCCAAGATCGATTTTTCAAAGCTCGACTACTCGACGAACGAAGAGGATGCCAGCATGAAAAGAGAGGCTTTCGGGAAGCTCTCGACGAAACGGTTCAATCAGCGTCATTTGTGGGCGTCGTTGCCGTTTGTGCTGCAGAGTAATCGGGCTTTGAAAACCGGTCGTCCTGTAGTATCCTTGCAACCCACCGTCGGTACCTGAGTCGGGAGGTGGGGGGCGATGGCGCTACGCTAACACGGCGGTACAAGAGAAGGGTGGATTCCGGCCCGGAATGTACAACAACGGTACCTCACCAGAAAAAAAAAACACAAGCGAAACAATAACACGAGATGCTGAAACGGTCGATACGCACATGAGGCCAGTGAGACTTGTACGGCACAAGACAAGAGATGGCAGCCTTGATGCCGTCTCTCAACCTCTCCGCCTCGGAAGGTGGCCACGCAGACTCCGACCCCGGGGACGACTCGTCTCCATCCTCGGAACCAGCACCGCCGTCCCCGCCTTCCTCCTCCTTCGACTTCTCGCTCAAGCGCTTCACCTGTCACGATAATATTTTTACGATTACTCGAGTCATGATCTCGCTCTCGTGTGCTGAAGCAGGGGGGCGCGGGTTTGTCGTCAAAAGCAACTTGACGGAGAAGGATTTCGCCCTCTGGGTGTTGTACACACTGGGGGAAATGAACGCATGCTGCACTGGATACCCACTACCCAGTCGAATAAGCCACAGCATGGGCAACCTATTTAGTCGGCAAGTATTTGGCGCTCGTCACACAGAGAATTGCACCCCGACTTTGTGCCCAAAAAGAAGACGTCTCGATGCCCTCAACGGGCAAACCAACGCTAAAACCGGGGATACAACTCGAGCCGTCAAAGGGGACAAACACGGCGCGGCATACAGACACACGCACGGACAGCTTTGCCACGGCAATCGATGTCCCGCTGAGACTTCACGTGAACGGGTTGGTCAGCCCGTAAGCGTCGTCGATACAAAGCAAACAAGCGAACACACACACATACCTCGTGTAGAGCTTTGGCCATGAGGTGGTGCACCAGATCAGCCTCCCCCTTTGGAAACATGCCTGCGGCAACCGAGTGAAACCTGCGCCCGCAACAAGGACCATTTCGCTTGTTAACACAAAAAAGGAGCTGGTGACAGGGGAGTGAGAACCAAGAGCAACGTTGTTGTCGCTACTTCTGGTGTGTCCAAATCGCAAACATTTGGTATCAACACAAGGCGGTGCCTCCACTATCCGTACCTCCTCCCCGGCTACAACTAGAATTGTTCGGGAGGGCCAGCCTACGTGACCGCGGAGAAATGTTTTGAGAGGAGCACGCGAGAGAAGTATGACGCAGCCGTTCCTACGGCAGTCACATGGAGAGCAAAAGCTTACACACCCGCAATCCTTGGCACCGGCAGCCAGGGCAGTGGCCGAGAACCTGGGCAAGATCAGGACCAAGAGAGGAGGGGTGGGGGGGGGGATGGAGGGTTTGGTGTTGTGTTCGTGAGAGAGAGAGAGAGAGAGAGAGAGAGAGAGAGAGAGAGACGAGACGAGACGAGAGACGAGAGACGAGAGTGGGAGAGACGGAGAGAGAGCGGGCCTACGAACACGAAGTTCAGCGGGGTCCAGCTTTCGCGGAGGCGGACGGCAATGCGTACACTACGCCGGCATCCTTGCGCGCGGGTAGCCAACAAGTATTGATGCCGGGCGATGTCTCAGTTGGCCTTTTTTTTTTTTTCGCCAGAACGTCCCTGAGATAGCAAACCTATAGGCCTCTTGTCGTCGGCGAGTTACCAACTCTGAAGCGTGTTCCTCATTGCAATTCAAACCATAGACACTGCATTCCACGGCGAACAAATAGCCCAGTTCTCCAGTCGCCCCTGGTTTCGTTGTCGATTCACGGCATCATAGTGGTGTATGTTATCGCAGCATCGGAACAGATATTGACCCTTGACACACACAAGGGCATGCCACTTTTGTTCTCACTACACCAGTATGATTAGTCTTGCCAAATACTTTGCGCCTCTTACCAGAGCTCTTCCATGTCGTCTAGGAATTAGGTACCCAATTTGTCTTAACACGTACGAAACGTCTTGCCACAAATGATTAGTCTTTTGACCGTTGCAGCCCCCCACCCGTGCTCCTCCACGTGGTCCAGTTAAGCGTGAAAAATAACGATATGTCTTACCAAGTAAATTAGTCTTACCACATCTTGTTCGAGCCTCTCACCCGTGCTCTTCCACGTGGTCCAGCGAAGCGTCCAAAATCGCGGTCCTCGGGTCTTCGAACACGTCGTCGTGTTCCTCCTCCTGTGCCCCGTCCCCGGTGCCCGCAGCCTGCCCCCCGTCCTCTCCAACACCACCCTGCGGAGCCCCCGCGCTGCTACCGTCAGGTGCCTCGGCCGCCGACGTCGAGGACGTGGAGAAACGGCCTGTGGGAGTTCCAACAACACGGAGGCCGGAAAAAAAGAACGGAGACCGCGACTAAACGGGGGGCCCAAACACGGGTTGGACAGTTGCGACAACTTTATGGTTTTGGTTCTTGTCTGTCTGTTGCTGTGAATCGAGGCCGGATAAGAGCAGCCAAGGTTGAGCACACACGGACGCCAACGAAGAAAGGAGGCTGTAGACGCATATAATGATAGTGTAGGCTGTAGACGCAAACAACGATAATGTAGGATTACGCAAAGAAGGCATTGCTGCTTAGTGGGGACGTCGGGAGATGGAGGTGGTGCTCAGGGCCTGTTTTCACGTTTATTTTTGTCACCTAAATTGAGGCCCTGCAAAAAAAACGTTTCGGGGGGGTGCCGGGGGCCAAAGACGCTGATTGGTCAACAGGAAAAAACACGATGAGGCTTTATCTGCCCGGAAAAGCGGGACTTCGATATTGGATGCAGCAAAAAACAACTGCAAACTGAATTGCTTTTTGCTGAATCGAAGTACCCGAGTTGCACTGCGCCCCTTTTGCACCCCCCGTGATGAGCTGAACTCGTGCTGGCGTTACCCCTGACGGGACTGCATGTGGCTCACTGGCCGTGCGGCACTCACACGCATCGCCCACTGCCCGCTGCTGGGAAATAGCTGTATTGCAATGATTCGTGCTAACTTTTCGCGCTGGTTGGGTTGCTGTGGAGGTTGCTTTCCAACATGTGCGATGTCAACAGTCAACGCCCGGTTGTGTGCAGCCAGACGGTCCAAACAACAGTTGTAGAGCAAGCCTGAGGATGAGGGTTGGGCCGCTGGCACCGTCTGCTGATGCTTAGCTTCGTGTGTGTGCTGATATATATTTACGGCTCCCGTGTGGTGCACATGGTCTATCGCTGTACCTGGTTGGGTCACCACGTCACCTCGCAGCAGCGATTCCGCCGCATTTGGGTGTTGCTGAACTTCGGTGTTGCAAAAATGCGTTAAAACGACGCAAGCCCTTTTTGGCCGAAAAAAAACAAATTGGTTCATCCAATTTCGGTATTCAATTCAGGTGACACAAATAAACCTTTAATACACGGCCTCAGCAGCACCTTCGTCCGTCGGCACGTATGATACAGTACTTGTCTATGAGAGTCACCACCTTCCGCTCAAAGACGGTCATATATATTCGTTTGTCACTACACGTATCTGTCCATCCTCACGCAAGGTTCGATCGAGGCTACATACCTAGAGTGATACAGTAAGACGGCGATTGGAGCACAACAATCTGTAGTTAAGACCTTCTCCCACCTGTGTCCTTGCCGCTACAGTACCACCCACACACGCAAGAACACGCGAGCCCCCCAGGCAGATCCGTACACAGTTTAACACGGGCTACAAGAAGCGCACTGGCTCTATTTGGAGCCTCCCAGCTTTCGTGCGTTGGTCGGGACCTTCGGTTATGCGCCTTTCAGAGCGATCACGCGGCCGCTCTAAACCAAACGCGCCGATGAGCGGCAGAGTTAAAGGAACAAGCAATGAAAATAACAGCCCAGAAACCAACGAGGTCCGCCGGCTCGTCCGTCCGCACCCAACGTCCAAAGCAGGCAACATCCGGGAGCAGTGCCCTTCGCTGTTTGAGCGACCTTACACATGGCCCCGCCGCTACATATCCATGCAATGCAAAGCAAAATAAACGAGGAGCCGGTCCGGTATGCGGCTTCAGCGGTACCTGTTCTCGTGGGGGCAGGCTTCACTGGCATGGGATGCAGGGAAACACGAGAGGACGCCTAGCTCGTTCCTGCCGAAGTGCCCGCCTAGGGAGAGGAGGACGCGGCACGACTCCCAACTCTGAACGCAGCCTACAGCAACCCGCGGTTTGAACACTCGGGCACACGTTCAACCAGAAAATAGGGAGAGATTGCAAATGCATTCACAAAAGAACTGACCTCTACTGTTCCCCACCGTTAGTAGCCCCGCCCACGTTGAACCGCCATCTTGCAGTCGGCCGTGGGTGCTCGAATGTAACCAAGGAGCAGCTGCAGTCGAGTCAGCAGCAGTAGCACTACCAGGGGCAAGACCACGACCAAAAACTCTGGCCGTTTTTCCTCCTCCAGCAGCGTTATCTTTTGGAAAATGCGGTGAAGACCGGTAGCATAGATACCTACGCAGGGACGAGGTTGGCTGTACACGAGACATCGCGTTCTGCGCGTATATTGCAGACAAAGCCCTCTGAGCATGTATGTGATGAAAAGCCGCCCTTCCACGGAGCACCGTGTGGTTGAGAGGGGTATGTGGGTATCTGCCATTCCCAGCTAGCGCGACCCGCGGCCCGCCCTCTTGCCCGCTCGGGTGTGTGTTGTGTTGCGTGTGACAGAGAGGAGCGTGGAAAGAGAAGCAGAGGCAGAAGTGGAACAGGGTCGACTGCTGCTCCTTGAACGGGGGAGGTATCAGAGCGTGAGCCTGGAACCAGTCTTCCTAAGGGTGTGAGAAAAGGCGCCAAGCTTCTCTGCCTGCTGTGTTTTTTTAAACTGAGCGAGGCACCGACAGAGTCAAGCAGCGCACTTCACCCGAAAGTGTAGGTGTGAAAGGACTTGCTTGGTGCAGGCGCCGGAGGGCTTAGCGTGTCTGGGTGTGTGCCACCAGCAGTGAGGATGACTAGCTTACTCACGACATTTGCGAATAAGATTCTCAGCCATTTCAGCCCCGAACCTGCACCGAATAGCTCTGGTCGCAACAAACGATCAAACGCGAACGCTTGGTTGGGAAATGAAGAGCCAAGGGAGGGGCATGGCAGTGGTGCCGACGCCGGCGTGAGGCGTGCGACAACTGCTGGAACCTATTCGGGCGGTGCGGAGGTGAGAGAGCGGTGGAATCTCGCGGTGGCTTCCTCCTGTGCGTGTGAAGTTGATGAGGCTCGGCGTGGTATGTACTCCCCAAGTACAGCAGTGATTTTGCGCACACAATCCATGAACTCATGATTTTGAAATCGGAATGGATCGATCGATACGCGAGAACAATGATCGACCATCACACCCAAATCCCCCGCCCAGCGAGCAATACATTGCAGACAAGAATCACCTACCGCTTTTATGCCACGTGAGTGCTCGAGGCCCTGTCCAGTCTCAACTACGCCCGGTCAACCCTATGACCAAACCTCAGCGTTTGTACCTTCAGGGGGGTGCTGAAAGCTAAAAGTCGATCTTGACTTTGACCGAAAACGACCGAAAGAGCTCATCACATGATACGCGGATACGCGCGAAGTTGGGAAGCGATCCGCAAGAACATATTATTTCCCTTGTTTGCCGCACCGAGCAGCGATTGGGACTTGTCTTCGCCAGCCAGCATATCATGCAGTCTACATACCTCCTCACACTCTAAAACCAAGACAAGAATATCAACCAAGTCTAACATCAAGACAAAACAAGCGGCATGGCGGCTGCCTACAGCGCAAGTTCTGTGAAATCCAAGCGTCCCGGTCTTCAACATCATGTTGTACGAAAGTGGTACGTCAGTAGAGGATGTCATGGAGGGCAGCGACATGCGCGATTGCACGCCAAGATCTGTTGCTGGGGCCGTAGTGTCGAAGTCGAAACTGCGACTGCGGTGTGAAAAATGCAGCGCGAATCTCGGTCCCACAGCGATCGTGTACAACAGCAGTTGCTCACTGCTGTAGCTGCCTTGAAGTACCGCCAGTTCGGGGGACTGGGGCTCTCGTTGTGGCGAGTACAGCAGCGACGACAGTTTGGTTTGGATCCAGATTGCGGATGCATGATTCCCTCTGCTGATTTAGCGCCTACATGATCGGGACCTTCCGAACAAGGTCGTTATGCGCTTTGTCGTTTTTCCCTCTACATCACGCAAGAGACACGCTTTGCAGCATCTCTTACGCATCAGGTGTAGCCCCGTCTTACCTATCCAACTTGGCTGTTCCGTCTCTGCGGAGCCGACAGAGACAAAGTATGGAAAGGGTTCATCCGGCAGAGACAAAGTATGGAAAAGGTTCATTGCGTGCCCCTGCGGGTTCTTCAGCTCTTTCATTTTGAGGAGGAAATTTTACACTGCGTGACTGCTGTGTCGACCTTTGATTTGGCGCACTTGAATCCTGCAAGTGCGGCGTGCTACTGTACATGTGGCATGTCACCACGCATACGTGAGACAGCGGCAACAACACAAAGCAAACGCAGTAGCAATATTATCAGCAGCGGCAGTGCCAAAAATGGACTACATTTCTACATCGAACATTAGTCTACACAGAGATCATTTTCGGGCGCATGGGAGCACACGGCCTTGCGCTACTTGAAGGCCATCTACCAAGTGATGACCGCACCAAAAAGGCCAATACCCATTGCTTGGCGCAGAATAACAATTGAATCAAAGTGAAGTGCGTCAGTTTCCCTGGCACGACCAAGTTGACCCTTTATCCTGCACATACACGCCATTTCAGCTTGAAACGAATCTGCAACCTTGTCCACTGATCGTACATCCTCCATATTTCCCTTGTTTTGTGTCTTATCACGGAAGGAGGGCGCCGGGGCTGCGGCAGCAGCCAGCAGGCCTCCCAAGGCCGCAAAGTACGAGGTGGGCGGCCTTAGCAGCAGCCTGAGTCTTGCTAGCAGCACGCCGGCCGGGGCGAGGAGCAGGGAGGGGCATTCGTGGGTGAGTCGTCACTGTGGTGCGTGTTACTGTTCACTGGTCTTTGTCGGGTTTTCTTTTCTCTCTGCGTCTCTGTGTCTGTCTGTCTGTCTCTCTCTCTCTCTCTCTCTCTCTCTCTCTCTCTGTCTCTCTGTCTCTCTCTCTCTCTGTCTGTCTCTCTCTCTCTCTCTCTCTCTCTCTCTCTCTCTCTCTCTCTCTCTCTCTCTTTCTCTCTGTACTCTCTCTCTCTCTCTCTCGTGCTGTCTCCTCTCTCTTTCTTCGTCTCTTGGCTCTCTCTATTTTCTGCCCGTCTGTCTCTCTTTTCTCTCTTTCTCTGTTTCTTGCTCTTTCTCTTCTGTCTGCCTGTCTGTCTCTCTTTCTTGCTCTGTCTGTCTGTCTGTCTGTCTGTCTGCCGGTCTATCCCTCTTCTCCCTCGGATCTTAACTCTTCGCTTCGCACCCCAACCATCTTTTGCTGCCACTCGACTCATTCGATATCGAAGTCGCAACACCTCGCGGTGCACACCACCCACGTGGACAGCTACACACCCCGCTAAATTCGGTTTCATTTCACCTTCATCCTTTCCCTCCGGTTGTCAACAGGACCAGTCGACCGCACGGTCGCCACCCCAACCTACCGCAGCACGCCACACCCCGCTGGCAGCATCAAGACCAACGACAGGGCTAGGTTTGCCTTCCCTAGCTTCGGCGCCCGGGCGATCTCCGCGCCCACGGCCAGACGGCGGAGGCGGCGGCGGCGGTGGCGGGGCTCTGCGCGCAGTTGCGGGAGGGCTGTCGGAGACGCCGCGCACGCCGCTGGGCCGGTGGAGTGGCGCGGAAGCGGCTGCTGGCAGTGGAGTTGGGACGCGGAGGGATGGCGGGGGGGGGGGCGGTGGCGGCGTTCACGTTGGCATGCCCCCGGGGTACACATACGGCATGGTGGGTCAGGAGCTAGTCCTTCGGTCGTACGGCTTGTGGCATGTGTTGTTGTTGGTTTTTGTTGTTGTTGTTGTTGTTTTCGCTTGTGTTTGCTGTTGTCCTGCAAGCTGTCGAGGAGGGTGGCGTGGTTCTCTCACCCACTCTGCCTTTTGAGTTCTCAACGACACATGCCCACATGAAGGTTATGTGTCATGGCTTTCTGACACCCCCTCGAAATGTTGGAACTAGCTTGTGTCAAAATTTGCGGAGAGGTGCAGGCTGGGGGCCTCACAACCGATGAGACCAAAGCACACACAAGCGCGCGCGGCCGATTACAGCTCTTTATGAATTAACATTTGACACGAGTGTAAGTGTGCTACTGATGTTCCATGTTATTCGGCTATGGTGTTGCCTAATCGAAGAGCTATAGTGCGGTGCCTCCGGGTGCCTTCTTGCCCCGTCTTGATGCCCGATGGTCTCTACCGCAGTGCAACACTCGGCCGCGGGTTCATGGCAAACGCCCTCTTCTCATGTTGAGGTGCCTTTTGGTCTGGCCGCTGCCGTTCGGTCTGACCACTCTTGCTTGTGACATGAGGAGGTCCTTTTGTGTCATGTCTTCTAACGCGCGTCGTTCTCTCCTTACCCTCATTCCGCCAGCCCGTGCTGCCGCAGTCAACCCCCCGCCGCCTCATCATGGCCAACGCGCACTCTGCCCGCACTCGCGCCACCGCCAACGGCGGCGGCGGCGGCGGCGGCGGCAACACCGGCAGGAAGCCGTACGGGGGCCTCGAATACTGGCGACAAAGCTTCAGCGGCGGCGGGAGTGCTAGCGGCGTCGGCGGCGGGAGCCGCGTGAGCAACGTCAACCTCGGTGGCAACACATCGAGCGCATTCACCAACCGCAGCAGTAGCGGCAGTACGATGAGGAATCCGGGCATCGGCGGCGTCTATGGCGGCGGTGCCTACTCTAGTCTGGGCGGCGGAGACACCGCTGGTGTGGGCGGCGGCGGCGGCGGCCGCCGCGGCGACGGGCGGGGGTATACCGGGTTCGTGTTCAAGAGCAAGGCGGCGCGGCAAAAGAAGGTAGCGGCCGCGCTTGCGGAGATGCGGCGCGAAGCGAAAAGTCGGGCCGTGAGCAGTGTGGGCGGTGGTTCTGCTGTTGTTGCTTGGACTGGTCACGATTCGGGATGGCCGGCCCGCCAGGTGAGAGCAGCGGGGACGGGACGTTGCCAGTATCGGGATTTCTGAAGAGTTGAGCGGTTAGCTTGTCGTCTTCAGGGCAACGGTGGGGGGTCACTTTTCATGCCAATTTATTCCCAGGCATAATAAAACACCCCGAAAACAACTGCTTGACACCAAACGAATCATAGCGTGGATGATTGGAACTTCTGTAATGCTTTTTTTTGGTAAATCGTGTCTCTCTTGTCGTCCTATTCCTGAGCTTTCGTCATGCTGGACAGGCGACGGCGTGGTCGGGTAAGGCCTCAAGCAAGATCGTAAGAAAAACGGCCTGTACATGACTTTCTTCACGCCCCCCTCAGTCCACCACCCGGCATGTCTGCGTTTCCCGTAGGGAAAGTGTATCTACTTCGTGCGAACCGGGTCAAGATTAGGACATTTAGGCGTTCGGCTCTGAGCCTGATATCATGCTAAGTGTTGAACTAAGACATCAAGAGCAGGGGTTGCTCTATTATGACAAACGACAACAGCAACAACAACAGCAACAGCTACAGCAACAATACGCCACGACAACAACAATAACAACAACAACAACAACAGCACACAACACAAACACCAACAAAGCAGGATTTCGCGGTCAGGAGCCTGAACAGCTTGCGCTCCAAGGCTAGACAGTCCCTGGAGAAAAAAGCCCACGACATCCACCATAGAAACCCCTCGGCGGCGGAGCAGCTGCTGGCCGACGCGCGGTCTATCGAGAATTGGGGGAGAGAAGCCGAAGAAGGTTAGGCTCTGTTCTGCTGGTGGTTTTGGTCGGTTCTGGTATTAGTTGGACCCTGGGAGTTGGTTCTGGTATCGTTGTTGGGTGCAGCTTTGGTTCTTGTGGTGTACGTAGGAGAGATTTGTTTTTCGGTTTGGCTCTGCGCCCTTTGGCTCCGGTGTTCTCATGTAGGAAAGCTTTGGCCTTTGGCTTTCCGTGCCCTGCGCGCCCTCCGGCGCCGCGTTCGTGGCGAGTTACCGTACGCCAAATGGGCACACTGCCTGTTGTGCGCTCTACAAGGGAGAAAGGCGCGAGACACTTGCCTAACATGCTAGTGGTGGTCGATACAGCCGCGCGGGTCGATATTATCACGACACGGTCGGGAGAAGCAGAAACCCATGGGCAACGTAACAGTCATGATGAAGCGTTTGACGGCAATCAGCCCGACCAATCCGCGCCGCCCGGTCCACCAGGCGCAAAGCGAGAGGCCGCCGAAAAGGCGCGCCAACGCAGCGAAGCTCTCGCGGCGAGATTGGCCGAGCAAACCAAGGCCAGAAAGGCAGCGGCGACGGCTAAGAAGAAGGCAGCCGCGGAAGCCCTGGCGAGGGCGGAGGAAGAGGCGGCTAGAGCCAGGGAAAGAGTGGAGGAGGAAGAGACTGCTAGGGTCAGGGCACAGCTGGAGGAGCGGGAGCAGAAGGAGGCTAGGTTAGCGGCGGCGGCGGCGGCAGCGGCAGCTGCCGCAGCGGCGGTGCAAGGTATGTGCGTGTTGCTCGAGTTTGCATCGACCGCGCTAACCGGCCGACCAATGGATGTACGTCAGGGTGTGTGTTGCTTGAATTTGTATCGACCGCGCTAACCGCCCGACCAATGGATATACGTCAGGGTGCGTGTTGCTTGAATTTGCATCGACCGCGCTAACCGGCTGGCCAACGAGAAGACGTCAGGCTTGTAGCCGGTGTGTGTGTCATCGTTTTTTGGAGGGGTAGGTTGGCCAACAGGGGCGGCGGATTAGAAAACGGACGAAGTTGAGCTAGTGTCACCCCCATGGTGCGATAAGCAACGGCACAGCAGCAGTATTGATTTTGCCGCTTGCGAGGAGAAAGTAACATGGAACTAATGTCTGCAGACGCGAACACCCGGACAGCTTTTACCCGTGACTGCCGTCTAGGCTATGTTTTGTTGATTTATTTTGGCTTGCGGACTCTTCGGGGCCGTTTTATTTGATTGCTACCTTTTTCAGGGTAAGTTATCCGGTGACCACGGGAATCGACCGCGTCAAGTGTTAGATCAGTTCGGAGGGAGGTACTGGATAGCGAGATCGGATCGTTTTTTTATGTGAAGACAACAACAACAACAACCGTCGGCGCTTGCTCCCTTTTTTTGTCCTACGTATGTGCTTATGTTGAACCAGAACGACCGGAGCTGTCGCCGGAGCAAGAGGATCGGGTGAGGGAGGGGCCCGGGAGGCATCCTCGCAGTGATCGTGCTTCTTTGGGTTGAATTGTGGCATGTACCGCTGTTCTCATGTTCTTGTATGACGGAAAATGGCAGCTTATCCTTCGTGGTCCCTCTGGTCCCGTTGCATTCCCCGCTCGAGAGTATGGGGTAGAACCCGGGTTCCAAACATCTCCCTTTTTTGTTGTCAATGTATTGGGTCAAGTCGTGAAGGTGACTTATCATCTCGGCTTCTAGCGTCCGCCCTATGCTTGCCGCGTTGCAACAGTCTCTCTTGCGGCATCCCGGTCGTTGGAGCACTCCTTCGTAGCGATAAAGACACCCTGCCGGCATGTAGTGTCCTACACAAGAGTATTTCTCGTCCTCGATCGGAACGATGGCTCGGGTGGGTGCGGTGGGCTGTACAGGTGCGGGATGCCTGGTCGTCGCAGGGCGGTGCTGCCGACGGCGACATTGTGGTTCGGGCGTTCAACGACATGGTGTCCAAGGCATCCTTGCGTACCCTCCGGAGCGGCGAGTGGCTCGGGGATGAGGTAAGGGAATTCTTGATTGTCCATGAGGAGGGATAGGGAATGACTGTGATGGTTGTCATGGTATGGCAACGGCGTTGGAATTGTATGGTCGGTGTGACTGTTTGCCTCACATTTTTCATCCACGCCTTCTTCCATGCCTCCCAAGAATAGCATGGCACTATCCGCGAGAACTAAAACCACGCGGGTAGGAGAGTGACGCAGAAGCGCCATGTCCTCTCCAACGTCGCCTGACCCACCATGCAATTACCGCCCGTGCCCAGAAACGCTATTTTTTGGCGGATGGCGAGGTTGGCAAAGCGTGTGCATACACACGACTCCGCCTGCGGCGATGTAGCGCCGTAAGTTTGCTCGTCCATCTTTCCGGTTGGCTACCGCGGCTCGATAGACGTGCGCTGCAACGTTGCAACCCACCTACTTGTGTGTCAGGTTACCACCAACCTTTGTGCTACAGAATCATTCTCTTTTGTATCCAGTTCGCTGTTTTCATGTTTTTGCCCAGCCTTGCCACACTTGCTGATGCGGTTGATTGGCAGCCTTTTCATGGATGAGGCTTTCGCGTCCCGTACCACATATTTTGTTGACGACTAATCGGCCGTTGCAACCCACTCGTGCCGTGTTAGGTGATTAACCTGTACATGAAGAGCCTGCAGGCGCGTAACAGGGAAGCAGTGGCGAGCGGGAAGCAGGTTCCAAAGTGAGTCGTGGTACACCACCGCGGGTGTCACCGGGTGTCTCGCGTTTTTTTTTTTTTTCTTGCACTCGTTTACCCTACCGTGTGTTTCGCGGGTTTTTAGGATGCCCTTGGTGACGTTGTTTTGTTGGCAATGTTCACGACAAAGCAATTGAATGTATGAAGCGTGTTTTCCATCCAAGGCTTGGCGGGGAAACTCTTCTAGAGGGTCGGCAAGCGGGCACCGGGTCGCGAAGCGAACGAACGCTACGTCTTGACCGACCTGATCGTTTTTTGAAGAGATACGGTAGTACGGTAGTGGTCTCTGTTTAAGGCCACGCAGTGCGAAGGGGTTTGGCTAGCCTCGTACCGGGCATCCGGCATTATTCAGACTATGAGACTCCTCGAATATTGCATCCATGTGACGCCATTTCACCGGCCGTATATTGGGGCGGCGGCCTTATTGAGGCGGTCTTGTGCAGGGACCAAAGTTGCATGTTATCGAACGCACGGGTGGCGTTGTGATTCGAGATGACCGATGGATTTGATTTGGTAAGCAGCAGGTTCCCAAAATGAGAAGGGTTGTTGTTGTTGTTGTTGTTGTTGTTGTTGTTGTTGTTTTGGTGGTTGCTGCTGTCTATTGCCCATGGTGCTCTTGTTGATGACGACATCTTCCAACCAACAAAAGATGTTTCTGACCTTGACCCCGTATCTCGAATTCCCTACCATTCGGGGCAGGAGATCGGGTCTTGTTGGCGAGTCGAAAGTACCAGCTGGGGTGGGTTGTCAAGTTTTTATCTTTGGGCTCTGCTGTGGTGTTTAGCTGCACAAGACTTTGTATGTTTCCGGAAGGCATGGGTGCATGATCACAAAAGTATGTTCCTTCTACCGTACCGTTGGAGTGTGTCATTCCGCTCCCCTTGGCGTTTCCGACCACTCCCGTATGTGTGCACGCGGTCTAATCGGCGTATCTGCCTTAGGTGCGGGATCATGAGCAGCTTCTTCTACACCCAACTGTCCGACAACGGCCGCGGCTACCGCTACCAGGGCGTCAAGAGGTTCCTCAAGAAGGCCAAGGTCAAGCTTCTCGCTCTAAGTGGTTGGTTGCGGTTGCGAGTTGGTCGCTGTGCCTGTTGTGGTGATCGTTGTTGATTTGCCAAACACCTCTTCGTCACGTCTCCTCGCCTGTGTTTGGTTCTTGTTTCTGCTCCCGCGTCTGAAAAAATGGAACGGTCCTGGAACAACCCGTTAACCCGCGGTGTTATTGATTGCCATGGAATGGACCAGATCGATCTTTTCGACCTCGACAAGTTCATCTTCCCGATCAACGTCAACCAGGTGCGAAATGCTAAAGATTCTCCCCCCAATACTGGGTACCACCGTGCACATATGGAATGAATATGCTGAGTGTGCACGTGGAAATCCCCGGGTTCAGTACCCTCTGTCATGGTCCTCCTCGACGAGCTTGGCCTTTTGCGATCAACGTTGCCCGTTTTCCATGTGCTGGCCGTCACGATCTGCTTTTGAGACTTGGTGGGTCCACGTGTTGTGACACACCGAAGCAACTGTCCCCTGTTGGAGCAGCTTCATTGATCTGTTCGATTTGAGAACAAGGTCGGAAATATGCACACTCGCCCCGTAATGACGAGTGTCAGTTGTTGGTTTCCATATTTTTGTGTCCATGGTATTGCGCCGCCCACCTGACGCTGATTGTCAGTTTTCGTCGCCTATCAACAAAAATGACGTGAGTGGAATTTGTTGTTGGTTTGGAATCTTTGTGGCCTGTGTGCAAAGTTATTGACACCCGACGTGACCCTGATCGTCAATTTTTTGTCACCCAGCCACAAATATTTTGAACGGCACAGTGGAATTCGTTGTTGGTTTGGAATTCAAGGTCTTGTGTACTTCACAGCCCGCATGACCCTGATTGTCATTTTTCGTCACCACGTGTTTCATACCGACACACATTAGTGGAACTTGTTGTTGGTTTGGAGTCTTCATATTGTGTTCGTCCCGCCTGACCCTGATCGTCAGCGCCCATCACCCAACCAACTTTTTTTTCCAACACAGAACCACTGGACTCTGGCGGTAATTAACTTCCGACTAGAGAGGCTGGAGTACTACGACTCCCTCGGAGCGCCGTTCGATGACGCTGGCTTCGAGGTAGTTGCAGCAGCACCGAGTGCGATGCCCGTTCTCTCCAAAGTCAAAGTTCGACTCACTTGACCGCTGTCCTGATGCTACATAGCGATGCATCGCTCCGAACAGTTTTTTTTTTATTGAGAAGAAGGACGGACACTTACGTGACAAGTTGATGTTCGGGGTACAAGTGATGCCTTCAATTTTTTTCCGCGTGGGCTATGTTCTTCTCCGAGGCGTCCACGCCCTGAAGAGCGTTGTACTGACACGGTGGATCACGGTCTTGACGGGGGGGGGTTAGATGGTCTGCAAGGCATTCTGAACCAATATTGGAGTCAAGACCAAGAGATGCTGCGAGGGGGAAAATGGTTGGATGTTCATCATGTACACCTCATGAAACATCAGACGTTTCGGGTCTTCAACAAACACGGGACTAAAAATCACCACAGCTTTCGTTGCGTAGGTAGTGCTTTTGTGGTCGTTGCGTTTTCCTGTTTCCCGCTGTTTCCATTTTCCTTGTGACCATGAAACGCTTTTCCCCATCTGAAGAATGCGTAGAAGGGCATTCTGGGGCGAGAGTACGACAGCTTTCCACAGAAAAGCAACGAACAACAGGAACACGAGCAACATGACTATGACATGGCTCCGTTCCTCGAAGTCGATTCTCACGGCAACCTCCTTTCCCCCAATTGTGGTTTCCCGTCATCAGTACGCGACACACTCACAGTACATGACTAGCATCGTAGACGACGAGTCTCACTGTATCCCCTACCCCCGCTGCCCCAATTCGGCATTTCCAATGCGATATGCGTGTGACTCGGCTCGTACGCGACGAGACCTGGAGCAACCCACGCCTTAATGGTTTTGCATTGTTATTCAGCTTGATTTCAAGAGATCAACGCCACACGTAACCCTTACGTCGATTGTCCATTCCCGCCTTGATTCAGTACATGGCTAGATTCGTAGACGACGAGTCTAGAAGCAAGAGAGGCGGGCAGGAGATGGACATCTCCCACTGGCCCAGTTTCAACTACCAGAACGTGCCCCACCAGAGGAACGAGATCGACTGCGGTAAGATGGCGAAGGGAGGGGCGTGTTTGTTGGCCCTATCTCACTCCAAGCGTTCCCCGTGACTGTTTGTGGGCAGAGACGGATATGTAGTCGTGAGGATTTCGTTCGGTGGAACTGTTTGAGGTTTTGTGCAAAGGACTGCTGTGTTTTGACAAGTAGTTGCTTCGGAAATGAACCGACCCCACGGCTCCTCCCTCTCAGTGTGCGATATATTGATTCCTTTAGCCCACCCCCGCTTCCGTCCGGTCTCTCTTTAACGGTGGGAAGGCTTGCTGCCCAACAGCAGTGTGTTTGGAAGATTTAATCACCAAACGCCGGACCGCTCAACCGCCCCGTGCTGTATCCCAGCAGGTTTTTTGTTGTCTTCTGTCTTTCCTTGATCCGTGTTCCCTGTCCGTCGTACCCCCGTGCTCTGTGCAGGTGTTTTCGCGTCCATGTTCGCGGACCGCCTGAGCAAGGGGAGACCCCTCTCCTTCTCGCAGGTATTTCCCCCAGCACGGCACCCTCCCTTCTCTGTTGATGTTGTTGCTTTCGTACCATCATGTAGCTACGCCTGCGACTATAATAGATGGTGTTTGGCAGTGCAGACCAACTTGACGCATGTCCGGAACGCACCCAAGGGTCTGGATGGTAGCGGTGACCGTCCTATACCCCCCCACACATGACCGCATTTTGACCAGTGCACACGTCTTCCAAAAGCCATGAGCACAGCGGCGCCGTGCCTCGCAGGCATTGTCCTGGCTTTGTAGTAAGGCAGTCCTCTCTCTTGTGGCGAGTAGCCCGCCCCCCCGTGCAACCTCCCCCCCGGTGTGCGCCATTGGGGTTGGATTTTCGTCGCTTGGCAACGACGTTGTAAAACAAGCCGATTACTTCGTGAGCTCGGCAACCAGGTTACCGCTCTTTTTTACCTCTGGTGTTTTTTTTTGGGCGGTAACCATGAATGGTGGTCGGGTAGATTATGTTGTGCGAGGTCGAGAACCCTCACTCCGCGCGAAGGGGATGATCGCAGCACGTTGTGTCAAATTGGTCAAGCACCCTCGAGGCAGTTACACAGTGCTTATAACTGTCTCTAGAAGTAAAACCAAAGAATAAATTATGTCATTCGCAGCTGTCATCCATACGCAAGGAAGTAAGCACAAGGTGCCGAACCCACTTAGCAAGATGCAGCCCACCCTTCATGCGACTCGTCGAATACCTCACCGCGCTTCGCGCTTGGTGATGTGAGAGCCTGGTCCGGTTAGAACCCAGCGTGCTCCATCCCGGCTTTGTAGGGATGCGAGGTCAATGATCTGATGACTACGGCATGCACGACTATGAGTACCCCCCCCCCCCCCCCCTGTGCAACCTTGGTTTTTCCCTGAAAATCTGGAAAACCAGAGCGACATCAGGCACTGCCGCAAGGTGCTCACGTTGGCCATTCTGCGGGGCGAGAGGTCTCCTACGGAGAAAGAGGCGTTTCTGGAGGACGGGGGAAGTGTCCTGGGCGAGGCGGGCGAGTGGTGGGAACCTCCACAGGACGAGCAGGCAGACGGCGACGGCAGCGAGAATGCCGAGGACGAGGAGATTGGTGAGGTTGACGAGGAGGAGGAGGAGGAGGAGGAGGAGTGGGGAAGCGGAGAGGGGCAAGAGGAGGAAGAGGGTGAGCAAGGAGGGTGGGGAGATGATGGCGGGGAGGGGGTAGATGTGGCGTCGTCCGATGCTGAGGGAGGGGGCGTCTGGAGGCAGGAGACCGCGAACGGGTTCGACCTGACGGCGTCCGATGCGGAGGAAGAGGAAAACGCGAACGGGTTGTTTGATCTGACATCGGGCGGGATGCAAGAGGAAGGAGAGGAGCAAGAAGAGGAAGAAGCCGGCGTTACCCCCGGCGGGGGCGGGCAGGCTGAAGAGGATGAGATGGACGTGGAGGACACAGGAGTCGCCATGGAGGTGAGTGACGCGATGTGGGGGCACGGTGCGCCAGCCGCTGCTGCTGCTGCTGCTGCTGCTGCTTCCAAGGAGGGTGACAACATCGGTGGAGGGGAGACTTCTTGGCGAGCGCTAGTCCCACCGCAGCAACATCAGTAACAGCAACGTCAACACCGCCAGCACCACGAATACAGGTTCTGACTATAAACGATACGTGAGAGTCGAGACGATATCGATCGACCGACAGGACTCGAGAACGTCAATTCATTACCTGATCGTCTCGTGCCTGTGCCCGACCAAAGGCACATTTTGCGGAAGATACAAGAGGCACCTTTCCTGCAATACACACACCGGAGTTTTTTGGCAAGATAGTTCGTCTGGTGACGTATCAAGGCTGGACAAAAATCTAGGATGTCTTCCATGTGCTGGTGGAAAATCCAAGGAAGCCAAGGAGCGAACGTGCCGGAAAGAGGCGCGACGCAACTGGACATGCACGGCTTCCCGTTTAAGCTGCACCGGACGGTGGCTTATATGGAACGCTTTGCCGACAGTTGGTGGGTTATCCGAGGCCAGCCTTCCGCATCCTATTTCTTCGAGTGGGGTGCACGCGTGCAGAACCACGCTGAGTGGAGCGGAGGGGAGGGGATCATGTGCGTTCATCAAGGCTCTCTTGCTTTTCCACGGGATCTCCGTGTTACGTGTATGTGATTGTGACTATAGCTTCACCACGAGGCGGAAGGCTGGCTCCTTTGACTTGCCGGGGGATGTTGAAACTATGCGTTCATGTGAACCCTTGGTGTTTGATCATGTATCATGTTGATGTCGTGTGCGCCTGTAAGCTGATGTCGTAGCCGTTGTTATGAGTAGTTGCAGTTGTAAATCTGGCTGCCTGTTTCGTTTCGTGCCGGGCTGTGGCTATTCAGACCGATTGAGTTTTACTAATAGTATGGTGCGGTTTGTTCGACTATTGAGCAACAACAAGGGGTGGTGCTCACGGAACTGCCGCTATCAGAGGCAGACCATTAGTGTGTCTCTTTCTTGTTCTGTTGTGTTGCGACTGGCGCCTCTAGTTACTGTTGGCGCGAGCGTTCGTGTTGCTTGCCGTTACTATTGCGCTGTTGGTCTTTTGGTTTGTTTTGGCTGGCTGACTGGCTGGTTACTTATTACGCGGTTGGCGGCGATACTTGGCAACATATCACATGTATGTCCATGCTGCTGTATTTTTGTTGTGTTATTGGTTTATCGCTGCACGTGTTTCTTTCATGTGGTCTAGTCTAGAGAGGGGTCCGTCGTGCGCGCGTGCACCCGGCGGGGAACGGGAGGGTCGAAACAAGTGATAAAAACAACGTGTTGGAATTGTAGAAGCAACACATAACCGAGTGTTCGTGCGATGGTCGGCATAATACTCGTACGAAACGCTGCTTGAATTGGCTGGCCGACTTGGGGTGCATCCACAAGAATCGAAGTGCATGCGAACAGTCCATGTATGGGTGGCGGCTGTGCTTCGCGTAAGTCCATGGTATCCGTCACCACGTGACCAACTTGGACGACTGTTCACCCTGCCGAATATCGGGGGCCTCTCGCTTCCGTCCCTCCTCACATTCGCCACCCGCCTCGGTAGCACTGGTCGCGAAAAACCGTGGTTGGCGCCGGACCTGGGTGGGCGTCGAGACTGACGAGCTCAGCGGGGTCGACTTCGATCCTTCTTGTACTGATGCGGATCGCACAGGGTAGCACGCCAGATCCCGGTGGCCGCCCAGGCAGTCGCGACTATCTGTCGTGGTCACAAGCAAAATTTAAGCAAGGCGTGTTCGTGTTGTGCTTGCAACATACAGCGTAGCATCGACCGCGCTAAACAGGCTGACCGATGAAAACACGCCTGTTTCAGCGCGGCTGGACACAGAAACCCCTCAAAAGGCAGCGACCTGAAACCCTATGAGGGGGGCGTAGTTGGAGAGGCTAGGGTGTTCTCCAGATTGAAGGCACTGCGTCTGTAGCAGATTAAACCGAGATGAAAATAAAAATAAAATGCACGTTTTAATGCGAACGCTTACAGCCATGATAGGATTGCACGGAAGACTCCATCCGCTTCGAGCGCAATCAACCTCGCTGTCATCCTCGCTAGTACACTATCCTTGTTGCCGCCGCAACCACCTAGGGTAACCCCGGCCGCACCTCCGGTCCTCGGGACCTTGCACGTACCCCGAGGGACCTGTTCCACGTCGCGTGTCAACCTCCTGGCCTGACCAAGAACAAGAAAGCTCCGGCGATGCCACGCCCCATCGGCCCGAGCCTGTTTCAGGAGCGTGAGCACGCGCTCGGACTCCCAGGCTTCATCGCCGTTCCCACAGACCTGCTCGACGATTTCGGCAGGGGTCCCGTTCGACTGTGGGTATACCTCGAATGGGTACAAGTCTTTCTGTGTGTGTATATATTTTTCCTTAGTTCTGCTTTCCCCGTCCTGGAGCGATTGGTTGGCGCCTGCTTGGAGCATGCGCTTAAGAACTTCTTCGGCATCCACGACAGGAAATGTGCATAAGATGTGAAGCGCGTTCCTGCCCTCGCCCTCGCCCAAGTCGGCCTCGATCGTACCGAGTGCTGCAGGAGAAGCAAGCGCGCCTGGTAGTACATTTCCCTCATGACGGAGATATGCAGCGCAGTTGCTTCGTCCTCCACCTACGTCTTCAGGTTGGCGTCAACGCCAGCGCCGAGGAGTATCGCGACGGCTTTCCTTTGCCCGAAATGGGCCGACCAGTGAAGAGGCGTGAACGAACTGCGATCGTAGTTGGTTGTGTGTGAACACGACCAGAGAGAGACTACTACAAGTTTTGCAACGAAGAGGGATGAACAATATGGGAGGACGATTATTAACACGCCTATTGATAGTACGTAGCAGTGAGACGGTGAGAGAGTGTGGGCGGCGTGGGGGGGGCGAAGATGTGAAGAAACTTACTGTATGTAGGGCATTGCTGTTTGTAACGGAACTGGAGAGCAATGAGGGAGAGTCTAGATCAATAGCAGAGGGTACACAGAGAGAACCGAACCGTGCGAGCCGAGTGTTGTCTTGATTGATTGGTGATGTTTGATTCCTCTCCGCTTTGTTCCGATGTGCTGCGCTTCGCCTCACTTTTCGGGTCGGGGCGATGTGTTTTACCTACAAACATTGTCCAACATACCACCTGCCCTCCAGATATGATTTGTCCGGCGACGAGATAGAGCATCTTGGACAACCAGGGCGACCGGCGCCGCTATGTTTAGTGGCTGTCGCCTTCCTTTGTTGCTGGTTGTTAAGAACCTAAACTGTGGTCTATATACTCCCTGTTGAGTTACAACCCCCAAGAGGCAATGAGAAACGAGTGTCAGGTACAAAACGAAGTTCAAAAAGTGGGACAACAGTTAGAAACAAGGTGAAATGGTCCATGTTGGGCGCCACAATCAATATGAAGGAGGTGGTAAGTATTGGAGGCTGGACTGCTATGGACTGCTGCTACAATACGTGGACAGAATTGGGGCAGCGAGTTCACACTTCGACGCAGGAGTCGCTCCTCCTAGGCTCACACATTTTCACCACAGCGTGATAGGTAAAACGCAAGTATCACACCCTCCTCGCCCTGCTCATGCAGTGTACTGCCGTGCGGTACACACATGGGAGAGAAAGAGAGAAAGGAAGTGATCTCAGCATCTCAACATACGGCTTGAGTGGGTTGAATTGCGGCGAAACTACAGTACTACTGTACGGTATGCCGAACCGACACGTTTTTTTTCGCATGGAACCAGTTTGACCGTTGGGTCGTTGGGTCGTTGTCGTTGTAAACCAGCGTTGACTCTTGAGCGTTTGAGACTCAGTCTACAGCAGCTACAGTAGCCGTGTATGCTGCTTGTAGTGCAGCAGTGTCACGGAACGAGAACGCTTCTATCACCATGCCAGATACCAACTACGACTGGGGGTAACTTCACACAAAGTTGGAACAGACTTTGCGTCGAACTGGTATATTATTGTGCCGGTGAGGTAGGGCGGCCTTTTCGATCGATTGGCAAAAAGCACAACCATGATATGGATGCAAGACGCTACGAACGGGGTGTTATTCATTCCGTGCGGCCGTTCGACCAGCAAGAAACTTACCCAGGATCTGGCTTTCGCCTGCTGGACAGGAGACCGATGAGGAAGTAATCTCCCTCGAGCTTCATATCCGGTAGCGGATACAACATTTGGCTGAGAAAGCAGGTCAGTGTGATTCCTCCGCATTTTTTTTCTTAAAGATGCTGCACATCATCAAGGGAAATCTTTAATTGGTCAATTGTCTGCGGTACCTTTTGTGTTGTCCATACAGCGCACGCATGCAAGTGGATTGTACTGACCGAGGCACGTCGCCACCAGCAGCTGGCAGCAAAGCTGTGGGATCGCCAACGTGTGAGAAAAAATTACAGTACAACAATCTGGGTCGTCGGTTGGACTATCTATTTGTTGGGAGTCCGCAGCAGTCGAAAGGGAGACCACACCGCCGTGTCTCTCCGAACCTGGAGCGTCAAGAGCAGGATTACCCGTTAGGTGGTTTTCACCCTTCAAAAGCAGACGTGATCGGACGCGGAATTCTAGCTCTTTCCTCAATCTGCCGGCTACGTGGGGCTGCTGTGTGGATCAACACATCTATCTCCCCCACCCCGTCGATCACTCACCATCTACCCACCCAAGGTACAGCTACCTGCGCTCTTGAGTGAGACTGATCTTGCCAAAGAACAGAACAACGCGTGACAAGCGAACGGTCCTGCACATACGCAAGAATGTATCTCTTGAAGGTGCTGCTCGGTGGCACTATTGCCTTGCTCGCCCTGTGCGCGATGCCGCTCGTCCAAGCTCGCTCTGTCGCAGACGACACGGCGACCGTCATCCGCAACTGCGGTGACATCCCACCCAAGGCTACGGTGCACGCCGGCGGAGCTCTCAAGTTCCTTGGGGACATTGACTGCGGCAAGACGTCGAAGGTGAGATCTTTTGAATCTCGGCCAGGTCAACTCTCAGCAGCTATTGCCTGTAGTGTATAGGAGACTTGGGGGCATTTCGGGACAGACAATAAGCAAGCGTGCGTGTGTTTGCAGGCATCTGGCTGTAGGCATCGGCAGCCTGTGTAGCGATACCCGTTTGTTTCCACAAGTAAGTCTGAACTGCTACAGCAGCTAGCTCCGTGCAACAAGTCCACAGCCAAGATCCCGCATGCTACCCAAGCCAAGTGCTACCCAAGTACAGGCAGGATCATGTTTCTTTTTTCGAAGCTCATCCCGGTTGCTGCTGCTGTAGCTTCGAAAAATTGAGACCACAATACTGTACTACTGACTGGTTGACGCTGCTGTGCATTCCGAGAGCTCGCTTTCTCTCGGATCTCTCTGACTTTCTTCTATTATATCCGCGCAGAGGGTTTGTCCGTGTGCATAACCATGATCGATTTATCCGTATCCTCAAGTGGCGGGAGGTGTGTGTGTGTGAGCACCATGCATGCAACCGAGAGTTTGGCGCCACCCTGATCGCTCTTCAGCATTATCCGTATCCACCGTATTTTTTCTTGAACCGCGCTTTTTTTCTGCTGTATGATGAATGAATACTTGTAGGGATTTTTTTTCTGGCAAGAAATAACAGGATCCCCGGGATTGCTTCAATCACGCGAATAGCCGGGGTTCGCCATGGGCAAGATGGACAATAATGAGCATGGGAAAAATCGAAACTGAGATGCTACAATACATAGATAAACCAGTAGATTATCTGCTACTGTAATTGCTTTTGTCTCCAGAATGCCTCAACACCTCAATATTTCCCGTCAATTTTTTTTGTCGTCATTTATGTACGTACGTACACAGACGATCGAATTCATGAGCGGGGACACGGAAATCCGCTCGCCCACGTCCATCACCACGATGGGGCTCACGCTGATCGTACACCCAGCGGCCCGCCTGACGATCCAAGCCCCCACGGTGTCCTTGGCAAGGACTGAGGCAAGTGCACTTGAGCGTGAAGAAGTCTATACCGGTCGTTGCAATGGTACGGGAAAATTCAGATACAAACCCGTGCCATCGGATTGATGTTACAGCAGGAGTAGGTTTGAGTCTACCGATTTTTCCGTATGATCATAGCTTCTTAAAATTTCGCTCTAAATATCCGGCGTGTTGGTGCATGAAGATGTTTTAGGAGTGGGGGTGAAAATCTCTCCCTTTTCTTTTTGTATCGACCTACGGTAGTAACGAACCGGATGACCAATGAAAATACGAAAATACGTCAGTAGTCTCAGTGCGGCTGTCTCCCCCCTCTCCTCTCAGCGATTACTAGAGTACGAAACAATATACACCCCCGCCCCGCTTCCTCAAATAAACACGAACCCCCTTTGACAGGCTATGCAGGACGACCCAGTCCTCGTCTTGCTGGGCTCCATCGACTTTCAGGTTACGACCTGGCTTGAGCAGCCGTTCGATGGCACTATGGTGAGCACAGCGAGCGAATCGTACGCCCCGACCAAGTTTTCGGCGTTATGTATTCGGTACCACTCCGCTTTTAAGTTCCTTCCTCCGCCGAAGATGATGTGCTTGAATGTTGAGTAGGCATGACGACTGGGATTAAACCCCATGTAGCCAGCTGGGCCGGCTGGAATTGAGGGTTGTGTATGCATATTGCGAAATGAACCGGAAGTATTGTCATCGAGACACACAACGTGTTATTCAGCTTACATAGACAGGTTATTTTATACGACAAACATCTGATGATGTCGCTGACGTCTGCTGCTGCTGCTGCTGTTGCTGCTGCTGCTGTCGCTTCGGTGTTCTCACACACATGCACAGCTGGACGAACGAGGTGTCGTGTGGGTCGGAGACCAGGGCGTAGTCCTGGCGGACAACAGCAAGGTCACATACACGGCCACATCCGTCGTTGTGTCTGCTTCGAAGGTACATGCACATACTTTTCTTAAATTTTGTCATGGTGAGACGCACATGTCACACATGTCGGTTGCGTTTCGGGAGTAGCCCATTTCTCAGGGGCGAGCGCATAGAGGCAGATAGGTCCCTGGTGTTGCAAGAATGTCGTGGTGCACGAGGACTATTTTTACATAATTTGTTTTGCGCTATTGAAATGGTTCAGACCATTTGAGCGTCTAGAGGAAGCTCGACTCTCTCATTGGCACCGTTATTAATGTTGCAAGAACGTACGTGTGGGATAGCGGGTGGTCACGCGGCCTTGAATTTTCGCGTTCACTTTGAATCCTACCTACGTTTCAACGCCGCTTGTTGTGGGAACTTTCTAGACTACACAGCACAGCACTGACTGGCCTCTCCATGTCCCCTCTCTCAGTACCGAGGTCTCCCCCCCCCACGCACCGCACCCATCAAAACAACAACAGAACGTGGCCGACCCCGTTGCTTCCTCCGAAGAAGCCTCCTTCCACAAGTCCGACCCCGCGCCGTCCTCCGCTGCCGCCGCCCCTAAGGACGGCGATGGTGACAAGAACGTCCCGGTCGATGATGTCATTCCCACTACCACGGCCACACCCACTCCTCTTTCATCTTCTGCTGCTGCCAACCCGAGCACTTCGGATCGCGCGAAGGCTGACCGCAAAAAAGCCGCTGCTACGATCATGGTCACAGAGCTGATGGACAGGGCCCGCGAACGTCACAATCTGCGCAGCACGATCCACAACGGCGGCAAGACCGAGGGCGATGACGAAGGCAAGGGTGCTTCGCCTGTTCCTGAATCTATCTCGGGGGCCGCCGCAGAAAACCAAGCGCCGAAGCAGCAGGAGGATCAACATCACGAGGTGGACACCATGAGCGACTGTACCGACGACGGCAACAACAACAGCAACAGCAACAGCAGCAGCAACAGCAGCAGCAGCAGCAGCAGCAGCGGCGGCGGCAACGGCAACAGCAACAGCAACAGCAACAGCAACAACAACAGCAACAGCGACAGCGACAGTCGCAGCAACGACAAGAAAGGACCTACGTACCCACCCGACGCCTTCCAATTCCACCCAGACTTCGTCTTGCGTGTTGGAGACTTGCTGCACGGGAGACTCCCGAACCCCACCAAGACGGCCATGGTGTACGCCACCTCCATCGACGGCTCCGTCGTGCACGCCACGGCCACCGGAACGCCGCCGGGGGACCTCGAGGACCGGAGCATCGACCCGGTGTCGCAGACGAGGCGGACCCTGCTAGAGGCCAACCCGCAACGCATGTCGATTGTCGAGGGGCTACGAGCTGAAATCGTGGCAGAGACAGAGGAGGCAGAGAAGGCGGCGGTCGAGGGCCAGGGTCTGAAGAGGTCGAAGATGGTCACCGTCTTGGGTTTTCTTCCCTTCGGAAAGCACGGCTTCCGCCGGCGACGAGCGAGGGAGCGCGCGGCTGCACACTTAGGGGAGGCGGCGCTCTCCGTAACGAACAAGGGAGACCTGGTACGTTGGGGGCAGCAAGACTTGTAGCCGTGGTAGCAGGGTGCGAATCGTGTGAGATGATGTTTGCGAGCATCGTTCCTCAGCGTCTTCCTGCGATTTGATGCAGACGGGCGGTTTCTCTCGATGCATCCGGCAATTATTTTCCCACCCGCCCGCCCGCCCCCGCCTCGCTGTAACCTGGCATGTCGCCCTTCCCTTCGTCGGTGCACTACTTCTTTTTTTTTCGGTAAATAGAACTAAAAAATCGGGAGAAGAATCACAGGCACACAGAGTTTCCCCACTTAACATCCACAGAAAGCCATATGTTCCCTAATATCACCCCCCCTCTGTTTCGCGCAACCGCTGCAATGTATGTACACCTGCGCAGGAGGTCTCGGTGGACGGATCCATCGTCCTTCGAAAATCCGGGCCGTCCTGGTTCGGGTTTCGAAAGAAAGACTCCACGTACGAGGTCCGTGTTACGGAGGACGGGGTTGTGGTGTCGCGAGGCGGCAAGTACGACTGGGGCATCCAGGCCCGGGAACCTCTAGCGCAAGTCGTCCCAGCCACCACTTGTTTCTGCGATATGTACCCAGATGTTTGATTTTTTGGGTGTCTACTGTGTAGTCACGTGGATTTTCTCGACAAATAAATGCAAGAGGCAAGAGGGAGGGGCTGTGCTGGGGGCCAAACAACTTTCTATTGTTGTGTCGTCCTTGTGAGCCAAACAAAGCAGCTTTGTACGTGTATTGCCCTCCCAATCTACACGGAGGTCATGGTGCTCATGTGATTCCGGCCCTTTTGCGTTTCCGTCTTGTTTTTCTTGGTTCCTGGCGTTACTGTGTCATAATCGATTTCAATTTCGCTTGAGCCAATATGAGCTTTCCCATTTTTGCCACCGGTGGGTGTTACTGCGGAGGCTTCATCGTCATAATGAGGTGTTATCTCTTCGGCCCAAGAGGTGCAAAATGTACGCAGGGAAATCCAAATATGCCCTCGCAGCTTGGGGGGAGATTTCAGTAGAGACGTCCGGTGCCATTGTTTTCGGGAGCCTTCTTTCCCGCCAGCCACACACGAAAGGGTTCGGTTTTCAGGGTGCGCTTGCTTGTTGCAAGAAGTATCCTACGGCGTAGCACACGTGCACCGTTTCTCCTTGTTCAAAGTACCGGGGCATTGCTACGTACCACGACACGAGAGCCCGTTATTAGAGTCTGCATGTGGTGATACGGAGGGAAGGATGAGTTGCGGTGCCCTTTCCTCTCTTTTTCTCATGTTTCGGTGCCCTCAAGGAACAAAGTCGCCGCCGGCAAGTTTCCTTTTCAGTGTCGCAGCTTTGTACGTGTGTTCCCTTCCATTCTACACGGAGGTCATGGTGCTCATTGATGTGATTCCGGCTCTTGTTCGTGATCTTGGTTTCTTCTGCCTCTGCTCGAGGCGTCGCTGCTTGCATGATCGCGCTCGTTCCACGAGGCAATCACAATACTTAAATCAAATGTGATTTTGTTACCGAGTACTGCTTTCGAGGATGTGGAGCTCCAAAACGGCACAACTCACCCTCCCACACCTCTCACTCGATGACTCGTAAGACCATCGTTTGACTTCTAGAAAAAAAGAAGGCACAGGAAGGAACAGACTGGGGTTAAGAGAAGCTCCACTGACCGGAACAGGTCGGAACCCAAACGAGAAAAAAGGAAAAAAAAGAACACGAAGAAAGGAAGGAAGCAAGTGCCGTCGGAACGACGAAAAAGGAACGTCGTCGGGGCAACGAAAAGGCCAGTATCGACAATACGATAAGATGCGCCAAACAATCGCCACAGTAGCGCGCGAGCGACAACAAGAGGGTATGAAACACCTACAGTCCGCAAACAAACGCTGCGCACACAAGGACGAAGAGAAAACGAAAACCAAACGAACCAATGCAAAAAGCAACAGAATGCACTAACAACGTAGCACGCCACCTTAGCGAGGGCGCGCGACGTGATCAGGCAACGAATCGGTCACAACGCCGCCACGCGACACGTCGATGTTGCTATGGATACCCTTAAAAAGGGCGCTGTCGCTGTGAACTTGAAGGCCTTCAGGATCCGGAGACGGCGGTTTCGATGGTGGAGTAGCGGGAGGGCGAGCTTGACGGGTCCAGGGCCGTCCAACAAGCGGACGATTTTGTACCAGAAGAAGGCGCCAACAGGTAGAGGAGTATTGGCAAAGCGACGGTCCCATGTCCAACAAGGGACGAGCGGGTAGCCCGAAGGCAAGGCTGTTTCTCCTTTAGGACGTGCCAATTCTCGGGTAGCCGCACCAATGCGCATCGCACGATATCGGCTATTATTTTGGCGATGTTGGTCAGCCGAACCTGTCCAGTACCGGAAAATGTGTGGCTTGAAGTGCTCCCAGGAAGGGCGCAGGAGACCTTTGCAATGCGTCTGGCATAAAAGCGCCATAGTGCCACCACGACCACGAACGGACTGGTGTCCGCTAATGCTTGCAACCTCGAGACGTTCGACAGGAGTCGGTACTCGTCTTCGGTAACATTGCAGGGAGGAGATTTGTTCGCATAAGAGTGCAGCACGTACGGGACAAGACCGGCAAGCAGAAACCGTGCAAGTTATCGGTGTCATGCGGATTAGCGCAAAGCTTGCAACGCACAACCGACACGCGACGTTTCGAGTCGTGGCCCGGCAAGTCCGACGAGAGATCCAAGTAGAGCAACTTGGAAGCGAAAGGGTGGTCGTCGGTTGCGTCAGAAAACAGGCCCGCAGCCAAAATTTTGAACGGACCAGTCCAGAGCAAAGACAACTTAGCTTTTAAGGACCTTGTCGTCCGTGCCTGAACGAACACCTTGGCGGATGGTGGGTTCCGAGTTGTGCACCAAAACCCATCCACCTACAGTGTAAGAGGGAACTTATGCAAAGCATCCGAAAGCGCGGAGGCTCGCCGCTCGATCGGCGAAACGGACAAGTTGAACTGTTCACGTACCAAGTCGTACGAACGACGTTGGCGATCAGCATCAAGATCGCAAAACTCCAGTTGATCACGATGCAAGCTTTGGTGGCCGCGAGCATATGAATGCTCAAGGACCGTCATCGGCAAGCGCACCAACCGGTTCATGTGCACCTCGTTGGGGGCTAAACCAGGAACGGCACTAACCGAATTGTTGTAGACAAACTCAACGTGCGGCAGTGAGTATCCCAATCATCCTTCCTCTCGTTGACGACCGTAGCTAACACCTGAGCCAATGCGTGATTGACACGCTCCACACTCCCAATTCCATTGGGATGATAAGAGTAGCCACTTTGCGAACGACAAGACGGGCATACACGGCCTGCGACAGTTTGGAACAAAACTGGGAGCCGTTGTCAGACAAGAGACGTAACGGGCAACCCCACAAAGGGGTATATACCGGTTGACGAGGATGTCAGCGGTGCCTTCGGCGGTGAATTCTGCAGCCGTAGCCGCGTACATATCAGCACGGCGGCTGAAACGGTCCGTGAAAAGCAGAGTATGTGTGTTTCCACGCGGTGTCAACGGGAGGGGACCGAAATAGTCGACGCTCACCGACACACCAGGGCCCAACGGCAATGGAAGGCATGAAGTGGGCCATCGAGGAGTCTGACAAAACGATTTGGGAGCTTGGCATCGCAAACAATGCCGCACCCACCACTTCGTGCAAACACTCATGTCAGCCCACCAATAAAAACGTTCCAGCATGCTAAGCGTGCGAGCTGCACCGAGGTGACAGGACACACCAGCGTGGCAAACTTGCATGATCCACGGGCGCATGAGCATGGGGACATAAAATCCGAATGGGTTCATCGTTGAGAAGGCGAGCAGCACGCCCACCAGGACGTGTGGGCGTAGACGACGGGGGCGCTGTCGGCTTGCGAACAAGCAAGAACAAACCATCAACATGCAACCGGCCTTTGTTAGACAGGTCACGAATCTCCGACAGATAAGGTCGACGAGCGGGCGGAAGATGATCCATGAAATCCGAAGGGAGAGCCGGAGGCAGACCCAGAAGGATTAAACGAATTGCTGCATCACGCATAGGTTCGTTACGTTGCTCGCGAGCCCAATCAGTATGCGAGAAACGTTCGACAGACGCCTGGAAATCTAGATCCACCGAAGAATGTAAAGCCGCCTCTACGAAAGAGGGGACCGATTCTTGAGGCATCAACTGCAACCCTTCCGAAGGTAAAGCAGTAGCGGAGACAGATGGCGAGTTCGCGCGAGCGGGTGAAACCAAGCTCGGCAGGGACTCCGAAGAGTCGGGAGCTGCAGAAGACTGCAGAGTAGGAGCAACCGAAGTTGCATCATGCGTAGGAGACGCAGAATCCACTCCATGGGCCAGAGGCGCGGAGGGATCAGGGGATACACCACCAGTAACAACAGGAGTAGAAACCAAACTGGATAAAACGGGTGTCGTCGATGATGCCGGGGGCACCGTCGGAGACCGTCGATACGGTCGCGGCGAAGCGAAAATCCGTGTGGGAGGCAGGGGAGACGGGTCATCAGAGAACCCGTAATCAACCGGCGGGAGCGGCTTGCCTGCCACAACCGCCGTACGGCGGCGAGTCCGCGTGGAGATCACTTGCATAGAATCGAGGGTCCGACGTGGTTTGGCAGCCTGTGGGACGGTCGACGGAGACTCGGGCTATAGAGCCAAAAAATCATCCAAAGACTGTTGCAGTGAGCCAGACCAAGCAATGGGAGGTCGATCACGCAGTCTCGAAGGAGGCAAAACGCGGAGCTTCTTGGACGGCCAGGGAGCGATGTTTCAGATGCCAGATGAAGACGAAAGGCCTGGCGGCGGGAGACGCGAACCGTGGCGACGGAAATCGACGAAGTCAGCCGTAGAAGGGGCAAGACCACCCATGACCGAAGTCGGGGAAATCGGAGCTAGCCCACACAGGCCAACACCCGCGGCCTGACGACCGGAAGGCGTAAGGCCACACGAACGGCTGAAAAACACGGTCTCCTCATCCTCATCCGGGGTCAAACGGCTGCGACCAGATCGGTCACATTCGGCCGCATCGATCGGAAGGCGAGAGAGAAAATCAGCGTTGCCATTCGCGGAACACTTGCGATACTCGAGAGTGTAATTGTAGGCGGTAAGAAATGATCGCCAACGCCGAACGCGGGCATTGTTCTCTCCCACCTTGGCAAAATACTCAAGAGATTTGTGGTCGGTAACAATGCGAAAATTCGTACCCCACAGGTAACCGCGAAGTCGTTTGATACACCACGCGATGACCCCTGCCTCGAGATCGAGGGGAGTCCAATGGCGTTCGGAGTCCGAAGTAGGTCGGCTGGTGAACACGATGGGTTGGATGGAGCCATCCGGCTGTTCTTGTTCAAGAGTCCCTCCGAACCTATCGCGACTAGAATCACAGTAAATATGAAAGGGTCGCGAGCCGTCCGAAACGGCATCCCAATCTGGATAAACCAAAACAGGGAGGTTGGCCAACTCAGACAACAGGACGCGAACGGCTTGTTCCATGGCAGGGGTGAAGAGGAACTTCACCTGCTTCTTGAGAAGAGTGGTCAGAGGTCGAATTCGCGTAGCCATGTTGGGAAGGAACTTGCGGTAGCAACTGAGGCCGCCGAGAAGAGAACGGAGTTGCTTGACATCCTTGGGCATAGACATTTGGTGAGGGCCGCAACCTTGGCACCGTTAGGCCTATTTGGTGAGGGCCGCAACCTTGGCACCGCTAGGCCTAACACCGACGGGAGAGATGGTGTGTCGGGGGAGGTCCGCTTCTGTAGCGCGAATGGTGGCTTTCGGGGGGCTGAGTCTCAAGATGTGCGTACGCAAGGGTTCAACGAGAGCGCGCATGGCACCAAAATGAGAAGAAGGAGTGTCATCGAAGACGATCAAGTCGTTCAAGTACGATGCAACACCGCGGAGATTTTTTATGACTTAAGTGACAACGTTGCAAAACCACCCAGGGGCAGCAGAACTGCCTTGTGACATCTTCAACCACTCAAAAAGACCGGAAGACGTCACGAATGCCGTCAAAGGGATTGTATCACGGTGAGCAGTGATTTGGTGGAACGAAGATTTCATTTCAAAAAGGGAATAAATTCGCCCTTTCAACGACTTGTCGAAAGTATCATCAACCCGAGGAATCGGAAGCTGGCTCAAAGCACAGAGTTTGTTGAGCTTACGATAGTTGACGGTGATACGAGCACCACCAGATTTCTTCGGTATGACTACCAAAGGGCTCGAGCAGGGCAAGGTCGAACGTTGGATCAGACCAGCCGCAAGATATTGATTGATCAACGATGGCGTCAACTTGTTTCGCCATCGGGGGGTTAACGCGATATGGGCGAGACGTGACGGGTGCGCTCGCAGGAGGACCTGTAAGCTTGAAAGGAAAGAGCGAACAAGGTCCAAAGTCGGTTGGAGAACTCGAAAACACATCATGGTATTCGCATAAAACATTACCAAGCTCAGCGATGACCTCGAGAGTCCAACCCGGACCGTGGAGATCAAAAGAAATCTCACGGAGATGGCAGGGGAGCTTATCCCACACTCGGGAAAAACTCTGACGCTGTTCTGGCGTCAACCGCTCGAGAAGAGCAGGCGAAGGCGACGAAGGGGAAAACCCGGTGGAAATAGGGTCGTCGTTGCCGTATTGCCACGGCGTGGGACGCTCATCATGTACATTATACCCGAAGGGATCAGCAATGGAATGCATGGTAGACGAATCAATGCCATCTGTCGAGACAGAACCCGGAACCCAGTCGCCCGAAGCAGCAGTGGAAGCGTGAGCCGCAGCTGGAAGACCGTCGCTCAAACTGTTGCGGCGCGCCACAGCGCTAAGAGGCACTTTGAGTAGTGGAGCCGAAACTGTACCCAAAATGTCTCCTGGTTCAAGGCAAGAGATGCCCGCAAGCGGGATTCGTTGGCAACCATTTTGTACGAAATATTCTTCGGAAGAAAACTTAGCACACTGTGGAAGCATATCCACCACATATAGTTACCGACGAGAGCTGCAGAGCCATCGCTACGCACCAAATTAACCTGAACGAGCCTATGCTCGGGTGAAGTTGGACGGAATTTTTCCTGGCGTAGCGAAGTTGATAACTGCCATCGGTGGCAGACAGGTCGTGGGCAGACGCAGTAGCACCGCAGCTGTCATGCTGAGCTAATGTGAGCTCACCAAAAACACGGTCACCAGGTCGGACGCAAAGTGCGGTACGAGAGGTCGCAAAGTAGCATCCAACCATCTTTGCCGAGGAGCACGTCGTGGTGCATGACCCCATCCGGAACAACGTATGCCCAAACAGCGAGAGAGGAAGAAGGAAGGCTCTTACGGAGAAACTGAACGCTCAAACGGACAGCTCACACGGACAATAGTCGAAGTGTGAAGCGGCGGAGATGTACCGAAACCACCCCAGCAGCGAGGTTGAGTTCGTTTCTCAGACAACGACGAAGCAGCCGAAGCCGCTTTCATGGAGTCCCACATGGAAGCACTATTAGAAGACTGCGGAGAACCCGTGTCCAAACGTGCAACACATCCAATCTGAACAGAGGCCGAACCCTTGTGAATGAGGATTTTGGTGGTGAAGGAGTCGTCATCTTGGTAACAATATCACCAACGAATCCGGACCTTGCTCAGGGAGCGAAGAAGAGGAAGAGGATGGCCGGTTGCACCCGGCAGACACGGCCCAAACAGCGGTGTCGTGATCCGACGGAACACTCGAAGCGTATTGCGAAAATGACGCGAATCGTTCAGTCAACGAAGGGCGCGAAGCCTAACTTCGTGCACCGCGCTACGGAGAGATGACGATGAAACTTGATCGCTGGAAGGCAGCAAACGAGAGCTGCGCTCGGGAGGCGGGGCATGGTTGGAGGGCGTTTCCCAACAAATTGAGACCGCGCCATCGAGACGTTGATCGAGCGTCGGGATCATCGGCCTGAAGGACAATGCCCCAAATACGGTCGAAGGGGCTCCGTCGGCAAGGATTTTGTCACCAGATCCGAGAAGATGATCTCGTAACTCGGAGTTTTCACTAAATTTTGCGTAAGAGCCAGTGAGCACAATGTTTTCGTGCTCTCGTTCCCAATAGGTTGGTCGCATCCACGGACTTTGCGCGGCCAAACTGCTTGTGTAAGGCAGGGTCGGATGCTCGCATGATGTTCTGCAAAGCTTTGTGGTCTTCGAAAAAAACGAGCTTTTTCCATAGCGAAAAATGCTCAGCACACAAGTAAACAACTCCTCCATCAACCACAACAAAAGTCGACGGTGTCCATTGGGGAAAACGAGAGGGGGGCTTCCAAAAAAGTGCCATGTCAGGAGTACAATACTCGGTAGAATGATCGAAAAAACAGCCGGGGCTGTAGGGGCCAGCCAAAGTGCCCTGAGTGCTGAAGCCGAAGCTGGTGTTGCAGCCGAAGCCGTGGCGGGCAAAACGCCCGTGTTGGGTTTGACGACATGGATATCCGTGGGGGTGGTCCCGGCAACGGCAGGGACCGGCGAAGGATCGACCGAAGTCTGATGCCAGTGACTCGATGCTGCGTGCGCTCCAATTATAAACCTGAAGAAACGCCTCGTAAGATGTCATTCAACAGGCCTCTTTCGTTAGGAACGGCTGCCAAGGCCGGGCCAGTGAAAGAACTGAGCCGCGCGTGGTGCTCCTGGCCATTCCCCCGTGACAAGGTACACGCGAGACTGCCGGCGGTTGGGAGGTCACTCCGGGAGGGTCCTCCCAAAGCGGTGGTGTCAGCACTGTCGACGTCGGTCGCGGCGTCCTACTATTAGGCGCCTCTGTGCAAGCGTGCGTCGGAGGAAATGGGGCGTGCAATGACGACCCATGGTCGAAATGTTTCGTGGCGGAATCTGATGATGTTCGATGGTCGGAACCGCGGGAACAAGGTGATTCGAAGCCAGGCGAATTTGATCCTGAAACTTGCCGGTCGGAACCAATCAAGTTAGCTACCGGTGCAACGGTCGAGGGCGGACCCTCAACGGAAGCGCACACAGACGAATGGAGCGCGTCCGAAGATTCGCCCGGGATAACAAAATCAGGCGATTCCTCATCAATCGTCCGAAGCGTATGGCTACGGCCGGTCTTATCTGCAGACGACGGGGGGGGGAGCGAACGAGCGGTGCCCGACGAACGAGCGGCACTCAATGGTCCCGAAGGTCCTACGGGCCTGTTCCCGCACCTCAAGACAGTACTCGGGCCAGACTGGTTAGTTTCCGACGGAGCATCAATCCGAAGAGTCAAGGGTGCAGGGGTCGCAGATGGTGCTGCAAGTGTGATGGTGAAGGTGGGATGAGAGCGTTTGGCTTGATACCGACCCGACCAACACTTGAAGAAACAACGTGTACCGATGTTATTGCATAGCACTGGAATACTAGGGGCTAGGGGCAGTAGAGTGCGTAGGGATAACATTCACCGAAGTGTTGCTATCGTTGCATAGAACCGAAGTGCTAGATGCAACAGGACATGAAGGAACAACATGACATATGTATCGAAGTATTATTGTTGGCGTTGGGTAAATCCGAAGGGTTAGAGGCAACAGGGTGTGAAGGAAAAACAGCAGTACCGAAGTATTATTGGTGTTGCGTAAAACCGAAGGGTTCGACGCAACAGGGCGTGACACACGCACGCACGTCTTGTCATGAACGAGACGAAGTCCCCGAAGTTGCTGGAGGCGGTCCAAGGGGGGGAGGCGAACCACCGTCGATGAGTCATCCTGTGCGAGAACGGCCACCATTTTGGAAATGATCAGGTTGGCGAGCGTTGTGATTGGTCGAAACCATGATGCCAGACGAAGGATCGGTTTGAGCATGCGGGTGGGGTTGGTAGACGGACAGAGCACCAGCGTGGTGGGTGTTGCCAGACGTGTGTTGTGTAGTGTGATGGCTACCCGCAAAATTCCCGGGGTGTGACCACTGTTGTGTGACTATGGCTGGTGATCGGGAGGAGAACTACCCATCGCCAGAACGGCGAGTCCCAGCGTGGTTTCGACTCTGAGAGGCGGAGGAGGAAGAGCGCTGGTTGCGTCTACCCTGACTGGTGTTGCGGCCGTCCGAATTTTTGCGACGGAAAGACCGCATGCGGCCTTTTGCCAACGCCTAAAAGCAGCAGAAGAATCGTCATTGAGATTACCCAGCTCGGGATTCAGCAAACCACTAGAATTGTGAACGGCGAAGCGCATTGCTTCACGGAATGGTGATTATCCGAGCAGTTCAGACAGCTACTCATGTTTTCGCGGAAGGCTTTTCTCATCTCCGGGCGCGTCCGGCGTGTGTCCGAGCTGCACTGCGACGCAACAAGGTGCAACAACACACCCTACTTCTGTTGCCTTCGCCGTCCTAGTTGCCAAGAGAACTCACCACACCACTTGTCCGAAATGCGTCAAATAATCAAATAATCCGCAACCCGATGGATGAATGGTCGAAACCGATACACCACACGAGATAGATAGATCACAGATTGAAAACTGCCCACCGCAAAGAAAGCCGCCTGCTTCACAAACGGGTTGCTCATAGATTGAGTTGTCAACGCTCTTGTTATGTTATGTTTTGTCTTTGCGTTGTGAAAAAAAGAATAATGTTACAGCTGCCGCGGATAGACACTCCGTTGTCTCCTGTGTTCGCTCTTCTGCAAGTCGCTTTTGAGTTTTAACATTTTGTAGACTCTTACCATCAACCAGATGCGCCCTGATTCAGATCAACTCTCAATGCGCTGACAGCAAAAAGCCAAACAACCACCCTCCGACGACTTCAAACACGTCGCCCCCTCCCCTCGCCCACGACAGCCTCTCACGGCAAAATACAGAGCGCTTCGGTTTAGCATTTGCGAACCAAACCAACCTTACACAAGCGATGCGCACTAGCCCCCCGCCAATACCCCGCCTGCCCCTGTACACAACTCCCCCCCCCCGCGCCCTTGAAGTCACTAAATCTCCTGTACGCTGCCACTTCCATGTCGTTTCCAACGTTAGGCTGCGAGTCATGCTCGAACGGCTCTTTCCACGTCGAACAACCTCACCCCCCCCCATTTGGCAGGCTTTCGAGCCTGCTGTGACCCCTCCTGTCCTCATCAACTGCCACGTCTGCACACGTGGTGTCCTGGCCCGTCCTTTGTTCCTGATTGTCGAACAAAAATAGGCTCCCTTCCTGCCACCAAAGCAAAGCTGGTCCGAAAATAAGGCAATACAATAATCACCGCTTGGCTTTGTGTCCGACAATAAAATATCCTACTATAGATACCGAGAAGAGGGGTGGGGATAAAATCGACCCGAAAATGACAACAAGAATGATCCAAGCAAATCAACGAGTCAATCATTCACCCCATGAGATTGCTCGAAGATAATTCGTGGTCCGCCAGGTCGGGGGACGATAGATAACACCCCCGCCCCGTGCCAGTGTTGTTGTGCCGTCAAAATCGCGACGGGTGTGCCACCAAACGCGGAAGAAACAGGCAACATAACGCCAACGCTCGCTGCTCTTGGCAGCGACACCTCGGGAACGATCGAGCAATCGAAAGCCCGATGAAACAAGAAAACAAATACACAAGGGGAGCACGATGGCTCGAAAATTCTACCCTTTTGAGGACTTGATGAGCGAAACCAAGACACGACAACAACTCGTCGTCGCCGTCCTTCAGCTTTTCGCTCCCAACGCCCTCCTGTACACCACTACGACCACTAATGTCACCGCTGCTTCCCAAGAGGAAACCCAACGCTGCGAACAAACACGAGGACACATGGCACGCAACATTCCGGAATGCAAGCAAGAGAGAACAAGACCGACAAAACACAACCAAGAGATCCCTTAACACGAAACAAAAAATGCCCTACCTAGCGCCAAGCACATGCGCGCCCCCTCCCCCCCAAGCACGAAAGTCAAGATTCCTCATACAGCCCCTCCCGGTTCAATCGATCCACACGCACCCACCCACCCATCATGAACCCCATCCTCTTCCTAGTGTCTACGCTTCAAGTTCGGTCTCACGAATCCAAGCATCTATCCCGAAAAGACACCGCTTCGTCATGAAGTCAATTAAACCAAACAGCCAGGTAACAAAATCAATCATCCATCATTTCAACGGTTACCACGAACAACAACACAAGCAAGAAAACGACAAAAAAAAAGGAACTAACACACAATTGTCATCCGCGCAACGTCTAACCCCGACAAACTCACCAAACCCACCGTCAAAAGTAGTTCAGGCCGGCCGGACTAAAAAACAAGCTGACCGCATGAATAAATAGGTGAATTCAACCCACGACCTGACTGGACTAACACAGCCCAATCCCTGTTGTCGCACCCCACACAACAACGGTGTCACCTCGCTGGCTCCAGGCCTCTGGCTCACGCGTTAATCGGTTTAGAAATAAGGTCAACACGGAAGAGCAAACAGGGGAGACGGGGGCGACGTCGGCAACAAGACCGGCAGCGGCGGCAGTGCGGAAGGAAGGAATGGAGAAAATATCAAACTTGGCTCGATCGCAATGGCATTATTTGCGGGTGCGGATCCTGTCTCTCTCCAGCAGATACTATATGGTACGTTATGTTCGTGCTACACCTCTCCGGCCTGGTTTCCTTCTATACCAGCACGCCTATCCGGGTAAAACCTGTGGAGAGGCAGCGAGCGAGCTATCGACATGTACCGACAGCATTTCTCCCTTCCCCGTACAACACACACAGCAGCGGTACAGCAGAGCACCAGAAAAAAAAACGAACGCGCCGGCGCGTCTCTTTCTCACCTTAGCTTTCACAAAAACTGCACGACCTTCTGGAACACGCCCTCCTCGGTCAGAAGAGTCGTTTGCCCCACGAGATGATAAAATTCCGACTGGTTTCGCTCTGGCACTGCCACTCCACCACCACACCCATCACGATCACCACCACCACCACACCCCTTCTCCGGTTCGCTCTTCTCCGGTTCGCCACCGCCATCAGCCCCGCTCTCACACGGTCTGGCTTCGGCATCACTGCCCCCCGCGGCGACGCCCTCGTCCTCTTTTCGTACGATCACCACGCAGCCGGTCCTCGCGGCCTCGACCAGCTCGAGAGCCGCCTGCCTCTGGGCCCTGGCCCGGAGCATGACGAGCCACCCGCGCCGCTTCCACTTGCGCCGCAGCACGGCGGCATCGAGCAGGGCCACGATCTTACGCGGCACGACCGGGCCGGGCTGGTTCTCCAGCGGCCGGCCGTCCGGGTGCACGCCGGTCACTTCCCTCGGCGTTTGACCGTCGTTGTTCTTGGCCGCCTCGTCCGCGTCCGAGTCCAGCAGGATGCGCACGGTCGGGAGGGACAGGAACCGGACCGCGCTATGCAGCGGGCTGTCGCCGTTGTTGCCGCGGTCCGATAGGCAGGACCCGGCAGCGAGAAGGTCCACGACCGCGGTCTCGGCGCCGCGGGCGGCTGCGAAATGGAGCGGCGAGTAACCCTCCATATCCCGCGCCCGCACGTTTAGCCCCGCGGCCAGGAGAAGCCGCACGTGCTCCGCGGACCGCTCCTGCTCGGCCGCGCGGTGCAAGGCCGTGCAGTCCCAGAGGTCGACCGCGTTCCGGTCGACTCCGGCGGCCAAGAGCTCGCGCATGAGGCCCGCGTCGCGAGCCATGGTCGCGCGGTGCAGGCACAGGGGGTCGCTGGTTACGCTGGCGATGGCGGCGGCCGTGGGGGAATGCGACGACGCGTGGTCGGACCCATTCGAGGAGGTGGAACCGGAAGAAGATGGAGACGGGGAGCTGCTGGCTCCTGGGGAACCGCACCGCGGAGAGGACGGTGGTGCTTGGCTCCCGAAGTTCCTGCTGCAGCCGGACGAAGCTGACGGCTCGCCTCCATCCGGCCGAATAGAAGGCGGCCCGGTAGAGCACGACGGCGGCGTGGAAGGAGCGCTGCAGGCCCACGCGAAATCCAAACCCGCTTGTTGTTTGACGGGGGTGCGGTGGGGCGTGTGGCCGCACGACGAGGACGCCGGTGTAGAAACAGAGGGGGATTCCTGTGACGGGGAAGGCGGGGCGGACCCACCGCCGCTGCAACCGCCGCTGCAACCGCCGCCGCTACAGCTGGGCTTGCCAGGCCCCGGCACCGCCACCGCCGCGGTACCCGCTCCCTTCCCTCCGCCTTCTCTTCGGCCGCCGCCGCCGACGGCGCCGGCGAGCCCCGCTCCGGCCGCAAGCAGCGGCTCGACCAACCACCCCTTGCCGGCCTCCACGGCGTGCTCCAACGGCAAGCGCAGCCACCTGCACCACTGCTCGTCCGACGCCCGCGCCATGACGAACTCGAGGATGTCCTCGCCCTTGCGGCGGATCTCGCAGCACTGCTCCCTCTTCTGCAGCAGGCACTTGGCGTCCGGGGAGAGCACCCTGGGGAACCGGAGCCACTCCGTGCTTTGGGCCCGGCTGCTGCGCTTCAGGACGATGACGAGGAGGTCCTCCCCCCTGCCGCGAAGCGAGGCTCTGTCGAAGACGCTGCCGTTCTTGCCTCCTTCCATTAGTCCACGCGGGGCGGAGTGTGCCCCTGCTGTAGCCCTGGCTGCTCGCCGGAGGGGCTTGCTTGTCCAGGTCGCCCGGGCGCGGGATACAAATGAGTGAGTCTGGTTTCCTCAACCTGGCGCCGAGGGCGAAGCGGACAGCAACACGCGGGGAAGCAAGAATCGAACAAAGGACATGTCAGCGCCGGCAAACTTGGGAGGGTGGCAAATAGATACCTGATCAGGCTGCGGGTCGTGTGGATGGATGCCGGGCCAATGTTGCACTCACTCCCAGGTGCAAGACAAGGGGCTCACCAACTTTTACTTCGTCTTCTTGCCACAAGACGGTTGGCGTACAGATCAGTTGGGGTACTGCTGTACCAACGCTGTTGCACCTCACGAAGACGGGCGGACAGATCACGCTCCATGACAGGAACGCGTTTCGTCGCCGAAACCGCCAACGAATGCCAAACTGCTGTTGGCGGTAAGAATCAAGGTATTGTAAGTCTTGGAACGTTGCGTAGCTGCTGTCGGCACAACCAGCTGGAAAGGGGCTGCGGCCGCAGCAAGGGTGCCGTCTCCTGCGCCTACCGACCTTCACTGGTGACTCGGATAGAGGACAAGGCTGATGCTGTACCGATAAATGGCTACTTGTAGATTTTCCGAACCCCCGACGGAAGAGAGCAAGCGTGCTTGCTTTTCGAAAGACTTAAAATAACGGAACGCAAGATCAAGACCGTTGAAATCAACACGCCCTTCTCCAGGGAGACGCACATGAAGCGGTGGGCACCGTTCCAAAACGCTCACGCTCTCGGTTGGCTCCCAACGGTTACGGTTTCGTTCTGGCCGGACGCGTCAGCGGACCTTCGTTCACACCATATTTTTTCACATTTCATATTTTTCCATTTCTGCAAGTGCCTTCAATCCTTGGTCGATACGCGTTCGCCATAAACTCGGTCCACAAATCCCTGAAGGCCACCGAAAATTCTATCACTTCTTGTCTTCTTTTGTGTACTACTGCCTGAACATGTCCCTGATCAAAAACAACCATTCAAACAAAATAAAAACGGCACACCACAGGAACTTGGCACAGCCGTACAACTCAAAATGCTGCACAATTTCTTGCTGCCATGCACACCACGCCTATATGGAAGAGCCCCGAGGTCTTGTCGACGATAAAATTAACACAAATAACCAACCAACACCACAAGACAGCAGGGACAACCATGAAAATAGGCGCAACAGAAGTAATGGAAAAGAAGAACAAGGCATCGCTGCACAAGTCAACACGCACCTATTCTATCCTATCCTATCCGCGTTTCTTAACGCACGGGGTGGCATGGTCTCCGGCGTCTTTGTGCTTCTCTCTCTCTCTCTTTCCGCTCTCCTCGGTACAGCAGTAGCGGATCTATGCACATGCATACAAGTATGATACTCCGGTAGCACGACTTGAAACAACATTCGGAAATTACTTGAAATGACCGCAAAAAAAAAGATTGAGGTGTTTTCCACTGAACTCAAATGATTGTTGGGTTTTAGGGGCGAAGGAAATAAAAATGACTTCATAGGAAACTCATGTTTTGTGTTTTTTTACGCAACTACGCACAAACAAAAATACTTCTCTGTATTGAGTAACCAACACCCAACACACATGACGTTGAAAAAAATTACAGCAGAGACAAGACGGGCAAACGAGAAAATATTTGGCTCTGGTGCACTGCAAGCGCATGCACATGCATGAACGTGAGTTGTTCAAGTCTGGGGACCGCCCAACCATATCCACAAGTGGGCAGCGAGAGTGCGAGCTGGATGAGGTGCGAATGTCTGTACGAGCGAGTATAGCATAGCAACACTAAATATTTAGGTTGCAAGCCAACACGCGCGTGGGCGGGCGAGCGGTTGGGGCACACGCCACGCCGCGGCTGTCTTCTTTTCTCGATCTTCTCCGCCAATCATTTGCCAAAGAGTTTTTTGCTACAAGCAGCAGCAGTGCGCTGACGACCACCTACAGAAAAATGTCAGTGTGGTGTTGCTTACGTCATAGCCTGCCGGTGGGAACTCGTCGGAAATTATGGGAAATTATTGGAAGAAGAAGACGAGGAGGAAAAATAACATGCACGGATGTACCCAACCAAGGTACCGAACAGCAGTGCGGGGCAGCATCCGTGACACGTTTGCGCGTAACGAACGAACGACCAAACACGACGAAAGGGAGAAGGTAGGGCAGGGGTACACGCTCTTGCCACGAAAAAAAACACCAAACACGAGTCTGGGGGAGGGGGGGGGGGGGGGGCTACAACACCACAATCTTGTTATCTGCTGCTGTCCCTCTTGTTCTCCCGAGAGCGAAGAGAACCTCGTCTGTTGTTCTCTCTCGACAGGGGCACAGCCCTGCTTCAAAAAGCAGGTTCCTTCCCCACTGACTGCTCGAAATAAGAATGCACCGACCATTTTGCAGCGGCCGGTACTCTTGCCATTGTAACTTTATGCGAAGACAAATACAACAACTGCTGTTGCGGTACTTTCTCGAACGGGTAGTCTTTTCAGTAATGAATGGTCTGTAGTGCTGAGATAGCACAAATCAAGTGAGGACGAGATCACCCGGGCCAAAACTGCTGCTGTTACAAAACCGCGAGCCACTGCCGGACAGTACGCACACGCACGCACCACCATATTTAGCTTTTTTCTCTCACGTTGTCGCTGTGTTTTTTTTATCCTTTGAGTTTTCGGTGAAATGCAAAACGGAGCTTAGAGGAGCATCACAAAGCTAAGAGATGGGGGCCAGAGACAGCAACAACACGCGCGCACAGCGCTTGCGGAGAGAGAGAGAGAGAGAGGTCTGCAGCCCAAGCCAAGATTCCCGATTTTCCACTTGACTCACACCTTGAGGTACGAGCGGTCCGAAAACCTGTGCACTGCTGTGGACGGACGTGGTTGGGACGAAGTGCGGCAAGTGTTTTCGATCTTTCCGGCATCCTCGCGCAGATACTGCACTACGCTGTACACACACACACGTGGTGCTTGCTTTACCGGCCGCGCCTGAGGTTATTTATTCCCCACACGGCCTTCGCGAGAGAAGCAAACGACGAAAAAGAGGCCAGCTTTGTCGCTCCCCCTCAAGTGTCTCGTCACCAATTTTCGCAGCGTATGACGGTACATCTACAACATATGTTCTGTATGTACTTGTATGTACCCAGATTCTTGTCTTCATAAGAAACACCACCAAACGAGCAATTGTGTGCAAAAAATGTGAATACCACCGGGTAGCCAGTACGGCCAAGCGGGTGCGCTCTGTTTTTCAGCAGCACCGAGAAAACGGCCATGAAACAGTCAACAACGAGCAAATGCCTCGCCCTCGCTCGGATGCATACAACTGCTTTTGTTTGCAGCAGCAGCAGCAGCAGCGGCAGCAGCACTTTCGGAAAAAAGGTGAGCTCTCCCGCTGCACAACAACGTGCTTTGGGGGGCCTATCCTGCTAGATTTGCGAGGGCAAAAATACCGAAGTGGTGGTTGCAAAGTTCGTGTCATCCATGGGGTCAGTGCCGAGCTGCCTGACCTACCGAGCGGGGACCAGAAACGGGCAGGGATTCGGCAACGCCGGAGGGGATGGTGGCTGAACAACATGGAGAGGCGTCGCCGTGTAGCAACGAGAGCGAGAGATGGGTGATGAAAGGGTGCATTTCCATGATGAAACATTCGTGAAGTTGTGAAGTTGTGCGTATCTTTATGAAGCAGTTTCGACAATCAATCCTCCGTGGCGCTGCTGCCGATGTTCGCCGGACTCTCCATCTCTCTCGGAACAGCAGCATCAGCCGCGCGGCAGCAGTCGCAGCAGCAGCAGCGGCCGTGCTGCTCGGGTAAGACAATGTTCGTGCGGCAGGGAGGCGGTGCACTGCTCGCCGTCTTTGGCCTGATGTCAGCAACACAAAGGCTACGTGAGAGTTCGCAATGTTGTCTTTTGTGTATTTTTGTGACAGACACGCTGAAACAGACGATGGCACTTCATGTCCGCGCACAGCCAGCATCATCTCCTCGCTTCGTGCACGCTGTTCTGAAGCGCGCTCCAAGTAATCCGTGTGCAATGTACCGTTCCTAGCTGTAATCAGCCCAACCTTGAGGTGGGTGCGTTCAATTGGTCTAGGCGTGGGTGTGCGCGCCGTGGCGCTCTCGCTCTCTCTCTCTCTCTCTCTCTCTCTCTCGAGCAGCAGCAGCAGCAGCAGCAGCAGCAGCAGGCAGCACAACTGCTGCCGGTTTTACGAAAAAAATGGAAGAGGTGTGGAGCGTGGAGAGAGCGGGCTGCCAATCTTCGCGACCCAACCACACCCTTTCTTTTCCAGAGGCAGAGCGCGGTACTCCTATCGTCGCCACTCACCTCTCGAGAGACGCCCCCCTAGCTAAGCTCGTGTGGTTCCCCCGCCGCAGGAGAGGCCGGCTGTCGTCTACTGGCCACTCGGGCGATGCAGCTGCCGCGGGTGTCTTTGAGCAGGTTGCGAGAGAGAGAGAGAGCGAGATTGCGGAACCCGCACGAAGGAAGTTTTGACAGTCACGTGCCGCGCGTGCCAAAAAAAAAAAGGTTCGAGAGAGACTCGTTGACTATCATCATCTGGAGGAACAAACGAACAAACACACAACATCGACCAGCAGCATCAAACGGAGGGAGGCTGGCCCGGCGGGCTGGTGTGACGGTTGGGTACAAGAACGTTCTACTGGCTTCTTCGTAAGACAGCAGTGATACTTGTTCGCGTAGTGCTGCTGTAGCGCCACGGGGCATTCCTTCTTTTCTCTTCCTGCTTCCGCAGCTGGTGTGCTGTGGGGTGAACGCGCTGGCTCCCTGCTGTGTATGACGAATAGCGGACGCGTGTGGTGTGTGCAAGTACAGGCTACGCTACCAAGGGCAGCAGGGCGGGGCCAGCAGCGCCTTGAAACATGGCGGCGGGGCGTGTGCTTGGTTTCGGTCATGCTCTAGGTGGTGCGGCTGCCGCTTTCAGACCATTCTCTACGCGCACAGGGCTCAAGATGGCCGGAGGAGGCTCGGGGCTGCTATTCTCCGCAGGCAAGTCGGACCGAGAGCTCTCTTCCAGAGACTGCTGTACATATTATTGTACAGCAGCAGGGTCGACGATCAGCCATGATGCGACCCCCTTTTTCTCTCTGGGTTTGACGTGCTTTGGTGTTGGTATAAGACCCTTCATGTGCTGCGTTGCTTGGCTTGTTGTACGCGTATCGGTCATCGGCACACGTATTTTTGTCTATAGAGTACTTGTATGCTGTGCATATCCGTCGTGCTTCTTCCAGCTTGTGTGCGTCACCGGTAGAGTGGAGACTGCTGTGTGCGAAGTATTTTCGGTGGATCAATTGTGGATCCACGCATCCATGCGAAGTGAAGCGGCCAAGCCGTCGCCGTCAACAGCAGCATAGCATTCCTGTTCAACGATTGCTGTTGCAGATATAGTACCGTTCGCTCTTGCGATGGTGCCTGGATCGTCGTCCCGTTCACAATGGAGCAGTTTCCTATTCTCGCACTTTCGTGGACCAGTACAGCAGTAGATACGCGCAGGAAGCACCACACACGTTCGTTGGCAGCCAAACAAATGTACTTCATGTGAACATATCTGTAAGCACATCATAGAAAATACATGTATGGATACGAACAACAGGTCCTTAAGAGATTGATACATGCATACTGATATCCTTTTTGTGACTATTGTTGTGGCTTGTCCTCCGGCACTACGATATCATACGCATATTGGTCGGGGAAAAGTGTGAGCGGATGCCGTCGTCATCGTAGGCACCGCTGCGACGTACCCTTCTCGTCGGGTCCCTCACTGTTTGACTTTGTGCATGCGATACCGCTTACCCGCGGGTCCCTGGGAAGCGTGGAAATTGGTCCGAAATACCGTCCAATCTCCATTTGCTCGGTGCACACGTGCACACAAGGATATCTATCGTCATATCCGTCTCTCCTTCTGTTCTTGACACCTTCGGCATCAGTTTCGGCAAACTAGTCCGAAAAACGGAAACAAGCCGGGTGTATGCAAACAGCAGTATTGCTGTGGATACAACCAGACCAGCAGCGGTCAGTTATTCGGGTATGTATGTATGCATGTTCCATGTATGTACAGAGCAGAGTAGAACCACCACAACGTTCAAACCTACTATAATATTAATAGTTGTACATACCGCAGTTGTAGAATAGTCGAAGGTGGGTGCACCATGTATCGCGGAGGTCAAAGTTGCGGTTGCATGTGCATGTGCTGAGTGAGATTTGGAAAAAATGGTCGGGAAAAGAATGCCGCTTTCTAGCTCGCCAGTATAAGCAAACCAATCGTACGTGCGCACAAAGAGCGATGAACACAGTGCTACATGTACCAATATGCGTTGCAAACGTTTTGGAAATTGTGTACGCGTTTAGTGCGCATCTATTCCTTCGCCTCCCACCTCCGGAATACAGCACGTAGACGGAGAGCGCACGAAGCCCGTGCTTGAAACATTAGTCAAGCAGGGGCGAAGAGTGTGCTCCAGCTGTCACCTCCGGGCAGACTGGACATCTTGCCATTACAGCAGTAGTCTAGCACACTTGACCTTCGTCGAGCACGAGTGGCGGTTATGTGGCTCAGAAGTAAGGCGTCCTACTGCGCACAGTTGTGGATGGTGTGTGCTGCTCGTCGTGTGTACATGTGTGATGTTCGTTCGTGTTTGGTGCGGTGATCAAGCAAGCGGTATTTCGCGCTGACGCTCCCGCTCACCCAAGAGTCCTGCCGAGAGTGTTTTCGACCCAATCGGTGAGGCCCCGGAAACACCTCCACCGGTCAGGAGCATTAGTCGTTGAGCAACCAGCTATTGGCTCCATCATCGCTTCATCTTTTGCAACATTGGGTTCATATGTGGAGGTGCTGAGCCTTACCGGGGTGTCCGGACTTGATTCCTCTTTGTTTTTAGCCTGGTTGGTTTTCAAAAAGTTCAGGTTTCTTTATGTTCAGTAAAAAACACACAGCCTCCGCCTCAGCTGCTGCTTCGACGCCGTTCATGACTCTCTTCCATACACTCTCGACAGAGACTGTGCGTGAATAATTTAGGTGACACATCATACACACAGCCTCGGCTGCTGCCTCGATGGTGCCGTACGCCCCTCGTCTTCCAAACTCTGGAACAGGGATCGTGCGTGAGGCACAGCTGCTGCGCTAACCTTTCGGGGGACCGGCGTAAAATGTTTCGTCTGTTGCATAGGTGATAGGAGGAGCCATCGATGCCCATGAGTTGGTGTTTGTGGCTGACGGATTGATTATTTGTCCTTCATTTTGAGCAGGAGTGATAGGGGGGGCGAACCTCATCGGCTTCGGAGTCACGGCGACCACCAAGACTCACAAGGTGACAGACTTAACCGGAGCCGGGGCCTTCGTCCTGTCCGCTGCGGCGTGTGCGTGGTGAGTGCTTGGACTTGTGGTGGTGGGTGGACTCTCGAGATTTGAGTTTCTTATTTTTCGAGCATTTTTGTTCGCGCGCGCGTTCGTGGCACTTCTTTCGCTGTGTCCGATGTTATCCCGGCGGCGGTGGGCAGATATGTGATGTAGGTTTCGGAGACAAGCGACTACCCTTATCGTAGAAGCGACTGGCCTTATCATAGTCCCGAATCCCAACGTTTTCGTTTCTATAGCGTCCACCGCTCGGCGTTCTTCGTAAAATCTGCACTGTCGACCTGTTGTACACTCTTACCCTAATCCTATCGCTGCGAGCTAACTTGTCTACATCGCAGAGAGACGGCTGGTCATGTGGGATTTTCGCATGCCTGGTGCTTTTTATGTCATTTCCTTACTGCGAGCTATTCCAAAGCACACGCGAAGAGCATGGTCGAGTTGTGGGCGTTAATCCTCGGTTAGCGCAGAAACCCTCCAAGGGTTTATTTTGTCGACCACCCTCGGAAACTTATCGCCGTGGGAAACCCCTGGGTTATTTTCCGCTGTTTTGTTTTCCCCTTCCGTTTACTGCACCGGGATCATCCGCCCTGCGAAAGGAGAGGTTTTCTCCATCCGAGCTATGTACCACGCGCTTATCTCAGGATTGGTCTGTAGACGAGCATTGTTGTTTCCCCGCACCTTGCCGCATCCGTCCGTACCAGGAAATCGGGGTCCTTCCGAAGCGGGGCCATTCGGCCTCTGTTGCTCAACGTGGCTGTCGGGGTATGGGGTGTTCGGCTGGCATCGTACCTCTTTGCGCGTATTATCAAGACGGGTGAGATGGATATCCTTCCTATCGGTCGAGGCAGGGAGACAACACGAGAGACATACAAAACACAACCAACAGAACTGCCGAGCAGGGTGCCGTCTTAGACGGGTTGGTTATGTCATGTCCAATGCTGAGATCAAGACCGACACAAAGTACTGGGTGACGTTGTACTTGCATGCACCATTCTTGTGCTTGATGATGCAAGCATCTTGGTGCGCTATCGTACGTGGGGGCGCGAGTAGTGCCCGCGCGTGTCGCACCCGCTTTTTTCCTGTCGTCGCCAAGAAGACCGTCAGGAATGGCGGGTGGATTCCATGGCCAGTCAATTGTCACCTGCCAGAACGGGACACGTGTCTATGCATGTTCCCTGTACGCCGGTGCGCTGGTGTATCTCTTCGTCTCACTGCGTCAGCGTACACTCGTGTTTTACTGTGAGTCTGCTCTTGGTCTCTGTGCTTGTATCGGTCAGGCGAGGACCAGCGGTTGGCTAGGTTTTTCCCTGGCAAGGATGAAGGGTGGCTGGACAGCGCTAGGTCGTTGTTCCCGGTTAACCTGGCTGGCTTCTGGACGATACAGGTTCGTTCGTGAGTCTTTAGCTCTCGAGGTACTAGCGCTGAGTTATTTACAGTCTTCCGTGATCGCTAGGATAGTCAAGTCAACTGGGGAACGATGGATGTTTTTTTTTTTTGACGGTGCCCCCCCCCCCCCCCCCATCGGAAAGGGTTTGTTTTCAGCTTTGTATTCATGAAAGAATCAGCTCTTTTCCGGCTAGCTCAGCTTACACACGTACAGGAGTACGGGGGAGTCTTCTTTTTTTTTTTCAGTTTTGCCGAAGGCGTCAAGAGTGACAACTGACAGCACCAAGACACCTCACAAGACACCAACAACCAACCCACCGACTGCACAAATTGTAATGTCTCCATCGCCCTTTCACCCAAGTACACTAACCTAAGAACGCTGGACGTCCTCGTCTTCTCCTTGTCTCCGAAGGCGATGTGGGCCTGGGTGGTATCGCTACCGGTTACCCTTGCCAACTTCTCGCCGGCGAGGGCGGTGCCGATGGGAGTGGGAGGGTGGGCGTGCCTTGGTCTAGCGGCCACCGGGTTAGCTGTGGAGACGGTGGCGGACTACCAGGTGCTTTATTTTTTTTTTCATGTCCTCGTACGACCATTGTTGTGTGACATGGGGTGCATATGAGAGATGAACTCGGCGAAAGTACTGCCGCACGAAAAGTGACAAGACACAGCCTTACCTACCGTTCCACCGCATGCCATGCCACCGGTTCTGTTCTGATGTTCCTTGTTGTGGTAATCTCTGCATAGGTCTCTCTGCTCGTACCGAAAGCACCGAAAGCAGACATTCTGGATGAAGTAGCAGAGCCAATAGCAGAAAATATGTTGCTTTGAGACGTATGCTTCCGGTAGCCTGCACCTTCTGAACACATGGTGTTCGAGCTCATGATCCTTGACGCCGCAAACCTTCTGCAATACCACATCGGTATTGCAAACGTCCGGCATTGCTCTCACCCCCTCCCCTTTTTCTCCCATCCGCAGAAGTTTCAGTTCAAGAATGATCCCGACAACAAAGGGAAGTTCATGACCTCCGGGCTGTGGAGCTTGTCACGACACCCCAACTACCTGGGAGAAATGGGTGTGTGGTGGGCTATTCTCGGCGTGGCCCTTCCCGCGTTAAGGTGGGCACGAGAGCGCAGAACATGAGTCGCCCCGATGCAACTTCAAGGGTGGTCACGGTGTTTTGGGACAGCGTCGTACCCAACAACTTCTTCAAGTACATATCATGCTCAGCAGATATAGCTGGTGGAATGTATCTAACGCTTTCTATGCCAGGTCGTGCGAGTATTTGTATGCAGTGGTTGTCCATCAGTTGGTGCTCGAGTGGAACTTTTTTGGGATATTTTTCTGAATGTGTTCGTTTAAGGGGTATTCCTGATCGTTTCCTAGCCACACACGACACCAAAGCCGCGTCACGCGTGGTCCTGCGCCGGTTCATGGTTCGTCTTGACAGGTTGGTATGGCGCAACGAAACGCCTTCGTCCGCCATGTGAACGCCTACTAATAACGTACTCATCGCGCCTTGAAAAGGCACGCTCCATGCTTTCTTCACGTCAAGAGTTCGCTCTCCTTTGGAATGAGCACTTATTCAAATAATAATAGCTGTTGAAATAAGAATCGGAGTCTTGTCGAATGAATCGCGGAACGACATGAGCGGTTTCTCCGGCCTGCTGAGGAAGGATGATTTTCTTCCTTCGAATTCTCATTCCTTTCTTTGTCTAGCAGACCTTGACTTGACCGAATCGCGTCTGTCACGCCTTGTTTCCTTAGGGGGCCCGGAAGAGTCGCGCTTGGGTTCGCTAGCCCGGCGTTCATCACCGCCCTCATCATGTACGTGAGCGGAGTCCCCATGCTGGAGCAGCAGCACGACGAGAAGTACGGCGGCGACCCGAGGTATGATTCCCGCCGTCGGAACAAGTGTGGAGCGGGCGTGGGGTTCTTTTTCCACACAATCGGCGTAGTGGTGGAATCGATATTTGCCCGTTCAGCCGTTTTCCTCGCGTGGGACCTTGAGTAGTAGGCTGGTCAACGTATCTGCGAGATTTAGTTGTCTTTTTTTTGGAAGGCTTTGGACTCGGCTGCATGTCTCGCATGCTTTGGGCCGTCGGGCGTGATCGGCGTTGGGTGGCGGTGTGCCTTTCCTCACCCACCCCGACGCGTCTCTACGATACTGTTATGCGCTGCCCCAGGTATCGCGAATGGAAGGAGAACACGCCCATGATCCTGCCCGACATGTCCAAAGTGTGGCGGAGTGTCTTCTTCTGACGAAAGCACATGAGCTTTCTGGCTAGGATATGGTGTTCCGGGAAGAATGGTACTCGGTGTGCAACAAACGTCTTGAATTCTGAAAGAGGCTTGTTGTGCCCACAGCTTCTGATAGGACAGCCCTTGGCTTTGGAGAGACCTAGATGGTCATGTACATACGTATTCGTTCCTGCGGCAAAGCAAGACGAGAAAAAAATCGGGAGCGGAAGCCTTGTTTGTTTCTGTACAGTAAAGTAACTGGCGCCAGGTACGCTAGATAAATGAGATGGCAGAGCAACCACACTTGCTCTGACTGCTGTGTCAGGTATTTCATAGACTCGGGCGAACAGCCATATAAGATATGTGCGCCTTGCATCCCGTATTACATTTCTCCTGCCGTAGTAAAGCCTTTCATTCCTTCAACGCGAGAGTGAAGCTGTTCGTGGTGGGGTGAATGGTTTGTTTTTCTGCACTTTTTGTCAGTGCTTCGTATGCTGCGTACGGTTAATACCATCCCCAATTTTCTTGTGAAACACCCGCACGCGCGAGGGCCATTGAAGGACACAAAATGGCGAGTTGCGTGCCCCTGTGTGTCGGGCCTCTGGCGAGGAGGCGCAATTCGCATCTCTGTGGCCATGCTCTCGTCGTCCCGACAGCGGAAGAAAATTGTCCGCGTTCACATTTAAATGCGTTTCATTCTCTGCTCAGCGCATGGGGGTTACTTCTCTTTTTTCTCGTTGGTCATTGATCGGGCCGTTGGACGGGTAGACTATTTGTGGGAAGGTCCCTAAGTCCCGTTGACTGTGAACGGTACTTGGGCGATAAACAGCCGCGTTGGTCTCATTGTGTCCATGACCCGTTCTTCCCACTACATTTCTTGCCGCTTTTGTTTTAACCGTTAGAGCAAAGCGTCAGTGTTGCATAACGGCTTGATTGTGCACGAAGGGCGGGAAAAGTTGCCCCGTATGGTTGCAAGCAACTATTACGGGTGCGCCCCGTGACACCCTTCGAAATCATCACCCATTGAACTCTCCCCTGGCCCATGTGGGTAAAAACCCGAAATCACGAGCGCGACACACGCATGCATTGACACGGATAAGCCATGCAACTATCATCATAGACTACGCTATTCGTTCGGGAAACGTTTTTCACTTGAGGACTCGCACAAATCTTGCGCTACGGTAGCAGCACTCCCACACGACTGATTGCAGCTCTACTAATTCTGCCCTACAGAGACAAATTGAAAGTTCGTCGTGACAACGTGTCGTGTGGGTATGAAAAGTTTCTACATTAATTCACGTACGGCTGGCACCTTCGTAGATGCTCTGCCGTGAACACGTGGGAAAACTTACACCATCCGTGGTGTTCTTGCGCAGCCACCGATGTGAGGGCGTGTTCATCTGTTCCATGTCGTTGTTGAAAAAGGAACATAAACGCAATAGCTTTATTGCGCAGGCACCTGTCTGTTGTCAACTGATATTGCCGTGAAGCCTTTTCGCGCTTGCCTCCGATACACCAGTACCTACGAAAGGTAGACGTTGTTGGGAGGAAAGGAAAGCGCTCACCGTAGGGTATTGATGAGAAGCTTCGCCAACAACCATTTGTTCACAAGGGAAAACATTTCACGTTAGACTAATTGTGTTTCACGTTCATTGTCTCGTTTCCCAGGTGCCAGGGTTTCCTTTACCCCATGTCTTGTTGTTTGTCGGCGGCCTTTCTTTCTTCGCGGTCGTTACGCGTTGTGGTCCTCTTCTGCTTGTTGCACAAGCTAACTAGTCTCGGTCTAGGTGGCAGTGTATCACTTGCTGAGCAGCAACAAAGTATGCAGAACAGCAGTCCAGAGGATTTGCCTTTAGACGTCCATCATCGAGTGTGGGATCGACAGGGCATCGTTCGCTGTTGCTACTCGTTCTGTTCTCGTCTTCTTCTTGTGCTTCGGAAAAACACGAAAGGGCCGTGGTCTAGTCTATGTAGCGCATTTATACAAACACTTGGCGCACGTGTATCCATCCACAACATGCGCACGTACGTGTGATGATCCACGCCACGCCACGCCAAACCTATTTGCTACCTGCGGAACACGCAATCCTCTGCAGCCTTCGATGGATCGCCAATTGATTGTTCACTTGATGTATTTTCCTGGTTTGATGCATGTTTCTCCCTGTGTTGTCTCCCGCCCTCCATATCAACGTTTCGTTCGGCCCTCTGCCTGCTGGGATGATGACTCTCCATCGTCTTCCGGGTTGGTGCGCTTTTTCTCCTTGCCAAATTTCTTGCCTTTCTTCTTTTTTCCAGCCTCCTCTGCCCTCCGCGCCGCAGCTCTCGCCGTGGCCGCAACGCTATTATTATTGCCCGGGGGGGGGGGGGGCGAGGCCGTGGAGTTTAGAGCGGCAGGCAGTGGATAGCCCCGTTTCTTCACGCATTCATCCGCGGTTGATTTCTTCCAAACAATTCCCGTCCTCGAAAATCCAAGCCGGGTCCTCTTTTCACCCACAGCAGTACCACCGTTGGACATATCGCGAAAATCATCATCATTATAGGTTTCAGCCCAAGATGAAACTTTCCCCACATGCATGCCCTCACCCCAAAAAAAACGATGTATTTTCATTATTTATGAACAACTTCACTCTCCCATCCCAACGCCATATTGCCATTGAGTCAGGACAACCAACTACTCAACGACGGCGAAACGAGGGCGACAAAATAGCAGCAGAAACCGCGGATTTACCGTAAAACAGTTGTCATGGCAACAACGACAATGCAGTAGCAACAAACTGATGTAACTGCCGGGGTAGGCATGAGACATGACATCTCACCGGCGCTCCTCCTCTTGGCGGATGTTCTCCTGCAGCTCGAACCGGAGGAGGTCGCTGAGGCGCCTCTCCTGCACGTACTCGTGACCGACACCGAGAGCCTAAGTAGGTTTCCGCAAAACAATACAGTAGTTCAAGAGAGGGAAATCAGGGAACAAGCGAAAGGGCTTCAGATGAGGCCGGGACTACCCCCGGGCTATTGTGGTTCAAGAGGGGGAAAGAAATTACATGAAATAGCCGGCCGCAGCGGAGTTGGGACCCTCACGGTGGCGAATGAGGTGCAGTATTATTAGTTCCCAAACCATGGACCCTCGCGCCCCTTAGGATGCCCGTTCCTGCATCAGAAAGGAACGCGTAAGCTGCCGGAAACTCTGTAATTAAGCTCATACTGATAACGATTTCGCGGGTCGTGGGTTGAAACAGTGAGGGGGGGGGGAACAAGCGGTTGTTCCACGTTGATCCCTCGACCAGTCCTCCGGGTTTACTCCTCTCCAGCAATGGCGGAAATGCGACTGGTACCCGCAGCTGGTGCACCCGCTATACGGGATGTCCGGTGTCCGGTAAGTAGGGGTTCTTTGAGGGGATCGTGCCGTCATACCGCAGGCCAAACAAATCCCCGCAAACCCGGGCGGTACTTCTCCAGAATTACTAGAGTGAAACCGTGATACTATCAAGTCCCGGAACTGGTGCTTACTGTGGGCAGAACGGTCAACATGCCGGACGCAATATTATTTCAGCGCTTTAGAATCTGTTTCGAAGTGGCAGTTGTGTGGTTTCCTGTCTAGGGGGGGTAACATTTTCACACCCTGTACAAATAAATATTTGCCTATTTTGGACCGAAAGGGAATGTCCTTCTACAGCGGGTATGAATACCGTCGTCGACGTGATTTTTTTTGGCAGCGTAGGTCGCGGGGAAAAAAAGCGAAAAACGAAAAAAAACGACCCAGCGGGACTCGAACCCTCGACTTCGGCGATTCAAGGATTTTCTAGACAAATATTTATTTGCAAATATTTCGCAAATACTTTGCGGCCATATGTCTTCGCAGGAGGCGAGTTCGAACCTCACCAAGGGTACTTTTTTTTTCGGTTGTTTTTTAGCCCATAGTTTTCGACATCAATTTTTTGTGACTCCTTGCTTCGTGTGTCGACCTCAATCGGCAAAAAACTGGAAATATTTGCCTAATTATTTGTACAGGGTGTGAACATTTTTAATGGCACCCCCGTGAAGGGGGTGATTTATCTGAAGGTGCTCCTAACATTTCAAGTCGAAAAAGTGGTGGGCGTTTAGGGACTAGTCTATGTACTTACAATCATCCTCTTTTCGTCTTCAATAGCGCCCTACAGAGGGGTATGACACGTTCTACGGCGGTGTTACGTCACCTGCTAAGGTACATGCTACTTCAGGCACGATTGGAATCAGAGTACGTGATGAGTGGGCTACCTTCTTTGAAGGAAAAACACTTTCTAGTGCGTCTCCTGGCATCCTTAACGACAACCGAGTCGTCCGAGGCGTATTGGATAAACACACAGGCACGCGCAATGCTAAAGCACAGTAGTTTGATGCGTGAGCTATGTATCGACAACAACGATAACAACAACAACAATAACGACAACAACGACAACAAAACAAACAATCCACCTGAAGGCACTTCTTCTGGAAGTTGGCGTTCGCGCTGCGGCTGACCATGGAAGCCACGCTCGAAGCAGCAAGCGGGATCAAGTCCTGCAAGAAAACGAACCAAAGAGAAGGCAAATAGACATAATGGGGGGGGGGAGGTACTCATATCCGTGCATGCCGTAGTCGTGAGACCATTGACCTCGCATTCCTAGAAAGCCGGGACGGAGCACGCCGGGTTTTCACCGGACCAGGGAGCGTGGGGCGTCGTTTAGCGAGTAAATACGCCCGCCATCATGCGCACTACAGTAAACATTCATTGGTTCGTGTTGAAGGAGGAAACTTGAGAGTGCTGCACCTTAGAAGCTTCGCGACTAAACGTGGAAGTACGACTTGCGGTTACACATCAACATTTTCCCGTACGACAGGAACGTCGCGAAGAAAACTATAAGCGCACTGCAGTTTGACTGAATGGAACTCCGCCGTCTACCTCCTGGTTCCTAAAAGTCCTGAACATGCTTCATGCGCTCTGTCATCAATCAACTCATGCTCCCCCCGTTAACTCCCGTTCGATCTCTCAACCCTTTGCATTTGTACCGTACCGCCTCGCATCATACCTGACCCCTTGTACGAAAAATGACATGTTTCCGCTGTCCCCGACCATATTCCTTCGGCTGACAGTCAAAACATTTTCGGAATAGATAGGGCGAAAACACACAAACCCGCTGTGAAGACTGACGTCTCTTAATTGATCGGTTGGTCAGCACGGTCAATGCTAACTCTTAAGATATACAACAATACTTTTTTTTCCCACCGCTCACGCCCCTGTCCCATCTCATCGTCGTCATGTACATACCTCTTGCATCATATCCTTCGCCGCCTCCGCTGCCGAGCGGAACCCGCCCGACTCGCGGTTGCTGAGGGATAGCAACCCCTGACGCACCGCGCTTTCCGCAGCTGACACGTAGCCCTGGAATTTTGACAACAATCGTGGCGTCCAAGCAAGGCTACAAGTCGCAACGGCGAAGTAAAACCATGGTGCCTGAGGCCGGTCTCCCAGTCTCAAAACGATTGCAAAAGGTTACCATCATGTTTCTACAGTAGTGCAACAACATCAAGCCATTGAAAACAAAGTAGTCGTATGCCTTCAACAACGACGAGCGCAAAGCCGCACTTTTCGGTGCAGTAGCATTCGAAAGACTAATATGTAGGCTCTAGGTGGTCATGTCCAAACGTGCAGAAATGGTTTTCTCGCTAGCGGGCAATGACACAACAACAACAACAACAACAACAACAACAACAACAACAACAGGAGAAAGGTATCCACCTCTTTGTGTGCGATGGCATCCTTT